ATATTATTGCAACGAGAAAACGCGGGTAGGGGTGCAACTATGAATAGAATACGATCTTCAAATTCCTCTCAAAATAGTATACTATCCTACGGACATAAGACATATAATGGCACTCTGTGAAGTGCCATAATGTCAGTCATGTTATACCTAACACAATATGATTCATTTAATACATATGCAACGGTATGTAAACAGATTCGTCCCACTTTGGCTGAAGCTTTGAAAGTTTTAATTTTAGTTTCACTTCTCTTTTCGGCGGAATTACAGGCAGTTTGCGGCAGTTGTGCGAATGTGTTTTTCAAACTATATATATGTATTTTATAATTATATATATTTCTAAATACGATTATGCATAAAGTGTTAAATAAAATTTATTAATTAAATAAAATTAAGTACAAAGGTGTTTGCAGAAATGTAGCAAGTAAGTAGTAGATTAATTTTTTAGTTTTGGAAGTTTTAATTGCAGGCTTTGAGGCAGCTGTGCAAATAGCGTGTTTCCCAAATTATATCTTTTATCAAAAATATAACTGTATGAATGAAGTAGTAACATTACCAGAATATTTAACACTTTTATGATGCAAGTTGTGTAATGTTTTATTTTATATATTTGTTACTATTTATTAATAATTATATAACTTATATACTTTTTTTTATTGATAAAGCTTTGTTTCATGTACTGTGCAATTAAATTATAATAAGTATATTATACAAAAAATGCAAACATTTAAAATTTAAATTTAAATTTTACAACTTAAATTTTATTAGATACAACAAAGACTTATTGCAAATTATTTCGTTATACAATGCATATCAACAAGAAATATAATTTTACAATCAAGAAAGAAATAATATTTATATCTTTGAACAATCTGCGTAATATTCTGTATAATTTATTGAATACTAGATTTTATGAGAATATTTATAAAATACGAGAAATGCAATAGTAGTTAATTGCATGTCTAACATTTCTTTGAAGTTCGATAATTAAAGAGAATATATATATTTACATACAATATATTTTTTATATTACATACTTTTATGTAAATAAACTCTGGAAATTTTTATTGTGTATTCTATGCATTTATTTAAATCTTGAGCAATTTAGCTAACAATAAGATATACTCGGATCAGGGACAAGATTCTCTTTTCGATATAAAATGCTTATGCAGAAAGCATGTAAGCATTTGGCATAATGTTGAGCACAATGCAATTCAATAGACCAAGTATGTTTTCAGCTGCATTTGAATTTAAATTTCATCCATAAACACGTATCCCGCGATATGACTTTCTGAATAGAATTTTTACATTCAATTCAGCAGAAGTTATCTTAAACAATGATATAAGCTATTATATTCAGCTTAATGTAAGCTGTTATTCTGTTTAAGTACAGTTTAAAAATTTAAAAATATTAAAATCTGGCAATATTAATAAAAATCTCTCTCTCTCTCTCTCTTAGATTATTGATTTTATATTGTTTAAAAGAAAATTGGAATTCTATATTAATATATAGGTATATAAAAACCATTTCAACAAAAATAACAATTAAAAAGAACTAATGTACTAATATACACAAAATAATATGTGCAAATATAACATAAAATATGTACTTGGCATCGCGACGCGGTAGCGTCCCTTGATAATATCTTTTCTCTTTTTAAAATTAATATTTTTTTTCTTTCACATTTAATATTAAAGGCATCTGTGTTCAGAAAATATTAAGAGCTATTTAACAAATAAAGATAAGAGAGATTATTATAAAAATTATATGATAGTAAAGCACACAAATATTTAATACTTTTGTATTTGTATTTAATAAACTCATACAAATAATGTTCCACAAATTAATTTCTTTAATTTGAGGAAAGATTATGTCTAGAAGCTGTCAAAGTTTTCAAAATCATATTATATATTACCGATAAAACTTGAACTAACTGCATTGGAACAAGGAATCGTGCAAAATCGATGATATACGATCTCTACCAAGTTCCGGTTAGCTATAAACTATGTGCAAACTGACGACGAGTTTATAGTCATAACTTTACGGAAGCACTCATGACAGAGAAAACAGCGATCACATTTTTTATCAAATTTGACATGTATGAATCAGACAATTATTTATACAAATATTTGAAGAAAATTTCTTTTATTTGAGAGAATGTCATTTCTATCGTCGTTTGTAGATAATAATTACATTTAACATTTTCTAGTTTTTGTCGCGATTGTATTTTGAAATTAATTGCTTATTATTTTTGCCACAGTGATTTATTCACATCGTTATTTAATGTAGATAAAATGTATTTTAAAATTCTTTTTTAAAATATTTAAAATACTTATAAAAAATAATTTTACTAAAGAATAGATTTTATAAAAGCTTTTATAGAGACGTATGTATGATATTTTACATATTATATTTAAAAGAAATGATTATTTATAATATTAATATATAAGAATAAAAGCTTATTCTTGATATATTATATATAAATTATATATATAATCTTAAGAAATTTCAATATTCTGAAAATAATTTTATATTTCTAGTTTTCTAGTATTCTTGAAAAACAATTATAAACTTTGCTCATCTTTATAACTTATTATTGTATAAGTAGAAAGATATATATACTTATAAAATAACTTTTTATATAGATTTGCTAAAATGTAAAGTACAATTATTTTTACTCTTATTAATTTTGTACGTATAACAAATGCCTAAATATTTAATTGTATAAAAATTTAGACACATTATCATGTGCACATTGTATCTGAAAATGAAATATTACCGACTACTGTACCTATCGATTTATGTAAGAGTCTCACAGAGAGCGCGAATATATTGTTCCTTTCCATATAACTTCGAATGATAACAGATGTTTCATTGTCCAAAAATTTCAAGATAACATAATATTGGTTGATATTTAACATTAGATTAAAACAAAAAGTATGATTTGTAAATATAAAATTATAAAGTTAATAATATTAGTAACATTTATAAAATTTATAAAATTAAATTCGTTTTAATTTTTAATTTTATTATCAACTAATGCATATAAAATTTATCAGTCACTTAAATGCCATATAATTATTATAATGTAAATATTGTAATTTTTATTCTAGTTTATTTTTATTTAATAAATAACATCATATATTCCATATCTCGCACGCACTTGACATATATCTTTTCATCAGAGTTTTAGTTGTGTACTCCGATAATACATATCTTTGAATATTTTTTATCATCGAGATATTATTAAAATCAACCAGCTTAACGTTCTCTTAGAAAATATAACGCCAAAATAAGGCCAAAGAAAAAAGTAATAAGCATGATTGATAACAATAATGTAGTTATATAATAATAAACGTATAGTTACTCGAGAAATAAAAGAAATAATTACATCGATATACATTTAAATATAAACACTTTGAGACAAATATTCAAATACGAATATGCAAGTTAAAAATCGAGATCGAGATTATTTTAAATACTTATTATAATAGTAAAATAACAGATGAATGATGTAAATTGCAATAATATTAATTATTATTACAGACGCTTTTACACTCATCTAATAAAAATTATATTATATTATATTATTTATCAAATTTTATTTAATATAATTTTACTACATTTCTGTTATTTTCATTAATAAAGCTCTTTATATGATTTATAGATGACTTGTAGATATGTCTTGTTTATTTACGTTTATTACGATTTGTCTGCTCTATGCGAAGTGAGATATTTCTATTCGATGACTCACGAGTTCATTCTATGTTGGAATGTGATTGAGATATGGTTTTTCTGAAACACATGTTTTTAGATATTTTTGTCTATATATATCAAATGTGATATGCGAATTTGTTTATCACAAAAATTAATGTTAGATCAAAGACTATCCGACATTTGCATTTGTTCTCTAATCTCTAATTTTTTTACCAGTTTGTCTTATCATCAAATTTTATTCAGTACTGTTTTTATTATATGCTTACAAAATAAATAAAAATGGCAGTTCTCATCAATTAGTCGATTTTATTTATAATATAAATCGAAATGGAATATGTAAGTTATGTATTTATGTACATTAAAGTTTAATTTAAACATTTTCATTAAAAATTTTATTTAACATTTCATAAACTTCAATTTTTAAAGTAATTTCTATTAGTAATTAAAGAGAAGTGATCTATTTTTTTTCTTCGAAATGTGACAGAAAAAGTCTGGTAAATAATATTATTAAATAATTAATTTAAATAAATCTACTCATATACATAATTTAAATAAATCTACTCATATACATACCTACATATGTATTAGTATGCATATATAAATGTTTAATCTAAATACAATCTCAAACAATTTAAATAATCTAATTGTAAAGTTTAGATTAAAACTTCGTTTGAATTGTTCGATCGCCGGAATATTCCGAGAAGTATTTACGATGGTACACTCGCTATCAATAAAGTCTTCTCGCGTTTTTCGGATCGAATAATTAATAGACACATCGCTTTAGTTACTGTTTGAATTTCGGTTCCCAAGATCTCGTGTGATATCAAAGAGTCGGATTATGTCAATCATGTTTAGAAAAAAAAATATTAATAGTAAAGTGTTAACAGAGAGATTTCTTCTCTATTAGATATTCTCCATTAGTTAATTATCTTCTCCATTGTTTTCGTTATTGTTTTTTTATGTTTAAAATATTGTTCGATTCGATATCACGATATAAAATCTACTCCATATTGTCCCTCAGCTTCTCAGGAATTTTTCTCGAACCAATAGTCATAATGCACAAATAATTAAACGCGACGTGTCCAGGTATTCGATCCAAAAGAGCTATTTTCAGGTGAGAGGACATTATTGACGGCGAGTGTACATACATTCCACGCTCGTGATGCAATGGCACGAGCAGATCTCGTTCTTACCGACGAGACGCAGTGGAGGCTGAACGACGGTCACAGACGGCACATGCGCGTAAGGGAAAAGAGACGGTATCGAGCCAGGCGGCTGGTGCGCCCGCCAACAGAGACGGCAGCGTCAGTTTCTTCCGTTGCGCCTGGAAGACGTCCGGTACCGGAGCGTGACATTTTACGCGCACAAACGTCCGCGTCCGGGTGTTGTTTCCGTTTTCCCTCACGGAATGTTCGATGCACGTGTGCCCGTTTGATGTATACGCGAAACCTCGCCGGCGGATGAAATCGTCGATCGAGGAGTCGCTGACGTTCGACGGATAATTACGCAAAGGCACGGAGAACCGATTGAACGGTAAGGCCAATTTCGCGAGAATCATAAGACAGACGGGGAGGAAGGAGGCAAGGTGCGAGAGCGTGCGCGCGTGTACAATTGACGTCCACTGATGCTGCTCCTGAGCACGGTCACGAGATGTGTCACGCGTGTCGCGTTCAACACGCACATTCGATCGATTAATCTTCGTCTTTGACTTTTGCGATTTTCGAATGACATTTGCATTTTATTGTTATCATATTATATATATATATATATATATATATATATATATAATTTTTATTTATTTATTTATGTTTCATTTTACGCGCGTCTGTCCACAAATTATGCTGTCATTTAAATTTTATTCGACAGTCAGTCCAATATAAATATATATTTAAACTTTTTTTTCCTTCGAAGCTCTTTTAAAAATTATAATTAATGTTATTATTTTATTAAAAGCACGAAGCAATATTTTTATCTATCACAGACTGACGAGTGCTTTAAACTAAATGATGCCTTGCTGTAATGCTGTGTGTGCAAAACTAATTTGTTACATATAGGACATATATGTACCAGAATAATGAGCCGGGCGCCATGTATCAAATGCATTATCGTTTCCTACTTAATTGGTATTAACCACGCGCACTAATTACTTAGACTATTACGAAGGTCGATAGGAGATGACCGCGCTTGTAATTCACTTTCTCTAAGTAACTTAAAGCGTTCCGCTGTGTAATCTATGATATCAGTAATTATTAAAGTGATTCTCACGAGGGACAGAGAAATATTGTATGAAAAAAGAATCGTTTAGCGACTATCTATCAAGCGCACTGTACACGCACACACTCGCAGCGTACGCGTAATACCACGCGGTTCTCCTCCGTTCTCTCTTTCTCTCTCCTTTTCTCTCCTTCTCTCTCTCCCACTTTATATTTTTGCACCTTCTCTCACTTCTCTGATGGTCACCGCTCGCATGTGTGCGTATCATTCACGTATGCTTTGCGCTACGCGTGACATACACGCATTATGCGCCATCCGATTACACATTCGCTCGACGGAGCGAGCGGATCCGCAAACGACGACGACGACGACGACTTGCTAATTAACAGCGTCTTATCGCCGCAAGAGATAAGCTGCAAATAAGGCGTAAGATAGCCGCGAAGTGGTAATGGTAACAACGGAACACGACCCTGACTGCAAGACTTCCCGAAGGATTTTCGAGGTCAAGGGAATCTGAAGGCGCCGCTTGCGCTGATGAGATATGGAGAGAGAGACGAAGACGAGAGAAAACGAGAGAAAAGGTGTCGCTTACGACACTCGTTGTGGTCAGGTCGATTTTGATCATCACGGGCTGACACCTGATCTCGACTTCCTAGATTTATCATTCGTCGAGAAGAAATATGTTGCAAATATCTCTCATATCCTTCTCATGGTACTGGCATTTGTCGTAACTCATAATCCCAACGCGATTGTTAAAGTGGAAGTCTAATAGTCCGATCGTTATAATATACATATAATAGACATAATTGCAGGTGCGTTTTTTTTCTACGAGCAGAAACAAAGCAATAGTTTTATTAAAATGATCATTTATTCAATGATGAGTACATCTCTATTTTTATTAATAATTGGCATTATCGTATTGATCTTAGTCAATCTTTATATATATACATGCAAACTGCGTTGAAGATATAATACATGAAGACTCAGCGCTTGTTTGTCCAGTTTAATGAATCATACATCAGAAATATTCTTTTATTATCTTTACTCGAAAATTATCCTTTTCTTCTAATCTGTTTGATGATAAAAACGCGATAGACTTTTCATAATAATTCTGCAAGAAAAACGTAATAAACTTGAAGGAAACTTTGACGCAATCATTCAATTATGCAGTAAATTCGCGAAATATTACATTGCGAAACAAATTTTATTCTTCTCAGACAAAATGCGAAGTTATTAGTTTATATAATGGCGCAAGAGATTCTTGCACTACGGTCGCAAAATGCATACTTTTTGTTTCACACAAATCTGTTTCTTGAAATATTTGTAGTTTTTCGACGAAATGCATCTAAGAAAAATGCGTTCATAAATTTCGACGATAATGTGAATTGCGCGAATCATCAGTTTTCTCTTGCCACGTGGAATACAAACACGATGTGAGCGCATCGTTAGGTGCATTAAGGTCGTAAACACATTGCATAATGCATTTTTTTATCAGAAGCTATCTATTTCATTTTCGAAACTAGCTGATATCAATGAAAGACATAACAATTTTGCATTCTAACAATAACAAAGTCACGTGGTATTTTTTGTTGGAAAAGCATTAACAATTTGATAGGATATTTTATTTTAGTTTATCAAATATCTTGAAATTATTAAAATAAAAGAGAGAATTATAGCCTTTCAATATAAAAATAAATATTTTTTCTCAGAAAGTGTAATGTAATTTGCGAAATATATGATAAAATATTTGACAGATATGACTGTGAAGAAAACATTACAGATAACATTATTTAGTTTTATTATTATTATACATAATATATATTTTAAATCTAGTTGAAACTAAAATAATTTAAGTGTTTCAAAAATATGCATATTTATTTGTTGTAAATAAGAAACAATTCACATTTAGTTATCGTCTAATTATGAATAAAATATCTGAATTTGAAATTAATTTAATATTTTTAATATCATATTTAATTTTTAATATCATAAACACAAATATTAAAATAATTACAGAAAGTTAATAAATAAGAAGATAAAATAAAAATTGGAATAGACATTTTTTTAATTTTAAATTTCTAAAATGCGTAACATATAAGAGATATGTATAAAAAAAATGTTTAAAAAATAAATATATAGAATAAACAAAAATTAACTTGTCTGTCAAATGAACACGTGATTGAATTTAATTTTAATATTGATATTTCCTTTTATAAATTTTATCACTTATTTTATTAAAACTAAGAAATCTGACATATATTTATATAAACATATAATACAAATATGCCTACTCTAAAAATGGACATTGTCAGATCATAAGCCTTATTTGCTTTCATTCTGCTTAAAGTGGCCATTAGGTGTATTGAGCGATTCAGCGGTCAATGTCACGATATACTTCAACCTCCGAAGTTCCAGAAATTACTCATCAATTATATAATTATTGATTCGCATTAGATAATTCAATCATTTATTCTAATTAGCCATTTAGCAACTGATATTCTTATAATAAATGTAGTTTAATATTCTTATAGTTTTTTGCTGATTATCCAAGTCTTAGACAGATCTCAATTTCGTATCGATGCTTTTTACGTTTCATTAAATGAAATTATTAATATAATATTTTTGGAACTCTTTAAAAATTATAATCAAAATTAATTTTATTATTATTTTAATTAAGGATACAGTATTATCACTAAAAATATGGTATTTGTTATTATAATTTTTTATCAATAATAAAAGAGATTTAGATTACTTAAATGTATGTATTAGATCATAAAGAATAAATTTAGATTTAGAAGTAATTACGCGGGATACATGATGCTTATATAATTGCAATTAATGATAATATTATAGACGTGGGAAATAAACAAAATTATTTATTTAGAATACTAAGAAAACAAAGAATAAAAATATAATATAGTTTTAGTAATACTTGTTAAAGCTATTAAAATTTTTGCAAATTTGCAATTATAATTGCTATTGCAATTATATTCCTGGAAATTAGAGCTTTTATGCTAATATCAGATAATTGTATGTAATGATGCATTATATTTTAATGAAAATTTCCAGGAATTATGGATACAAAGGTCACAAACATGCGCAGGATGTATAAAGTAGCAGTATGAACAATATGAGATGCTTACAATATCATATTTAATTTTTAATCGTTTTTCTGTCATATATGAAAGAAAGAGAATTATGGAAGAGAATAACATCATAATATAAATTAAATTTACAGGAAAATAAGTTAAATATAGAGATAAAGTATCTATATTAATATATTTATATTTTCTATTATAAGACTAGACGCATAATTTCGCTGCTACAGTATTAATAATCGCTCTTTTGTATAAAAATAAACGAATTACACAATTATATTTTTTAAATATATTATATACATTTGAAAATATATAGTATACAAAAAAATATTCTATTATAAAGTCGTATCGTGCGCTCTTTAAGTATTACAGATATTATTTTTTAATATTATTTTAAATTAAATGTATTAAATAATAACTATATATAATAATAATAATAAATATTCAAAAATATTTAATATCAGGATATCTCGTAGAAATACCTAATTACAATAATACGGATGATCTTAAATAACTGATTCCTTATCTTCAGTTTTACTGTGACGCATTATCTTAATGCTATCAATGGTGCTTTTAACAAGTCGCAATATGGTATGATAAGAATTGTGATAATCATAAGTTACGCAGTATGGTATAATAAAGATTGTGATAATTATAAGTTACGCAATATGGTATGATAAAATTTGTGCTAATTTATTAGATTTATTAATTTATTAGACTCCAGAAATGTTGTTATACTGAAGGGAAGATAATTGTAAAGTTAGCTTTACATTTTCAAAATATGAAAGCAATGATTAGAATTTTGAAATGTGTCCTTGCAAATATGTTCTCGAAAAGTTTCTCAAATTTTGGAAGAGTTCTATCATTTTTAAAACACAATTTGAGAAATCTGAAGGCTAACTTTGCATCTTTATGTCTTATCTAACAATAAAAATTTTAATTTTTTAAGGAATTTTCCACAATTTTGTAAAAATGTACTTCTATAGCTCTAATAGATTTTTACAAAACAAGTTGCAATTTTTATATTTTGACAGCCATTACGAAATTACCTTCCGACTTTTTAAATCATTTTTTCATTGGTTTAAATAGCTGTTTCTAAAATCGATTCAACTTTAGAAGTTGAACTCTCTTGGGAGGTATTTGAAACTCTAATAATTTATGTCATATCTTAAAAATATAAGTTTAATTTTACAGATGAAAAGAAGCGCACATCAATAAGAAAATCGCATATATTTTCGTAACATTTGTCTGTTTATACGATCGGTATACATACGATGTTTATGTAGACACGTGCTATATGCCCACGCATATTCGTGATACATGTCGATTATATGCATTTTACAGATGCCTACATTAATGGTTGCATTCGGTGAGTCGATATTTTTCACCCAATATCAATGCGCTATGACTCATTATTAGTATATTTGTTTGTATACATTTTACATTTTATGTGAAAATTGTTATTGCTAAATTTGCTCGCGGTTGACATTTTGTACGTGAACATTAACGGCGAAACTACGATGTCAATTAATCGCTTGGCAACTCTCTGACAGCAATTGAATTCTTTCTTCGTAGAAGCGCGATAATAACAATAAATATATTGCCACAAGCAAAAAACATCCGGGAAGATGTGGTTAATTCTCGGAAGCTGTGGTTAATGTGCAATTGATGATTTGGCAAGATTTTGCATTCGCTTTTAGAATATCCGAGTGTGTGTTTATTTTTTCTAATATAAATTGTATTAATTACATATATATATATATATATATATATATATATATATATAAAAGAAATATATATAAGAATAATTATAATAGTTATAATAGATTTTTTTAACAATTATTTATTTTCGTTAGGCAGATAAAAATTATTAGTGGCAAATATTTTTACGCCCGTTATAAAAAACGTGTATTTAATCATGAGTGCCTTCTCGTGTTAGCCCATAGTAGATACGGAATATGGCGGTTTCTATCGGCAGCTTCCATTTCCTGATGCACCAATTAAGATAAAATGCGATAAAATTTAGGATTTCCGTTGATGATATTTATATTAATGTTAATAGAATAGATAATAAAAATTCAAAAATAAAATAACATTATTTTAATCATTTTAATAAAAATTGTTTAAAGAATTATTAAGTAATCGCATTAATGATATTAATAGAAACTATTAAAAAATAGTTAAAAATATTAAAGAAATTAAATAATATATTTTTTACATATTTATAACTATTTTAATATCTTAAAGAAAACTTTCACATTTCGATTTACTTTTAATAAAAGTATAACGTAGTATCTTAATAGATGATTGAAGTTATTAAAAAATATATTAAAATGGCCTTTATGTATATGTAAAGTAAACGCTATGTCATCTATTAATAAAAATCTTGAAAGTAATACGTCACTCGTTGTTGTTTTCTACCCTTCACAATTACTTTAATGTATTTTTAATCTAGATAAATAAGGAAAAATCTAGATAAATAAGAAGAGCACAGTTTAATATATTATTGTTGAAATGATCTTATCAATAATTATTTTAATCAATTTAATAATTTAATAAAAATTGATTAAAGAAATATTGTATCAGTGATATTAATGAAAACAATAAAAAATAATAATTATATTTTTAAAAATTATAATTATATATTTATGTCTGAAATTGTTTAAGTTACGTTTATTTATTAATGCTTTTTTAATGATATAATTTTAAATATAATAACTACTTTACATATTTTCGTATTTATTAAATATCTATTTTTTTATAATAATGAAGAAAAATTTTTTTAAATTACATAAATTTACAATAAAACACTATTATTGCAATATACATTATTAATATTATCTTTCTTTAATTTACAATGATAATAAGCGTTTCATAATTTTACAATTTCAAAGTTACTGAGTGAATAGACTTAATGACAAGAAGTTATTATTTAGATTTTTCAAATTACGTAAATATTACGTAAATTGTTACGTAAACTTATCGTAATTATATGAAGATATTGATTAAGTCATTTAATCGAAACTTACTTCATAAAAGCACGTGTTTGCCCGTAGATATAATTAACACGTTGCTTAATAGGATAGAGTGGCGTAAGAGAGGAATAATTATGCAGAAAAATGAATTCTGTCTGGCATAATTAATTGGAAACAATTGGATATCTTTTTAACTTCGGCATTTCTTTCCAAAACATTTAAATATAAAACAGATAAATTTTATTTGCACGAAATAAATAATTTATATTATAAACCAATTAAAAAAAATTAATTTGTTTCGTTGCAGGTGCAGCCATTAGTTAAAATGAGCAAGTCAACTCGGAAGAGACGCTCTTAACATTGTAAGTACTTTCACGATCATATGCTATTGTTAATAATATTGTTAATATTTCTAATCGTTACAGTGTGATTATTATATGTGCGGATATTTAACAAAACTTTCTTATATATGACTATTTTCATTTGACAACATTTACATGTACATATCTTGTCTCACATGATGCAGATTTGCTATAAAGGTTAATCGGTGCAACGACGCTAGAAAGCTCTCTGTACCGTGATAAACTATCGATTATCCAAAATCCAAAAGCCGATGTTTCAAGGAAAAGAAACTATAATACGAATATTCGATTCTCCTTTTAATAATACGTGCAACATGAAACAAATAAAAATAAATTCGATTATATTGTTGTGATATTCATATAATATCCAAAATTTCTTACATTATTGTAATTATAGTTGAATACAATACATAAAAAAATATGCAAGAGATATTTATTTATATCATCAAAAAGCGTTTCATAACGCTACGTTGTATGTAAAAAGAAGACTTAACTATTTTAGTCAGACTATATTTTCAGTATACAAAGTGTGCAATGACGTTTTTTTCCTTTATCTTTTTTCAGTTTTTTATGCTAGTACTAAAGCTATTCACATTACAGAGTCTATTTTTTTAACTTCCGTAGACAAAATTAGTTTATAAGACTCAAAAGTAATAATAGGTCAGAGAAGAAAGAAGCTACAAAGAATGCTTTTTTAAAATTTTTTATATAAAATAGGAAAGAAACATCTATTCTAAAATAAAAATATACGTATTAATATTATATATAAATTATATATGATGGAAAAATATAAAATATATGAACGAGATCTCTAGTGGTGGTAATTCCATAATTATATAAAAGATGGAATAAATAATAGATGTAAATAGATATGTAAATAGATATGTAGTAATAAACATAAATAATTATGCAAGGCCTCGTTATGGAAATGCATGAATGCATTTCTATTTCTATTTTCCAAGAAAAAGGAAAGATCTCGGCAAAATGCATTCGAAAAATCAAAGTTAAAGATAATTTTATAGAAAATAATTATGTTCATTATTAGTTTTAAATATTAAAATATCTTCTGTAAAAATATATCTACATTTATCTTCAGAAGAATATACGCTGATTAAAAAAAATAACATAAACAAATACAACATAAATTACATTAATGATAAAGAGTATAATTAGTACTAGAAATAACTTTTAATATTAATTATTATTTTTTTAATTTATTCTTTTTAATTTCTTTTTATTGTTTCTAATTTAAAAAAATGATTTTTAAATTAAAGGTCAAAGAACGTTAGTGTTTCATTTTCCAGAGGGGTTAACGCTCGATTAAGGTTCAAATGATTCTATTGAAGTATTACGTATATATTACTTATTGGGGCCACAGGTCAGCTAATAACTATCTAACTAAATACGGCGTCAAACGAGTTCTAAATAAGAGAATTACGTGTCAGTGCAAAGATCGTTTGATTATTAGAAAAAAATGTTACTTGCTTGCAATTAGACTTTTTTCAACTAATGATAATTCTTCGAGGTTTAATTATATCCATCACGTATGCCTTTATATCGAGCAATTATGTTTATAAAAATTCGACTGGTATGTTTATAAAGACTGCAAACTGTGCATTGCATAAACTGCACTGAATAAACATCGACGCTTAACTTTAGAAATTTATAACATCGTGCAGTATAAACGCATAGTATCTCGCTCAAATACAATCGAGTTATAATCGTAAGTCATTAGCAAACAATTTACGTAGCAGGAATACTAAAGATATATGTAAGGTGTAAATATCTATCTTTAAAGCCTCGACGCAAACAGAATTAAACAGAAACTGTTTGCGATTTATGTCGAAAAAAAATTTGATAGCAACCAATAGAAAAGATAGATCTGATGAGAAACTCCGATACCTTTAATGGCGACATTGATCCTTGTTGACAGAACCGGAAAACGCCGTATCTAGGCTGACTTTGCCGGAAGTCGGTGGAACATCGCGGAGATGACGAAGAAGTTCGAGTTCAACTGGCAGATCGACGTGCCGGAAGCACTCCGTACCGGCTGCGTCTTCGATCGTTGGACGGAGGAGAAAGATAATACTGAAATCGAGCTGAATTGCCTGTTTAAAGTTGACGAATATGCTTTCTTTATTTATTGGCAGAGTGAGGGGAAGGTGAGCTTTTCTGCCATCGTCTGCGTCCTTTTGTTTGCTTTTAAAGGAACGAGGAGAGTTTCTAAAATCTTTAGCGATCTACGATTTCTGAATAGACTTTCATTCTTATCTTATCTCTCTCTCTCTCTCTCCTCCGCAGGACGGCGATGTTATAGAATTGTGTCAAGTGAGCGACATTAGAGCCGGTGGCGTTCCAAAGGTAAAGGAATTGTTTTACCGCTTCGAAATAATGATAGCATTTAATCTGTTAAAACTACTTTCACACTTATTCAGAAATTAATTTAAGATCTTATAAATCATTAATTTTTGTATTTTAATTGTGTGAAAATACGAGCATTACGTAATTTTCGATGTTCTTTACGAATAATGTTCCTTTTAACTATGTTAAAATAATATGAGAGAAAATATTTCTATTATGTCAATGTATTTATTATTATCTTTTAATTACATTAACAAATCATTCAGTATATATTTCGACTTTCTAATAGTAAATTTAAATGAATATTATACACTTTCTTAATTAAATAAGATATTGATATATAATTCTCTATCCTATTTAAAGAAAAATTAATTATACATGCGAAATATAAAAATCACCAAAAAAATACACAAAAAACAATAAAAAAAAGAAGAAAAAAGACAATAATTAATAGGCTGACATGTTTCAAATAGGACCCAAAGCTATATGATAAGCTACTGAGTAAGCACGGTGAACAGTTGGACGAAAAAAGCCTAACCATCTGTTCTGGTGCTGATTACACCAACATTAATTATCAACATGTTGTATGTCCGGATCTTGCCACAGCCAAGGTAAACGCCAATCATAATAGCAACAGAAATAGGACATCCACATTAAGCCTATCAGTCAAGCAAATTATTATTGACTGACTGATATGATACCGCAATGTAGCATTTATCATTATTATTATCTTTAATAAAACAAATTTTCGATAGTAATATTTCTCATTTAATAATAAATATCATGTAATTGGATTAATATAATAATTGTAATTGCAACACATGATTTTTATTCATCATGATAGTCTTATAATAGATTAAGTGAAATAATGTTGTACAACATAATGAATGTAAACGATCACGAAGCTTTTTATCTGATTTTAAAAGTTATTAGCATATCGCTCGTTTGTGTTTACCTTTCGTTTTCAAGAAACTTTATTAGAAATTACCGCTATACTGGGGCAGTTAATACGCAAATAGCACGAATATATTACACGTAATTTCATACATGCTACAATTGATTTCTTATCGTATTGTGACCTTTCTGCCTTATATATTTCTTGTAACTAAACAATTAAATTTACTTTAATATTAACAATAAAAACATAAATTCGTATTTCTAGAAAAATTTATTCAGCAACATTTTTCTATTTCATTATCAACAGATTATAATGCATTAAATAATAACCTATTATGATAGCAAAATTTGGTTGCTTTTATATTAAATATGCAGTAATGATTTTGCGACAGTGGAATTCTATTTTTCTGTATTTTTATAAATAACATTTACATTTAGCTGTAACGTATAATGTGTTGCGGATGAAAAGACTGATAAGCTTAATGACTTGGGTGACTTAAATTTATAGTTCGTATCTATATTTAGTTTTTACAAATAACAGCTTTTTTCATTTTAATAAAAAGAACAATCTATATTATGTCATTTATATATGTCGTCACAGGTATGGTTGGATGGCGTTCGATCGATTACGCACAACGTCAAAGCGAATAACGTTTGTCCGCTTACTTGTCTGAAGAAACAGTGAGTTTGCCAATACATTTATATACACTTGCATTATGAACAATAGCATTGTTTATCTTTATGAAATAATTAATCATAAATTTTACACACATAAACGTAATTTTTCTATTTTCTTTCTGAAGTAAAAAAATATTTGATTGCTGAATTCGATATAATTCTTATATCGTATCATCGTTTTCGGATTCCCTTTTTAAGTTTTATTGAATTGTTTGTCTCTTCTTATTAGCATGTAGATTTTATGATATCAAAAACTTAACTAAAGTGTACTGAAAATTAAAATTGACAGAACTTTATGCTTTATTCTGTATAATTTTGTTTTGTTTTTGCATGATTTTTCTTTTAAATATATAATAGAGTAGATGGATAAGACAATCTTTATGCTATTTTTAGTTGGATGCGACTGAGAATGTTGGTGGATCCTAATGGAAAAGTTCCAGTGAAGGTAGTCGCGAGAACATTCGCGTCTGGCAAGACAGAAAAACTCGTTTATCAGTGTCTTTCTGAATTAGGCCTACCTAGCGGAAAAGTACTACTTGATAATTACTAAGATAAGCCATCGATATTATTTCTGTCTCTCGCGAAAATATTGCAAAAATTTTTTTTACTTTTAGAATGACGTAATAGAACCTGATGACTTTACTTTCGACGCATTTTACGCGCTTTATCACAAAATATGCCCGAGAAACGACATAGAAGAATTATTTCAATCAATGTGAGTACTCAGTTTAGAAATATTTAAAATATTTTTTAAAAATCTAGATATATTTTTTCAAAGGTTATTAATTATAAATTTGAATTATCTCAATATCGAATATAAATAATACTATAAATATAAAAGTTTTTCTATTTATAAAAATAAGGAATTTAAAAATGTAAAACGTATTAAAAAACGCATTTAATAAAGAAATATATATAGAAAGAAATCTTATACATATTTATGTATATTTATTTTTTACATTTTGCACACAAATACATTTTATTCTTAATAGTACTTTATAGTTTATATCTGTTTTAAAATGAGACAGACATATAGAAAAAAAATTTTATACGAATTTAACACGATTATTTATTCTAAAAATTCCAGAACACAGGGTAAAGCTGATACGATTAATCTGGAGCAACTGATTACCTTTCTCAACGAAAAGCAAAGAGATCCGACCCTGAACGAAATTCTCTATCCACTTTATGACGAAAAACGAGCACTGGAAATTATCAATGATTACGAACAGAACGAAGTTGCTCGTAATGAAAGTAAGAGCTTGATAAATAAATCATGTAACTTTAGCAGAAGCTTTAGCGTTTTTCTCGACTTTCCTAAGACCAAGGTCTAATTCAGTTCTCTTGTAAGAAATATTGAATTTTTTTATAGATATTTTATTTGTCTTCACATATAAAATGTATTGGAATAATGTGATATTTTAAAGATATAAAAAATAAATAAGAGAAGAAGTTCAACATGACTATGTAAAATATTGAATCAGCTCGATCAATTATTTATCTTATCTATGAATGAAAAATTCATAAAGGTATCGACCTAAGTAGTCCCGAAATAATAACTGCGTATTTTCAGAAACAATGACGAAGGATGGCTTCATAAGGTACCTGATGTCCGATGAGAACGCTCCGGTTTTCCTCGATAGGCTTGACGTTTATATGGATATGGATCAATCATTGGCGCATTATTATATCAATTCGAGTCACAATACATACTTAAGCGGACGACAATTTGGCGGAAGAAGCAGCGTCGAAATGTATAGACAAGTTCTACTTGCCGGATGCAGGTAAAGTATACTATTGTGCAATAGAGAATAGAAACGACGATCACACCTTATTTATGACGTACATATTCTGGCAGTTCTCAATAACTAGTACATATTTATAGCTGCATGAATTGCGCTAATTTAATCAAAGCATTTATTTGAATATGTGATATTATATCTTGACATAAAATTGATATACCTGATATTTAATGAATATTGATCCATTTTCATAATATACTCATGTTTCATAATGACACGTAGATAAAAGTTTATTTGTTTTAATTTTATAATAAAATTATAATAAAATTAAAAAAATTAGTAATATTAAGTAATAAATAATTATGAATATAAATACACAATAAATTTCTCTCTCTTTCTCTCTCTCCCCCTCTATCCGTAATATTTCGTTTAATTTTTATTAATTTACATATCGTAATATTTCGTTTAATTTTTATTAATTTACATAAACATAATTTACATAAATAAACGGACGATTATTTTGTAGTATATAAGAGAAATAATTATCAATATCGTGAGAGTTCTCTCTCTCTCGCTCAGCATTTATTTATTTCAAATTTAAAGATGCGTTGAATTGGATTGTTGGGACGGCAAAGGGGAAGACGAAGAGCCGATAATTACTCACGGCAAAGCTATGTGCACCGACATTCTATTCAAAGACGTTATATACGCGGTCAGAGACACGGCCTTTGTTACGTCGGAATACCCAGTGATTCTCAGTTTTGAAAATCATTGTAGCAAAAAGCAACAATACAAATTGGCCAAATATTGTGATGAAATTCTGGGTGATTTATTATTGAGGGAACCTTTAAAAGAATATCCTGTAAGTTGATTAATATCGAAAACATATTATAAAATATCTTTTATAATCAGTTTATAAAAAAACATGTGAATTATCTTAAATGCACTTAAAATAGCTGGAGCCAGGAGTACCGTTGCCGCCGCCCAGCATGCTGAAACGTAAGATTCTCATTAAGAATAAGCGCTTAAAGCCCGAGGTCGAGAAGCAGGAATTGGAACTCTTCAAACAAGGTCAATTTGTGATCGAGGACGAGGTCAAGGAAGATGCCAGTGCGCCGCTGACCATTGCCGCCGTCGTGGAACAGCAACCGGTAAAGGTAACCTTCATTATAATCCTTTTGGAGTTGGTAGTACCCCTTCATTTATTGGAGTTAAATGGCCACAGTTCCTATGGTGAAACGGTGATATATCTTTTAATTCTTAGGAAGAAATTTCTGAATCTGTAACATCGTCAAGCATTCAACAGCAGCAATCTGGCAGTGGTCCAACCGGTCTTGGCGATAGTATAGAGCTGGTGGCAGCTCAACCTTATACCGGAAGTACAACAAATGTACATCCATGGCTATCCTCCATGGTTAACTATGCACAACCCATAAAGTTCGCTGGCTTCGATGTTGCCGAACGTAAGTGAAATTTTTATTTTTGCATTGTTAAATAAAATTAATTAAATGTATCTATCAGAATTTTTTACTATTTTCCGAATTTTATTTTTTATAAATATATAAAAGAGATATATGTAACAATATATATATTGAATTAATACATTAATTATAATAATACATTATAATAATACATTATACATTAATTTTATACATTGATTTTATACATTATACATTGCATTAATATTTCTATCAAGACAACTTTGAATATATAATTAATGCTTTCTATACAAAATGCAAAATAAAATTTGGATATAATTTTCACTTAAAGTTATGCATATAAATACGTTTTATATTCTTTCCAATAATGAGATTAAAATTGCTATTAATAATTTTAATTGATTGAAATTATAATTGAAAGCAAATTACATTTTCAGAAAAAAATATTCATCACAATATGTCTTCCTTTGCGGAAACGGCTGGTTTGAATTATTTGAAAACATCGGCTATTGAGTTCGTAAATTATAACAAACGGCAGATGAGTCGAATTTATCCGAAAGGCACACGAGCTGACTCTTCCAATTATATGCCACAGGTAAATATATGTTTGCAGAATGCAATTTGCTCTACAAAGAACACGAAGAAAAGTCTCTCAATGATCGATCGTTGCGAAACAGGTCTTCTGGAACGCTGGCTGCCAAATGGTGTCGCTGAACTTTCAAACTCCGGATCTGCCCATGCAACTGAATCAAGGCAAGTTCGAGTACAACGGTTCTTCGGGATATTTGTTGAAGCCGGATTTCATGAGACGAGCCGACAGGAGTTTCGATCCTTTCGCTGAGAGTCCTGTGGATGGAGTGATTGCCACACAGTGTAGTGTTCAAGTATGTTTTTCTCTATTAAATAATATAATTTATTTGATTTTTCTTTTCTCTTTTTCCAGATAATTCACAAAATTAATATGACTTTTATATATTATTTCTGTTTTTACTATATAAAATTATATATTGATATATTTATCCGATTTTTTCATATCTTATAAGTTTGGTACTATTTAAATTCAATTCTTTTATCATATTATATAATGTTTAATAAATTTTCTTGTATGAATACATTACGTATATATTACATAAGATTCTTTGAAATACAATTGACTTCTTTCAAGATACTTTATACGTTTGAATATTCATTAATTCGTTATCTTCACAATAATATTATATACATTATATATATATATATATATATATATATATATATATAATGTATTCAAGATTAAAATTATATTTATTATTCTAACATTGTAACAGGTAATAGCAGGCCAGTTCTTATCCGACAAGAAAGTCGGAACGTACGTGGAGGTCGAAATGTACGGCCTACCAACCGACACGATACGTAAAGAATTTCGCACCAGAGTAGTCCCCGCTAATGGTCTGAACCCCGTTTATAACGAAGAGCCCTTTCTCTTCAGAAAAGTTGTCCTACCAGATTTAGCTGCTTTGAGATTCGCAGTATACGATGAATCGAACGGCAAGCTGTTAGGACAAAGAATCGTTCCTTTAGACGGTTTACAAGCCGGTTATCGGCACATTGCTTTGCGAACTGAAGCCAATTTTCCCATGTCTCTGCCTATGTTGTTTTGCAACATTGACATCAAAATCTATGTGCCAGATGGTTTTGAAGGTACGATCAATAGATATCTCATGCTACGTCTTAACTACATAATTATGTGAAAAAATATATGCATTTATCTATTATGTGAATACACACATTTTTATATAATTTTTACTTTTTGTTCGTATAATTTTAATCAAAAATATACATTAACTCTATAAATTGATTGTTTCAATGTTTATGACTTTCTTTAGAATTTATGGACGCTTTAACAGCGCCACGAGCATTTAGAAAGACAGAAAGTATGTCGCAAAATAAAATACGAGGCTTGGGAATTGAAGAGAGCGACAGCAAAAACAATATGGACAGCAAAAACAACGTACATTACGAAGCAACTAAACCAAGAGGTAAATCGCAAGATGCAGGAATCGTGTTAATTGAATATACTTTATTTTATTTTTACAGAGGAAATGAAGTTTGATCCAATTACTCTGGAGACTTTAAGACAAGAAAAGGGTTATCAAAAAGTATTACGGAAACAGCAAAAAGAATTAGAGTCTTTGAGAAAGAGGCATCACAAGGAGAAGTTGACTGTCCAGAAGCAACATTGCGTTGCTATAGAGAAGATTTTTAAGGGAAAAAAGTTAGTTATTTTTGCGCAATTTAAATCGAAATTATTATGTTCATCTAATTATATTTAAATGGCGCTTATGTTTGATCAAAAAAATAATTTGATGACAGTAAGATGAGTTTGAAAACGTATTCTTTTTTAAAGAGTGAAAATTTTTAAAAAAAGTACACGTAAAATAAATAGTCCACGAGCAGAATTAAAGATTAATCGAATTTAAAATTAAATTGACTAAACACAATAATTAATGATTAAAATAATAAGTAATAATTTATAATTTATTAAATAAAATAATTTATAGGAATTTAAAAATTAAAAATCTGTTGTAGCAAAGCGGAGCTTTCAAGAGATCCTATCGTTCGTCGCGCTGTTTCCGAACAGACGGCGCAGTGGTCGCGTTTCGCTGACAGGCAGCGCCGAGAAGAACGCGATCTGGTGCGCGGTCATCTGGAGGAGCGACGAACGCAGTTATGCAAATTGTGCATGGCCGCGCAGCTCACGCAACAGAAACAGCTGACTGCACGGCATGATCGGGAGATGAAAGATATAACTGCGCGACAAGCGAGACTTTCGGTAGAAAGTGCGAGAGAGGTTATGAATGATAAGACTTTGAAGACGCGAGGGATCAAAGAGGGCAGACTCAGGGAGAAACAGCAGAACAATACGAAAAAATTCATGGAGGAGCGTAAGATCGCGCAGATGATTCAAAACAGGGAGAAAGAGAAGCTTAAAGTGATTCACGAGAAACAACTGGAGGAATTGCAGAAGGATATGAACGCGGTAAGGCAACAAATTCTTGCTAGGTTAGGAATTTTCCCGGTAGTGTAGTTTATTGTATTTTGTATGTAGAGATAGTACATTTAATGTAATTTATAATTATAAGCAATTTACGTATTTTGACATCAAATTTAACATTTATTTTAATCGATTATGTACTTAAAAAATTGCGGAAAATCTAGATGTTTTTAGATTTATTTTATTTATTTTAATTATGTGACATTGGATATTCCTTCCAAATAGATGTATTAATTAACAGATTTGTGATAAAAGATCTAATTTGTTAAAAAGTTGAATTTAATTGATTGTATATTTTTGTTTCGCAATTATGAATTTTTATGTTGTAATTAAGCTGGATTTTATTTATATTAATTTTATGTATATTAAAATTAGTTTTATTTATTTCTCTATTGTCTATGTTTCTCTTAGTTTGTTATACGTTTATGCTTTACTGAATATTTTCTTAATAAACTTTTTTTCTTAAAAATTATTTCATATTTTATTTTCCTCCGATATTTTTTTACAATGTTATATGTCAAAGTGAATTGCGAATTATAAGTAAGATTATATTAATTAGGAGAAATGATATTATAACAAGTTATCAAGAAAATAAATTAATCAAGAATTATAAATATCTATAACTAAATATTTGACATAATAAAAATTAAAGATTTTGTATTTTATTAATGTTATGTTTCGTTATTTAAGTAGCTTGTAAAAATTTTTTGGTTGTTTTATCAGATATATAAAGAAGTATATTAAATTAATTATCAAAACTGATCTGTTTATCACATCAACATACATATATATGTATATTCCAAAGATAATAAAATCAGCATTTAAGATTGAATTAAATGAATCTTAAACAAATAAATTAATCATTTCATTATTATCAATCAGAACTAAAATTTAGAACAAGGAGTTTTCGTAATTCATTGAAAAATCTGAAAATCAAAAGAATATTCTTTAACATATATAAAATTGGAATTTAATGATGACAAACTCATTTTTTAATATAATTTAGTCTAACTATACACATTTTTTCAGATCATGGATATGTACAAGAATGAGGACATGGACTACGAGCTGGCTAAGATGCTGGCTGAATTCTACGTGTGATGAGTGCCAATCGAGTTTCTTCGCAATTCACCTCCAGCGATAGTGCGCTATAAGTGAGGACTGTTTACTATTATCGTTAATTATACTTGAAATTGGGATCAAACTTTGTTAGCTATCACTATCGTATCTAGCGATGAATGTCGCACATTGAGAAATCAGATGTAAACGAGCAACTACAGTTTTTAATTCATTCAGGCAAGTATTTTTTTATAAACAAACATCTCGTGTCTCCATAATCTTTGAGTACCTATGAACTAATGAGGGAGTCAATAAAACTAAAGTGATCTAGTCAAGTATTAGGTATATAAAAAGAATATATCACATGATCGGGATACTGATCAAATGGTGTGATCTACTACGTCGAAGTAAATATTTTTTGATTGTTAACGCTATTATCGAAGTCTATCAGAGTGAAACATGTGTATGAGTGTATGCGTGCATGAGATTGTATTCATGAGTCGATGCCTAATACCGAGAGGGACTCTTGCTGTTGCCGTGACGAATTTCTAGACCATACATACCTTAAATTGAGAGACGCTTTCACGGATCTTAGCCAATAGTTTTCGTGATTGCTGATAATGACTAGAGTATTAATACAATAGAATCTCGAGAGATCGTGTAATTTTCAGCCAATGCTCTTACACGAATAGTCACACAGGTTTGTAAATAAATTTCAAACGGGAGCCTAGTATAATTATTATCACACATTGTTGTTTTCATTATATAATATAATGTTATTTACATAAATTATTATATCATTCTACATATATATCTATATATTAGATATAAAGAATAAAATAAAAAAAATATTACAAATAACGTTCGCGATCATTTCATTTTGGCTGCATTATGGGCGATTGCGAGAGCACGTGCTTGTAAACCGATAAAAACTATGAAGTAGTAAAAATTATATTACAACAACATATATTATATGTTTTGTTGTGTAAGATATATATATATATATATATATATATATATATACACACATACACGAAAAGTATATAATTTATTTTATTTCATCGTTATAAACAATAGAGTAAACCACTTAAATATTTGAGGTATTTTATTGTTTAGAATTAAATCTCAAATTGATATCTAATTAATCACTTCGAAAAAATAATATTTTAATATTAATTCTTTAAATACATATTTTCTTAATTATTTTCGTAGAAGGAGAGATCATAATCGTGTGTCTCGTCGTCATGATTAAAATAATGTTCGAATACATCTGACTTAATGTCGGCAATAGTAAATTCTTCGTATGGGGCTGAAACAAATAACATAATGAATTCTTTATATTTGTCAAACAACAAAAAGAACATATCATATATTTCACTAATTCTTTTAAAATAACATTAAATAATATTTCTTTAAGTATGCTATTTCTAAGCTGTACCGAATAATATTAATATTTCTAATTCAAATCGTTAATGTTATATATTTTTGTTCTTGATTAATTTTTAATATAATCTTAACTGAGACGATACATATTATAGTAATTTCTGTATGTTGTAAATTGACATTTTAATTAATATTTTTATATTCAAGGATTGGATACAATTTACTATGTATGAATTTACATTTTGATTTACCTAAATGGGATATATTGATGTCATCTATATCATCGTGAGACTCCGCAATTTCAATAATTGGCTGGTAATCAGCATGGTATGCATCGTGCCCTAAATTCACAATCTCTGCTTGATCTCTATAGTTTGCAGGTACTATTATATTATCATGATTATCAATCTGCACATTTTGATAACTCGTAGCTCCATGACCATGATAAACTGCCTGAAGATTTGTGTAATCTACATCTCTTGTTATTATATTCGCCTCACAAATAGCGACTATCAATAGCAACAACTAAAATATAAATATAAATTTCTCTAAACACTATGAAGAATCATCTTGTGACCTATTTTAATTTTTTATGTTGACTTTGCTAATTTTAATAATTTTTTAATTGATAATTTTTAATTCATACGATTATTTTTTAGCAGCCAAATTAATTGAATTGCAAGTGAAGATATTTTATGTAATTGACTTTTTTTCACAGAATTTACAGATTCACTGTTTTTAAATTTTTCAAACACTCACTCACATAGTATCTCATAATGAATTTACTTCAAATGCTTCGCTCCTTTGTACTGAAGACATCTTCCCATGGAAGTCTATTTTATACAACGATCGCTGCAACTGTGTTACGCAAATTCATGTGAATATTATATGCTAAGAGCGGATGTTTACAATTCGTGTTTCATGGTGTAAGTTCGCGTGGCGCGCTTATATGTGCGTATGGGAAAATCGGCCAGTTACGCCCATAAGCGTATATATCGTTTCAAAACCGCGAGATCGTTTCATTGCCGAATTACGTAACTCAAGGTGTTGCGAGTACGTGAGGAAACCATATGTGATTCTTCGGAATCCTTGGGAATAAGTGGAAAACTCACCGACGTTCCATCATTAATTCATCCGGTCTCAGTAGATATCGGTTTCATGCAATCAATTTGCTTTTGATGCGACAAAAGGGAAAGAAGCTCTTACGTCAATTTGCATTAAGAACATGCATTTTTATGCAATCATTTTAATATAGTAGTGAGATTTCATGGCTCGTAGAATTAAAATCTCAGGACGCAAACTACAATAGATAAGTGGAAGATGTTCGTAACTTCGTAACGTAATATTGTACACTACATCTATGCTTATGAAATTTATATCCATATAATTGTTCTCTGGATAAAAATTTGAACATGTAGTGAAAATTCATGCTTATGGCAAATTTTATAACTAATTTTTGAAAATCATATTTTTTCTATTTATAGCATACGTACAATTATGTGATTCTTTTATTTCAGATATATCGTACATTTTATATCTATATTTATGCTTGATGTTTTCTGCACTCTAATTAGGAATTAAAACACTCGATTGTAAAAGGAAAATAATTTTATTGTATATTTTCAGATTAAATCTATTATGTTTGACAGCTTACAAATTCTGATATTTGACGAGAGATGGATAATGTATACAAACGCATTATATCATTAAATCAAAATTTTACGCTTTTTTATTTATTGAAATCTGTCTAGCGTTACTTTTAGGTTTAAATGTCAATCGATGAAAAAATTGCCCGCGCTGGAACTTGGAAGTTTTCACATTCTGTAAAGCTCTAATCTACGTTGCGCGCGATCGAGTCGTCTATACACAATGCGGTTTAACTATGACAGAATTATGAACAGGTTGTGGGGCGTATAAGGGAGACGGAACATGAACAACGGGTTTTGCGTAGGATAACTCCGGCGTTTGTACCTGCACCACCTTCGGCGCCGCGTACGGAACGGGATCATGGATCAGTGGCTTTTGATAGGCGATGTGAGTGACGGGCGTTTCATACTTCTTCAGAAAGATTTTCGGCATCGCGTCATGATACATAGGTGCGTAAGCGTACAATGGTTTCTGATAAATTGGCGTGTACGACAGCTTTTGAGGCTCGGGCATCACAGGCTTGATGTACTGCACGGGTTGATGCACTGGGTGATAGTCTATCGCAGGTGTCACCGGCTTCACATATGTGATGGCCGGTTTTGGTACTACGCTGGAATAGACGGGTGGTTGCTGAATATACTGCAAATGAGCTAAGGGTTGAGCTAGTCCTAGCTCCTTTTTCAGATAAGTCTGCTGAATCAAGGGTTTAACGTAAACGGATGGAGGTGAATAAGCGGGAATGTGCGAGTAAATTGGTCCGCAGGGCTGATGAATGGATTCTCTCTTTGCCTTTAGCATCGAAGTATCTGATGTTCTGTCCATCAGCGGCTCATCCGGCATGTTCATCTGCATTCCAGCCTCCGAGCGCACCGTTGACAGCCATATTAAGCATGGTATCTGGAAATTAAAATAGATCGATCATTAATTGCCAGGTATTATTATAAATAATTCTCTAAAAATTAAATTAAGGTTTATAATAAGAAATTTATTTAAATTGTCTAATCGTCTAAGAAGAATTATAAATATTTAGAAAAATATATTTAATGTGTTTAAATTATTTTAATGCATTTAAAATAATATGTGTATAATGTCATTATTTTTTAAATATAAAATATAAATATAATTTTAAATATAAATTGTAGAATGTTATATGAAATATTTAAATATTTTTATATTTCATGATTTTTATTCATGATTTTTATTCTAAAGACATAAAAAATTTTTTAGAAATAATATTAATTAATAATGAAAATACTGTACAAAAATTTACCTACTCCATTTTTAAAAAATAAGCTAAATTCACAAACACAATACTATCTGTCAGATATATACAGTTTTTCAATATATAATAATTCATTGAATTTATATGCGTAATGTCAAGTACATTAAAGGATTTTAAATTTAATATATTATTTTATGAATTAAAAAGAAACAATAAAAGCGAATAAATGGCGCGCGCTTTGCGTTGTCTAGTATATAATAAATATGGTATTTATAAAATAAATTAATACAATTTTAATTTCACAATATGTCAAAATATGTTACAATATTTATTTTTTATGAAATAAATTGCAAAATAAACGCGTGTTAAGCAGCCTTAAATTTACTATAAAGCAGCATTTCATCAGTACGCTTACCAATAATCTGAACATGATTTTCTTTTCGTCGAATTGTGCAGAGGACTAATAGATGAGAAGTTCTGGACCAAACTAGAGACGCGTTGCTTGCAGTCCTTGGTTTTATAAACTTTTGCTCCACTTAGAGAGGGCAAATTTCTTGCCGAGCCCAAGTCGAATGTGATTCCCTTAAGCGGCATAAAAAGCGGTCACCAGGTTTACGTGATGCAATCGCACGTGCCTCGGTATTTCCTGAATAAATTCTACGACGGCATAAGAGAATGCCCCTGTCGGGTACAACGACACATTGCGTCGTTGACATTATTCGCCGTCATTTTCCGCGCCGTAGACATGTTAGTTTGCTACGACAACTTGAACGATATCGCGACATACAGCCTGAGGTATCGCCTGTGGGAATAAAAACACATATAACTTATGCTAATTGTGTGAATGCATTTTCCCTCTCGGTTTTGGCAAAAAACCAAATACGCCTGAAGTTATTTATTGCCTGTACAAGCCTACATACAGCCAGGGGCATTAAAACTGCAGAATATAAGTTATTAAGAAAATAATACACAAGGAAGTGTTAAGAAAATATATTTTTATTAAATTAGACATTTAAATTACACATGTATATTTATCTGACGTGTATTGATTACAAAAATAATTTTTTTTGAAAATTGTTTATCAAACGTTTTATATAATTATTATATTATTTAATTATTTTTTCTCGTGAAATCTTTACAATTATAGATTAATAATTAAGCAAACTAAATATGTAAACTTTCTTTTTCATAATCTTTTTCTAATCTTTCTTTTAAATATCTTAAATTTTAATTATTCCTAACATGTTGTTGATCTGAATTAGTCACTCTATTTAAAGAATAATAATGATTTGTATATATGAAAGAAAACAATTTATTTAAACAACTTATATATAATATTACATATATAATAACAAACTATATACAACATCACAACATAATGCTTACGATCTATTGTTGCATGTGTAACACTCTTGTCAATAATTTTGGCATAAAGATAAAGAAAATCGTCCGGATTTGCGAATTAATGCTTCCAGCCATGTCCTGAGATCTTATGATGGAAAACGTGCTTATACACCGGCACATGAACTGGATATGGCTTAGGTATTGGCACTGGAAAATGTTTCTCTACAGTCACTGGATATGGTTTCTCGACAACGTATGGAACCTGTAACATAACGAAGTTTTAAATATTTAAAATTTCATAATACATTAACTAATCTATATCTCATGCAAATTAATAATCTAAAATTTCGAGACATATCTTAAATATATATTTTTAAAGATGATTTTTGATTTACTAATATATTATTTGATAAAAAATTCGCTGTTATTATTAAATTCATCATTGTTTTCTATATTTAAAGTACTGTTATTTTTTTTTAAATCAGACAATGACCAAGTTACAAATTAAATTATCAAAATATAAATTTAGATTTATGTGTAATATCACATAAAAGATGTATGACAAATGTGTGCCGATTAATATTATAGAAATAAAATATTATATATATTTATGATGTATTTTAATATTTTAATATTTTAGTATTTTAATATTTCTATATTATATGATCTTACTATTTTAAATTCAATAGATATAATTTAAATTTAAATATATGATATTTTTTTCTATACGCTCGCATTTACGTTATTTATGCTAGAAGATGGTTTTTTTATATTGTAATAATAATGAAAAATAGTTAAAAATCCGAGTTTCTCGCAAGTTCTTAATATTACATAATTATAATAAAGAAACCTTTTTTTCCACGACATACGGTTCTGGCTTTTCAATAGGTATTTCGACATGTTTGACAACTTCTACAGGAACCGGATGTGGAACTGCGACTTGAACTTGATAGGGTTGAGGTATTGGAACTTTAATTTGTTGGGGCACTGGAACGGGGACCGGATGAGGAATTGGTATCGCATACTTCTTGTAGATCGGTATCTCCACTGGTTTAGATGTTTCGTGATAAGTTGTACCACCGTATCCTTCCTCATAAGAGCCCCATACTGTGGCCACCATAGTAATAAAGATCTATAAATGAATTATTAAAATTATTGTTTCGAATGTTGCGAAAATTTTAGCCGCTTTCTAAATGCGATTCTAAGCTTTTCTTTTGACAGTAGTTTCACGAGAAAACTCGGTCGAACACTTCACGCAGATAATTCGCTCTTTCTAATCGTTTGAACAAACCATATTCGGAATGGTGTCACGCAAAGCGCAGCAATTTCGTAATAAATAACTAATTGCAACCTTGTCTCGTTTGCAGCCTTAATTGCTTTTCGTGAGAAAAATAAGATCTTTCTCATTTTTTTTTAACATAGAAAGTTAATGATCAATATACGTAGATTCAAAATAGATTCAAAATAGATTTTAATAAAATTAATGCATATATTAAATTTAAACAAATAATTATTTTTAAAAGAGATAGTTTATAGTTTTAAAAGAGATGATTATATTTTATACTTGTGGTTATAAGATTATAAAGATTTAAATGTGTGTATTTTTTAAAAATACAACTCCACTAAATTAACGTAAAATTTATATGATTTTATATTAGTGTTTATACTAGTTTTATAATGTTCTAATGAAAAAGTAAATTTAATTGTACATGTAATATATGCAATTCTAATGTTCTAATGAACAAGTAAATAATTTAATTTTACATATAATATATGTGATTATTTCTACAAAAATCTAGTTTATGGATAACAATTATCATAAATGCATATTGTTCGGACAATCTAATATTAAATTTTTTTAAAGATACTCACAATTAATCTCATGATCGGCGAATTTGCGCGACGAAAACACTGCCGACAATATCCTACAATCTTTATCCGTGGAATGAACAACAGATTCTATGATGCTCTCAAAGTCACGGCCAACTCTTTATATACCGGCACTACTTTCTCCCTTCTCTTCATTACAGTACTTTACCTGTTTACTATGTCAGATGCACACTTATACATACAGATGCCATTTGTCTGTATGATAGCGCCGAGAGTGATGCAGTTATCTCGATCTCCCTAACGTTCACCAACTTCCGAATGCGCAAAGTAAATTATCAAAATTCCTCATTAAATAGATAAATTATGTTATACTGATTTTTAATATATCGGGTGAATAATAAGCTATTCGTTCGCATATTAATTATTCTCATCATACTCGTGGCAACCATACAGAAATGAAAAATGTATTGTATTAATGGCACACATCGCAGAGTACAGAGCATAGTAAAATAAACATAAATATAAAAATAAATAATTAATATATATAAATAAATTTTTGTGCTATATAAAATATTATATAAAATTATTGAATAAGATAGAAAAATATGTATATAATTTATTAAAATCATTCATTAAATAACATGTAATGATATCATATTACACTCCCTATTAATTTTTTCATCTGCCTAATGGCTTTTATAACTTTTTTATAAGCTGAAAATTATCATAAAACTGAACAGAGTTAATGACCTTACTCAAGATGTAACAGAAGTCATTATTGTAGACTTCACCAGGTAGTAAATGAGAAGATAATATAAGCAAGAAGATAAAACGCATGTAACTATGCTCTGTCACTTTTATTGCCATTTCTACAGCTCTCTTCCTATAATGAGTCAAGTAAAAACCTTTCCTAGATTCTAAAAGAAAGAGTTTTTCTCCAATATATTATAATGTATGTACAATTATTTTTAGAAATGTCATTTTTTATGAGCATAGGCACGTTTTGTATCTATTAGAGAAAGATAAAAGTAAATGATAATAATTAGATTAAAGTAGATAATCTCCAAAAATTTGAATTATATATGTAAAGTTGCTAATTTAATAAAATTAATAAAATGTTATATAATAAAAAAATGTAATATAATAAATAATAAAAATATATATTTTGAAGGATATATATATATATATATATATATTATATATATATATAAAATAAAATATATATAAAATAAATATATATAAAATAATAATATAAATCATAGATTCTTTAACTTTATGTTTGCCGTTAATAACAATAGCGTAAATTTTTACCAAGTATTTAAATCTTTCGCCTCGCACTATAAAATCACAAATAATAAAAGTTATTTTATGTGTATGTGAAATAACGGATATTTAACATGTACATATTTGTGTAAACAATACAAATTACTGTCACAAACCCCGCTTAAAAAGTACGTCATAAGTGTTTGCAACGGGTAAGATTTTAATATGACTGCATTTAGATTGCCAATTTCGATCGATTTATGAAAGGCACTCGCATCTCTCCAGTGGGTGTGGTCGTGCGACAAGAGGGAGTGGAATCCATGGAGAAGATGTGAATCGTGCACGATGTTATCTGTATCGCGCTGAATAGAACAGTGAAAGTGCATCCCAAGTAAAAGTGATTTCACACGTCGATGTAAGAACGTGCGCACTACACGCTGCTCATTATGGTGAATCGAGACCGCGCACGATCTCCTTCCCCTTAGGGCCACAACCAGATTTTTTTCTAGTCGATCGTAATTAAGTCGTCGACAAGGAAACGAAATAGATTGCATACTTTTCGTACAATCTCTTGTAGAAAGGATTTATTTTAAACTGAACGCGGATATTATCATCATCCTCAATCATATATGACAAGGACATGTATGTTATATCAATTGGAATTCTAAAATTTGTATTACGTAGCTAATTAAGTATAAGAAAATAATTTGCCTTATATCTTGTAGCTTTTAGTCTTTTGATAATATAAAAATATTTAATATTTTAATTTATTATAATTATATTAATATTTTTGTTTTCAGCCAGATTTCATATTTTCTTATCATATGTCAAATAATGAGATGCAGAATAATAATGTAATTATTGATTATATATAATAATGTTGCAAAAATTTTACAAATTACTGTTGCTTTATTAATGAATTATTTATTAAAAATAGAACTTGAATCTCATTTATAAAAAAATTATTTTTTATAAGTTTAATATAAAATGTATGGTTTATATGGTTAATATAACATATGGATTATACATATGTGGAGCTATGGAAGTAATTTATTTATTGCGTTTATGTTTAGATTAATAACAAAATATTTATAATTGGAATTGTTTATTAACAATTATTTAGAACAAATATACATATCAATAAAAACTTAACAATATAAAAATGTAACAAAACTATCTACACCGTGACTTACCAGAGTCAATCCGGAGAATTTAAATTAAATTAAATTATCTAACACATATGTGTACATTAATATTTTGTTTCCATATTTCAATCTTAAAAAAAATTTATAATTACTGAAATAATCCTGCAAATAAATTCTAGTGATACGACAAAAACTTCTTTAATAAATGATTATCCCTGTTGAAATTAAAAAGCTAGTGTGTTCCATAATGGCGCAGAAAGACAATTTAAAATTAATATTTAATAAAATTTAATGTCCTCCTTTACCCTTGGATGTATAATGAAACACGTGTTTATAGATCGGGACATGAACAGGATATGGTTTCGCCACTGGCACAGGAAATTTTTTCTCCACGTAAACAGGATATGGCTTCTCCACAACATAAGGAACCTATAAAATATATACATATATATAAATGCAAGATATGACTTCTCCATAAAAACTATAAAATATATACATGTAAATAAGATACATATAATTCATGATATTAAGCAAACTAATAATAATTTTACCATAATTATATCAGAAGGATTTTAGTATATTTTTTGTGAAATAATAAGATATTTATTAATTTTATAGAAAAAACTTCGTATTATATGTGCATATATGTATTTGCTTTTTTTGCATTAATTATAGATTACACAAATGTAAAGACATTAAAAATCGATATTATAATTTTACTTACATGTTTTTCAATAATAACAGGTTCGGGCTTTTCGATGGGTATTTCGACGTGCTTAACTACTTCGACTGGATATGGATGAGGAATTTCGATTGGTACTTTGTAAGGCTGAGGAATTGGTATTTTAATTTCTTTTGGCACTTCGACAGGTACTGGATGTGGAATGGGTATGGCTGAAACAAAATAAGCAAATTTTTTGAACGATTACAATATTTATCATGGTATATAAGAGAGTAAAGAATATTGATTTCTTTTTATCATAAAAATTATACAAATAACAACATAAAAAATAAAGTCTATCCAACTTAATATACATATCAATTTTAATTAATATTTTTTGCGAAAAATTTACCGTATTTCTTAATAATTGGTATCTCCACATGTTTTGTTTTTTCTTCGTATGATGAACCACCCTGATCCTCATCAAAATGACCAGCCAATACCAGACTGCCAAACGAAGCCAGACTTAACAAAAGAATCTGCAATTCAAAATTATTTAACATATTTTATTACATTATTTTTTTGATTTCCAATATATATATATATATATATATATATATATATATATATTAACGGAGTAATTTTACAGGTTGTACAAAAAATTGTAATAAAAATATTACGAAATATCTTTCATATGTATATAATATTTAATTTAAAAAAAATATTTTTTTATCATATATCTATATATATTAAATATATTATTATTATTATATATTATTATTATTGCACAATATCTAATTATAAGTTTCTGTTTTTATTCCAATCATCACTTCGTTAATTTTATTAATAGTTAACACTATTTAACACAGAAAACACATTTATCGCGTAACGTGTAAGCAAATGCCTGAATCTTACAGTTTTACACATATTGATATTCTTGTGAAATTAAATGAAGGTGGAAGTACGAGGAATCGAGCTTAAGTGACTATGTCCGTCAAAGATCGATCTTATATACTGACTTCGAATCCACCACCTTTCACTAAAATCTTATAATAAAGTTTCAATCTTTTCCAGGATACAACACGTTGCATTTCGTATCGCACAACAATATTCATTTTGGAAAGGATTATATTCTACTGGCATGACAAATAGGAAAGGATTACTATACTTACATGTGAATTCTTACGGTTTGTACGGTTCATTACACTGAAGTTTTTTACGAAAATCTCATGATTATGTATATATAAAATGTTTAGGGAAAGTTTTGATGGTAACAATTTGTTATTAGTTATGCTATTTTACAAAAACTTATCTTTTTTACTAAATAAAATGTATACGTAACCAATGTTCGCAATTATTTTTATTTAACTGATTTTTTAATAAAATAAGTAAAATTTTATTCCGACAAAATGCGATATAGGATTAGGATTTAAATTAGATTAAATTATATATCAAATGTTAGTTCTTGAAAGAATTATAATCTATTTTTCTTCTCTTCTTCTCGCTTTTCTGCATTTAACAATATTTTTTGTGATAAAATTTATAACTGTACTTGTAACATTTTACAATCATAAAATTTTAAATGTGTGTTTAAGGTTTATAAAGTGTTTCTCGTAAAAAGTTTCGAAAGTACATCAATAAAATTACGTGTGACTTAAGTTGTAAAAAATTTGCTACCACTTTATCAAATTATCTTACATACACATGACTCATAGTTGTAATACATGTATCTTAGCATATATGATATTTTAATTTTATGATCTTGTACCGTAATATAATAAGACCATTATTTTAAATGCAATTATCACCTAAATACATATTTCAAAACGCTAAAGCAAATTTGATTTGGTTAAGATTTGATTTATTTAAAGATAATATATGGCAAATAGTTGTGCAAACATTAAAATTCCTTGTGAGCCATTTAATAAAAGTTACGAAGGTACTTTCGTGTAAGCGCATGACAGTAGTTCCGCTTACCGGAAATGAAATTCTCTTATATGTACAAGAAGTCCATGACTTCTCAATATAATCTCTATGTGTAAAATGTTTATATAAATTAAATTATTCATGTTAGGGATTTAAAAGCGAATGACTTGGTCACATTCTGTGGTATAATTAATTTTTTTTAAATCTCTACTATAAATCGAATTCTTTTTTGTTGCGTTATTTTAATTCTTCGATAAACGTAATAAAAGAGCATCCACCGGATACATAATAATAAGAATTCGATTTCCATTTACTTACATAAAAAATTCAAACTATACAAACTATACAATACAAATTATACGGATACAATTATGCAGCAAGATAGTTCCCTCTGTATTCAGCTTTTAGACTCAATAGGAAGTGAACGCAAAGTACACTTTTGCTTGAAGAGAGAAATGTTAAAACATTTTTCGATATGTCAGAATGAAAGTACGAAATACAACTCGCCGTGAAAGGGTTCCGGGCGGAACATTAAAGACATTCATCTGTGAAAGGCAATGTAAAACCATTTTAAAAATAGATTAGTAATAAATTTATGATATTTAATAATTATTTCATAATATTTCAAAACGAAATAATCAATATTTATGATATTGCAAATCGTGCTTACTACATTCATTATATTAACGGAAGAAAAGTTAATAACTATTATATTTATACAGTATTGTTTTTTTCAAACTCCTGGTTTTTTAACTTCTCTCTTTAATTAATTATTAACATGACAAGTCTTCCATAGAAGGAAACGTATGCGTTTCTAACGCATGGAGAAACTCCAAGGCTCTGAAAGACCATCTCAATTAACGTCAATGGTAGAGCGATATTGCTAATTTACTCCTGTAGAAAATTGGACAAATTTACGATCGTTATCGTCGTAGAGACTCACGATCTGTCGCTCACAAGAGTTTAAATCCGTATTTCAATGCAAATTGTTTTTGGTAATAGTAAGCTAATAGAGTAAACGAGTTCTGATCTTGATATTGAAGAAAGTGAATGAATCGAAAAAATAATATTTCTTAATGAAATTCCGCTATTTAATAGATTTGCCTCTTGAGTTAATTATATATTTTATGTAGTAACTATATAAAATCCTTGAATTTTTAATATCTAGTTTATATTATTACATACCATATTAAAAAATTTAAAACAAGATTAAAAAATTAAAAAATAATATAATATATAAATATATAATTTAATAGCAAATATACAAACTGTTTCAAAGCTATTTCGAATTCGTTTTAAATTTATAAGTATTACTTTAGTACACTGTATATGGATTAGTACACTGTAGACGGACATTTTTAAATAATCAATTTAAAAGTACAAAAGTTGTAAAACAGTTATTTATTAATTTTCATTAACAAATATTAATGAAACATTCATATTATAAAATTATTATAATTATAATATAATAGATATCGCGAAAAGCAGGAAACTTTATGCGAATATTATAATAGAGAAAATTGCGATACGATATATTAAGATACATAAAACTGTTTGGAACAGAGTAAAGATTCCTTCGAAAGAAGAAGTAATGCGCCAGAAAATTTCTCATAATGATTGCTCATGATGATAGAAGACCGCTATGAATTCATAATTCTTTCCCGAGGCGTCGAAATAACGAGCGTAAGTCAACGAATCCATCGGTAATGTGGAAAAAGGAAGTTAGAGAAAGAAGTCTACGCCGGGAAAAAAAGCTCATGGCGAAAGTAAAATTCAAAGTCGATTTACTCTTAACAATCACCGTGACCGGTAGTGATTGTATATTAAGTATTAAAGAGCCTTCCTGGGATTCGAACCACCCCAGGTTACTTACTTTTACATATGATTCATAGACAAAATTAACGATCGATTGACTTTCTCATGATCGAGATCAATTTCCTTCTCTGCGTTAGCAAACCTGAAATTATAATATGAGATTATCAGGTGTTTATAACGTTAAAATAATGTATGTTCAAGACTGTATTTGCAGAACAATCATAGAAGTTGAAACGAAATAAAATTAACTAAAGTCATCGTTGTTTATATTTCGTTTTTGCTTTTGATACTTTAAGTGTCATCAAATTGTGAAGATTATGGCAACTCGATAGATGGTATTATGGTTTAATTTGAGATGCGAATGCTCGGAAATGAAAGACTAATTGTAAGTTAACTATGCGCAACCGCAATCTCGTTTCGAGTACATATACACACTTCCGGTCGCACTATAATGATTTTTTATGTGAGATTGTTCCAACAGGAAAAAGAGAGGGCTCATTCTCTTCCTGCTTTTACGACGGTCAAAACTACTACGACCAGAGAAACAGCAACAGTCTATTTCCGATTTCCCTTTCGCTGCCTTTTTTTTTCGTTGTCGTGTTTATGACGGCAAAACGACGATAGAGAGAGACTCTCTATCGTCGTTTTATGCTCTTTAAACAGAACAGGAAGACATTGTTGTTGCATAATTTTTTTTTCAATTTGAAAGCCTTTCTTTATTTTAATTTCACGCTCACTGACTGTCTCTGCTTTGTGTCGGGGTGTCATAATTAAAATGTACTGGTATTCTTCACTGATTCCAGAGTCTTTTCTCCTTTTTAGCAATGTCAAGGCAAAAGAGAATTCGCTCTTTACTTTTCATATTCATCTCTTCTGTACCAAGTCCTTTGTTAACTTTACCTCGCCTGTGCAGTAAAACATACTATTATGCGATATTATTTAATATATAAATATAAATAAAATTATTGTGCAAAAATAGGTAAAGGTAAAAATGTGCTTCCTCAATAATTTTTTTAAATTAAATTATTTAATTAAAAAGTTGAAATGTAAAATGATAAACGAATATGTTCTAATGATTTTACTAATTGCGAGTAAAGAATAATTATTTTTTTAGATTATTTAAATAAACTTCCCGAGAGTACATCAATCATTTAATAAATAATTAATTTACTAAAATGCTGTAATTTTCTACACACACACACGCGCGCGCTGTTAGATTTTTAAACGCGATCACGACTAATATCGAAACACAATTCGTTATAATGATATGATTAATGATATAATTAAAAGGTTCTGAGATACATCAATCGTTTAATAAATAATTAATCTATAATTTAAAATATTTCTATACTTTAATATTCCACGCATATATGTATTAAAATACGTAAAATATTTCGGCAAACGAATTGACAACACGGTGTTCGGCCTTGACAGTATATCGCGCTATTGTTTATATCTCCCGGCCTCAGTGTTATTCGCACGGCGACGCTCAAGCAGTATGGTGCTACGAAACATATCATACATTGTCAAATTCTTTTTCTAGACATGATCGCTACTAATATCGAAACATAATTCGTTATAATAATATGATTAATGATATAATTAAAAGGTTCTGAGATACATCAATCGTTTAATAAATAATTAATCTATAATTTAAAATATTTCTATACTTTAATATTCCACGCATATATGTATTAAAATACGTAAAATATTTCGGCAAACAAATTGACAACACGATGTCCGGTTTTGACAGCATAACGCGCTATTGTTTATATCTTCCGGCCTTAATGTTATTCGCACGGCGACGCTCAAGCAGTATAGTGCTACGAAACATTTCATACATTGTCAAATTCTTTTTCTAAACATGATCGCTACTAATATCGAAACATAATTCGTTATAATAATATGATTAATGATATAATTAAAAGGTTCTGAGATACATCAATCGTTTAATAAATAATTAATCTATAATTTAAAATATTTTTATGCTTTAATATTCCACGCATATATGTGTTAAAATACATAAAATATTTCGGTAAACGAATTGACAACACGGTGTTCGGCGTTGACAGTATATCGCGCTATTGTTTATATCTCCCGGCCTCAGTGTTATTCGCACGGCGACGCTCAAGCAGTATAGTAGCACTACGAAACATTTCATACATTGTCAAATTCTTTTTCTAAACATGATCGCTACTAATATCGAAACATAATTCGTTATAATAATATGATTAATGATATAATTAAAAGGTTCTGAGATACATCAATCGTTTAATAAATAATTAATCTATAATTTAAAATATTTTTATACTTTAATATTCCACGCATATATGTATTAAAATACGTAAAATATTTCGGTAAACAAATTGACAACACGATGTCCGGTTTTGACAGCATAACGCGCTATTGTTTATATCTTCCGGCCTTAATGTTATTCGCACGGCGACGCTCAAGCAGTATAGTGCTACGAAACATTTCATACATTGTCAAATTCTTTTTCTAAACATGATCGCTACTAATATCGAAACATAATTCGTTATAATAATACGATTAATAATATAATTAAAAGGTTCTGAGATACATCAATCGTTTAATAAATAATTAATCTATAATTTAAAATATGTTTATGCTTTAATATTCCACGCATATATGTATTAAAATACGTAAAATATTTCGGCAAACGAATTGACAACACGGTGTTCGGCCTTGACAGCATAGCGCGCTATTGTTTATATCTCCCGGCCTCAGTGTTATTCGCACGGCGACGCTCAAGCAGTATAGTACTACGAAACATTTCATACATTGTTAAATTCTTTTTCTAAACGCGATCGCGACTCGAAACATAATTCGCTGTTGATTACAATTAATAATTAATTAATTTTTGATAAGCGACATGAAATAGTATGTTGATAAATCTTTATTGAAGAACAACACTATTTATTGCAAATAAAATTTAAAGCTAAATGACAATATTATATAAAGCAATATTTATATAAAATATAAACTTCGTTAGAATTCTTTGAACAGCCTTACGGATAATAATTATTTCTAACAATGTTGGAGTTTCATCTGATATTTTAAATTTTTCTAAAATACAAACATACATTAATTATTAATTAAACAAGTCACGCACGGCTGTTCATCATTAATTTTTTTTGGTTTTACGATTTATATCATATACTATATATATATATATATACCACATATACATGTACACATATACTATATATATATCAGTAATAATAAGCTTATTATAACGAGTCGTGCATGATTTTAATTTCTTGATGTAAATGTCAAACAAATCGTACTTTTCGCGTATTGTTCTTTTAGAATATAATAAAATGCGTATTTTGTGTGATTATTTCGCAATCGAAAGTGCTGCGCAAAATATTTTGTATAATTCGGCTAATCATATTTAACTATGTTTTCGTGAGTGTAAGTGCCAAGAAAACAACAAAGGAAAGAAAAAAAAGATATGACAAAGTATTAGGCGACGGACAGAGCAACTTATGTAACAAGTAAGTTATATTTATATTTACCATTTATATTATATTGCTGATTCTTTACCGCTGATTTTCTCGATTTATTCTATAATAGTGATATTCTATTTTAAATTATCATATAAAAATATAAAAATATAACGCATATATAAAATATTTCAGGTTTTAATTTTAAATACGTAAAGTATTTTTAATAAAATATTTTTATGCAAGATAAAAATATATTATAATATCTTATAAAAATTATAATATCTTATAAAAATTATATAATATATTATAAAAAATTATATAATATATTATATAATTAACCCTCCCATGGGTACACCTTGACGAGGTGGGAGGGCTTAGTACTTGGATGGTACCTTGAGGTTTATCTTAAATTTTTTTAAAATTTAGGATAAATCTTAAGGAGCCTGAAGAAGAAGCTAAGTACCCATCGCCACGAGTCGCACAATGGCTCCTATGTGGCACACGCATTAATGCGTTGTCAACTTTCCGTCGTCGGTGCCGTCAACGTGTCGCGGACGGCGGCGTTTCGTTACCGCGTTTTCGCGTCATCGCGTTTTCGCGTTGGACTTTCTCGCAATCCCAATTTCATTTATTTGTTATCATCTTCCGATGTCAATTAATCGGGATGTCTCATTGAGTCGTTATCATTGCAACGTTCTCATATAAGATAAGGTATTATATAAGGACGCGGACAAGAGTCGAGTGAATCCTATTCGTCGATTCCATCAATCGATAGTTTTCTTCCGTTTCGGACTTAACTTTTATTCGGAGGTAACGTTGAATTCTCGACCTGACTTGAAGATGATTCTCATAAGTGAAATGGGATTTTCGCTCGAAATCGGGAGTGCCGATCAAGTATATATATATTAAATATATACATCGCGCGACTAAATAGAAAATTTTTGATCGTATCGAAATTCGGGAGTACCGTTCAAAGTATCGTGCGTAAAAGTGCGGAAATAGCGATAAAAATATCGCTCGTAAGTGCGGGAGTGCTGATAAAAGTATCGCGCGTCCAATTGTAAGATTGATCTGAGAGGAGGAGGAGGCCTAGGACAGGCATCCTGCATCGGCGGGGCAACCTGAAGGTGAATATTTATTATTTGTATATTAGTTGTTACAAATCGTACACGCGCACAATTCAGTCTTTTTTAAATGAATTAGACGAGAGGAAATTACAGGGAAAGATTTTTCATGAAAATTGTGTAGAAGTTTCTATTCAAAAAATAATTTTAAAATTTATAAAATTTTTCCATATGTATATATTTGCTTATTATTTTACACATCAGATATAAAATTCGATACAATAATAATTTCTTGAATTATTAATTACTTGGAATTGTTATAATTTATATATTAATTGTTGTTTATATTTGTATGTTACAGACAACGTAGCTTCGATTTCAACAACTCCGCTGTTGCGCATCAGTGTCGGTGAGTGATAAACTCTCTTTTACTTAATTTTAAGGTAATGGATTTGTAGAGATTGTAAATAGATTCCGTTACCTTAAAGTGAATGGACTATAATAAATTAGACAAATTATTAAAACTTATATAAAACTTTTAATGTTTTTTTGTATCTATTAAAACATTACGCAAATTTAAAGAAAAAAAATTTAAAGAAATAAAAGCATAAAAAATATTTTAATTTCTTATCAATTAATTGTATAATCAATTATTTATTAATTATTCATTTTATTTAATAAAGAACACGTTAATGATATTAAATTTTATTAATATTAAATATAATAATTTATTTTTGTTTATAATGCACGCCAAATTTTTATTAATTTTTTATAGTCCATTCATCTATGTAGAATAATAAATATCAGAAAACTTTGTTTTGACTAATATAAATATAAATTATCTTTTATTGAGTTATAATGTTTAAAGAGATTAATATCATAAAAATATGTTAAAAAATATATAAATGAATGTTTAATTTATTTTATTTTATTATAAATTTATTGTAAATGTTATGAATAATACTACGTATTATAAAAATTGCAATCGAACAATTTTGATTGATGGTTAGCACTATATTAGTTAAAGCAAAGTTATATTAAGACGACATAACAAACGGTCGTTATGTACGATCATAAACAAGAGCGTAAAATTACGCTTACACACCGATGAGTAACAGGTAACAGAAGAAATTCTTTCTCCTTCTTCGATCTCTCATAGAAGTGGCAGTTGCTTTAGCCTTGGCTAAAAGTAGCCAAATTAAATGCAGCTAACATTAAAAAAAGATAGGTCCAATTGACATCAAGAATACTCTAAATAAGATAAATGACTAAAATATATACTGATCAGAAAACGAAAATATATATTGATCAGAAAACGAAAGAAAACGAAAGATACTCATAAAAGGAAAATACATACATGTTCCTACGTACAATAATACATAACACACAAAATAAACGCATAAAATAAACGGATAAAATAAACGGATTTAACGCATAAAATAAACGGGTAAAATAAACGGGTTTAACGCATAAAATAAACTACAGTATGAAAGAAACAGAAACGTAAAAAATATACAGAGATAAAAAAAACTACTGAACCGGTGCGTTCATGAATAAAATCATGATTAGGACACATTTCCTAAATCTTAGTAATTGCGAATTCCCTCTGACTTAATCAGCAAATAGGGTAACTAGAACTGTTAGGATCGCTAGGATTTTGTTAGGATCATCTAGGGAGATTATATAAGATGACTAAAATTGTTAGGGTTGTTAGGATTTATATAATAGAATTATTAGTATTATATAAATATATTATAAGATATATTATAAGATAAAATAGTATTATATAAATATATTATAAGATATATTATAAGATAAATATATTACAACTCTTTATAGGATATTAAAACTGGTTACATAATTTAAGATTCCAAAATTACATTTTTAAAAAAGCGATCAAGATTAATACATTAATAGATTAATACAATCAAGATTAATGTATAATATTTGACATCATTCTCGAATTTATTTTGAAATATTCACATTTTATATATAAGATCATTTAGTAGATTGTTTATGTAGGTATTATTTATAATGTGAATATTTAATAATGATTGTATGAATTATATTCTTACATTTTACATCTGTAAATCTTTTACAAAAAGTAACATGTTAAAAAATGAAAATGTAATTAATGATGAGATTATAACAGTTATATTGAAGCATAATATTGATTTATTATCAGACAAGCTACAATATACAAAATATTTAACTAAAAATTTCCATATAAATGTTTCTACATCTATTAATAATTGTTTAATCTAAATCTTGCGGAAAGAAATATTATATTTAATAGAATTGGACATTTTTTAGGTATGAGAAATTAAACTTCGATATAAAAATATTTTACAAGAATATCATTATATACGTTTATGCATAATTTTGTGAAAAGATTAGATAAAAAATAATAACAACAATAGAAACATATTTCTGTAACACAGAGAAATCAATGGCCTTTGTGTACAATAGTTTTGTAGATCGGAATTTTAATCGGAATCGGTTTTTCGACCGGAACAGGAACGTGTTTTACTACGTGAAACGGCACCGGTTTCTCGATCTTAATCGGTATTATTTTCTCGACGGGCGTTGGTACTTTTTTCTCGACTGTCTTAATTATTTGCTTCTCCACCTAAAAAGACAGAATAATTTTAACGAGAAGAGATAATATAACAAATGATTTTACTGTCAAGTTGAAGTTAATTAATCGCATAGTCACCTCATATGGTACAGGCTTTGGTATTACCACAGTAACAGGGTAAGGTTGTGGAACTGTTTGCACCACTGGATGCGGAATGTTAATCGGAACTTTTTTGATTGTTGGTATTCCTATTATCATATAGAAAACAAAAATAATACTCAGATTATAGAATTTAATTATTAATAAAATATTGAATAACAATAGACATTAATTAATATGTATAAATTAATTCTTTATAAATGAATTTTATTGTTAACACTTATTAATTTCGATATTATTAATTTTTTATAAATATTATAAAAGATTCACTTCTTTAAGACTTAATTTTTTATTTAAAGTTTTATTTTAAAGTATTTTTATTTATTTATATTATTTTTCGTTTTTATAAATCAATAAATTAATAATTTTTTTACTAAAACGCAATTTTTTTGTAAATACATGACGTTAATATACAAATGCAGTAGCATATGTTAATAGAAATCAATATAAATTATTATCTTTACCGATGTGCTTAACCACAGGAATTACATTAGCTCCATGAAAACTGCTAATGCTCGAGTGCCAATCACTAATTTCATTTGAAAGAGATGAATGATCTTCCGAAATATCTAAGGAATGACTTCCTAAAAAATTTAGATTCATGTTTTAACACATACACATTTATAACGAGTTATTTAAGCAATCAATAATTATTATCATATAATTGTCGAAAATTTGATATCTAGTTATACTATGATTAATTTTAATTTATACGTAAAAAATGTTTTAGAATGTTTAGAAATTTTAGAAATAAATTGTGCAAATAAGAAACGAAATAATAAAAAACGAAATATGAATGTTCAAACCTGTTTCTCCCAGATTAAAACTTCCCAAGTCATGATGGTTTATAGAGATTTCCCCCAGTGTAAGCCCGTCTCCACCATAATTATCAAAGCCCCAGTTGGAACTATAGGAACAAGCGACAATTCCCAACAGCACAATCTTAAACATTAAATAATAAATATCACCAATATTACAAGAAATATAAAGCTCTCTCTATCTCTATTATTATCGACTTTTAGAAATTAATTGCACAGAAAGCACGCTTTATAATTTACTTAATTCTAAATAGTTTTAAAGATAATAATTGTTAATTCACGAGCTTGTTTATATTTTATTATCTAAGAGATAGAGAAATATTACGTACAATTTTTTTCATCGTTTAATGAAGATATTTATATCTCTGTCGTTCATCAATAAGTGAATCTACTTGGCATAAATTCGGTTCGTCGTCATCTTATATACCGCCTCAACAGAGAAACAAACAACCCCACTATTCTTTGATCTCCTATACCTTCACCGTACAAAATGATATGAATAGCTCGATTATGATACTAATGGTCACAATAATAAGAACGTTACGTAACGTTTAATATGCAATTGTTAATAATTACTTATATACACACAGTGTATACTATTTTAATTACTTTATTGTTTCTTAATATAATTGTTAATGATAGATATTTTTAACTTGCCAATTACTATATATAATAATATTTTGCGAGAATTCGAAAATTTAATATTAAAAAATCTAATATTAATAAAAATATCTTCTCTAATAATAGTAATAATAAGTGAATACACACACACATACATACACACACATAAGTACATAACTATATAAATATAATAATAATAATAATAATAATTGCTAATTCATAAGCCTGTTTATATTTTATTATCTAAGAGATAGAGAGAGAAGTTGTGTAATAATATATGTGTAATAAGATATGTGTAATAATATTATGTAATAATATATCCTCCTTTTTTAAATTAATTTCAATAGTAAATTACGGTCATTATCGCATTTAAATTTAATTAAATTTTTTTTTGCGTAAATTGTATTGAAAATTTTACAATTGATAGAAAATTCCAGAAGATTTTAAGAATAAACTAAAAATAATATTTTGATTAATGTTAGATTTTTAATTAGATTTCATAAATAAATAAATTCATATGTATTTATATTAAGTATCCTTTTTACTATAACAATAAGTTTGTTAATATCTTTAAATTCGATAACTCTCTTAAAATATTCTGAAATAATATGTAAGATAAATAGATTTTTAAAGTTTATTTAGCGCGTAAATTTTATATTGAGTGTAAATAAATATAGAAAATTCAGAAGAAATATGTAATAAAACACAATAATAAAATTATTAAAATTTTCATTTTTTTATTTCTAATCAGTATTCTTGCACATTTTTTTTATTTAATTAAATTATTATCTTTATTTTGCTAATTTTTAACTATATTTATATTTTATATTATAACCAATTGATATCAATAAAAGATTTATATAACAGTAAAATATTAAAGGAAAAATATTCTATATTTATTTAAGTTTTTTTACACTGTATATAAATATTGTATAAATTACTTCTTGTCGTTTTATTGGTTTTTAATTATAATAATACAAGAAGCATTGAATTTATCTTGTTAGATGTATCCACAATGTTGTCAACGTCATGGATGATTTGTTGTTGCGATCGTGACGATTTCGCAAATGAACATCATAGGCAAAATCAATCTATTTAATGTCCACTTTCCACAAGGGAATTCCTAGTGCTTTTATCGAAAATTACAGTGAAAGCCTATTATACGAATGCCTCTCGCTCTACGACGCGCTTGTAACATTCGAAATAACTAATATTTGCTAATATTAACTAATATTGCTTCTATCAAATTAATTATTGCTTCTATCTTTATGCTCCTTTATTAAAATACTAAAAATAATTACATATGATAATATTAAATGAGTTGACACAAAATAAACATATTTAATGTTCTAAATACAATTTTAAAAATAGATGATAAGTTAATAAGTTAAATAAATCAAAATCAAAGAGAGAGAAATAATATAAAATAATTATAACACGGGATGAAAAAATGAACAAATTAAACAGATGATAGATTAAAATAAATTTATTATTATTTAATTAAAACAGATGTCTATCATCCATGTTGTTGCACATAAGTTATAAGTAGCTATATAATTTAAAGTTTACTTTTATTACTTATTATTATTGAAAGTAATAAGGAACGTAGTCTTTAATTACATTTAAATAAGCTCGTTAATTTAATTTATTACCTGGCATTTTTTGAGATACGTGCAAAGCTAGCAAGGAACTGGTAAAGGATGTTTATTAAATAAGAACATCAAAAATAGTTTTATAAGCATTTTATTGAAAAACAACAAAACAACAATTTTTAAAAAACATTAGTTTAACAATACGCCGGTTACATCGACGTTCATACAATGTTCGTTTAAACATATATACAAGAAATAAATCATAGTCGATAAGCATTCGACCAGTGGAACAAAACATGAACTGTTTTTCCTAAAGTTTCTCTTATTGACAGCAGGAATATTTTATCGGAGTTAAAAATGAATATACATCTGTCAATATAATACTTTGTTTCGGTCCAATTCAATTGGTTTTTAAGTATCACTTTTTTCAATACAAGAAGATAATATTTTATTACTTAAAATTTGAATTAATTGGTTATAATAAAATGCGATTAGATTAATTCTAAACAATCTTAACATTTAAAATATTTAAATATTCGTAATGATTTTCCAAAAACCCCAAATATATACATTTCATAACAAAAACAAGTTTGCTCAAAAAAAATATTTCTATGTAAATCGACCATTTCGTCTCTTCCATCACAAATTATAATATATTTTTAAAGTAAATATTTTAATGGATCTAATTTAATTTAAATCCATTAATCGAAAGACATAGATTGCTAAGGATTACCCATGAATTGTATCATGCTCCTTTTTCTCTTATGTTAAACATACATTAATGCTTTTTTGCGTGATGATAAATAGTCTTGTAAACGGGAATTTTGATGGGATATGGTTTCACGACTGGAACAGGAATATGTTTCTCGATCGTGATGGGAACTGGCTTCTCGACGGGTACCGGTATGTGCTTCTCTATAGGATAAGGAACTTTCTTCTCTACTGGAATTGCCACCGTTTTTATTACCTGTATAGGAATATGCTTTGGTACAGGAACATGAACAGGATAAGGTTGTGGAACACCAACTGCTACCGGATGTGGCACGGCTATCGGTACTGATTTCGGAACTGGCACACCTGAAAGAAATTTATTTTTCTATTAAAGGGTGTTTTTCAGAACAAAATAAATGATAAAGCGAGCAAAAAATATATGTATAACAAATTTTTGTCGTAAATTTGTGTAAATATTTAAACTCTTTTAATAAGTTAAAACTCACACGGAAAAATTAAAAGATAATATCTGTATATATTCAAAGTTCTTCATATAACATTGAAAAATAATTTATATATATAAATTTTTTTATAAATTTTAATACAATATTACGATTCGAAATCTAGAAAAGAATGAAAGTGAGAATACTCACCGATATGTTTATAAACCGGTATAGCTACGGGTTTTGTCACTTCGACATGTTCGGAAACAGGAACACTATGAACGTAATTATGTCCACTGTCCAGCGATATTCCATGACCGCCATCATCACTGCCATGACCACCATCATATCCACCACCGGAAGAAAAATCCTGATGACTACTGTCAAGACCGCTCGATGATTCTAAATGCCCACTGGAACCACCACTGAAATCACCCCCATGATCGCTCCCATAATCCGCACTGCCACCATAGCTACCCCCGTAGCTACTTCCGTAACTGCTATCATAACCGCTGCCGGAAGTACCAGAAATTTCTTGATCGGATCGATCGATTGTGGGCTGGATCTTGAATATTTGCATCATATAGTGTCTGCCATCCTGGTCCACGATTACCGGCGCAGCCGCAGCCAGAGACACCAGAGAAAGAAGCACCTGCATTTCGTACAAAATGATGTTATCAAAAATAAGAGATGCATACTCTAATTTGTGAGAAGTGTGATGATAACTTACACAGAAAAGTTCATTATATAAAGCATATAAAAAATTTAAACAAATTTTCTGATCTTATGTTCTTTTAGTAATAAATTAATTTCTGCGATCTCTCTTTCTATTATATTATGTAAATATTAAATGCATTATTTGTTGATAAAAGTTACTAAAATTTGAACTGAAAATCAATTAAATAATCAATACAGATTAATTAAATAAATCAATACAGATACTGACAAAAAATTTCTATATAAATTTACATGTAATTTTAATCTAACATAAGTTTTATCGTAATTTTAATTATCGACACAATTGTCGTACTTACGATTCTACTCATATTCGAACACGTGTATTTCGGTCTGTTGATAGCACAAGTCTCTTGTGCGACTGATACATGTTCGGCATTTCTCGTCTTAATATACCGTGAGGCCTTTCACTGTGATTTTGTCTTACTTCGTACTTCGGCGAATTACACTCACCATGTGTAATTGTCTACTCCATGCGCGCATGAAAATAATTGACCATGTCCTTGCGGCCTTCACATTGACAATGAATTAGACATTTTCTATTCCGTCACGCAGTGAGTGTCAATGTGAATTTGCACATTCGCCGCCTTTACTGTAAACTATATCACTGCATTAACATATTTCCTATAGGAATCGTTAAATTTTGCATTTGTCAGAAAACCTCTATCCTCCACAGTTTATTCAGTTATTTTAATTTAATTGTTTTTATCATATAATCTTTTTCATTCTGTTATTAATGTCTTTTGTAAAGAAAAGTTTTGTCAAGAGTTATTTATAATTAGTTTATTTGTGAGAGATAGAGAAAGAGGAAGGAGAGAGAGAAAGGAAGAGAGAAAAAATGTAGTAATATCTTTATAGAACTATGTAATTTATTATTTGATAAACAGTATTTAATTTAATTAATTATTTAGTTACAATTATGTGATATATTGTAACGTTTAATTTATTTAAAATTTTAATATTTTTCTAATAAAACAAGAAAGCATACAATTCGTGGGTATACAATTTAAAACATATTGAAGTAAAAAATATTTATATTCAGTGTAATAATTTATATCGTGTTTTGCGATGAAATTAAATTTGTAATTAAATTTGTAACATAATGGTTATTAATTTCATTGAAAATAATAAAATTTATAAAACAATAGATCAATTTTTTTAGTATACGCACGCGTGCATTAATTTTTAACTATGGGAAGAGAGCATAACGAATGTGTGGATGCATCCAGATGCACATAGTGCACTAATTTTTTATTATTATAATAATTAGTAAGATAACTTAAGTACTGATGATCTAATGCATGCGATTTTCTCTAAAACTTCCACGAGATTTTATCGTTTAATTTTATTTAAAAAAATATATATAAAATAAAAATCAATTCCATGTTCTTAAATTTAACATAATTATATTTATGTAATATTTTTTTATATGTGAAATATCAAATAAATTGTCAATTTTTGCACTTCACAAAGATATAATTGAGGTATAATTTATATTTTTCCATAGATATATATAATTTTAAAACAACTACTAAATATAAACGTATAACGTTTTTAGATCTATGATAAAAAATTTTAAGTGTAAATAAAACAGAATTAAAATAAACGCTTTTACACATTATAATCAGTTTAGTTAGACTCGGAAGAGAAATGAAATTTCTTACTTACTGAACTGTAACCACTTCCGAAGAATCGAAATTGAATTGCAATTCATATAATAATTAATCATGTGAATTATTTACAGACATAATTGTAAAATATATTAAAAAACATATTATAAAATATTTTTAAAAATCTGTGACCAATTGCTAACGTTTCAGTTAATCACTAATTTAAACCGTCTTTATTATAATCTCCTATGATAACATGTCGGCGGAAATTACACGGAAATGAAAGGAAGTGAACGTCTACATAATGCGCGTAAGGTATATTATACATCATAGTATGGCTATAAATCTATTATATACAGACTCAATAACTTTCTATGTAGCCTTTCAAGCTAAATATAAGACAGCAAAAAATTGGCAAAAAATGCTAACAAATTATTGAGACATTCTGTATATTACACATTAAATATACATTAAGAAATATAATACAATTGAACAGAAGATGATTCTTCGTATAAAAATAAACTGCAAAGAATAAAACTAATAAATCGAAAAGTGTAAGGTTAAAATTATTTCATACGATATTTTTTTTCCGGAAAAATTTATTTCTTTATTTTCACAAATAATGTTTTTCCTTGATTTTTAGAATTGATATATGCATTAAAGTTAGTGTAAAATTAAAAATAAAAAAACATTAATTTAACATTACTTGATTTAGATTTATAAAAAATTACATTGTTTCTTAAAATATATATAATGACATTTATATATATAATGGCATTCCTTTATATATATAATCATATTTAAAAATTAACGGAATATATGCATTCTAAAAATGCATAAATGTTATACATATTATTATGTAACAAAATAATCGATTTTTCTATAAAAAAGGAATGCAATATGCAATAGTTTTATGGAAAAAAAACATGCATAAAACAAAAGAAAACAATATGAAGTTTAAAATTACTGTAAAGCTTTTTAAAATTTTTTTCTCTTAATTAATTTTATTATTACATAAAATGTTTTTTATCAATTTTATTATTACTTCTTTATAAGCATTCCACTAGGAGAAAGAATGAGAAAAGGAGGTGGAAATAAGAAATAAAAAAAATAAAGAATGGAAAGAAGGGAATGACAAAGAAAAGAATAAAAGGTGGAAAAAAGAAGAGAAAGAAAAAGGGAAAAACGGAAGCAAAAGGAGATTGAAAGGAGAAGATTGGAGATTTAAGAAAACGAAAGGGCGAAAAGGAGAGATGAAGAAAGAGTTAGGAGAATATGAAAGGGAGAGATGGGAGGGAATACATAAAGTATTATATAGTTAATATACAGAATTGTGTATAAAGATTTGGGGCTGCTTGTTTAAAATCCCAAGGGGGAGAAATATATAAATATCCTTTATTCTTTTTATCTTATTACTTCTTTATAACTTAAGAAATGGATAATGACAAATATAAATATACCATACGAAATATAATACGATATTTTGTTTATTAAATAAGATTATTATTTGGCGACAAATAAAGAACACATACATTAACAACTATAACAAAATTGGCGTTATAAGGAAACGCGGATGAAAAAATAAACATAGTTCTCTCGTATTATCAACGACGAATCTCTTGTTTAGTAACATTTATTCGAGAGAAGAATCATTGCTACCGGTATCACACTCAGCGTCATCCGGTTTTCGAATATGCTTCATGAAGCTAAAATTATTTGTGTCTCTTTGAAGTCTCATCTAATACTAAAAATAGCACTTTTCTTAATATATTCGACCGCGACGATATTTCCTCGTCCTCCGATGGAAAATATGTTTGTAGACTGGTATATGAATCGGATATGGCTTTTCTATTGGAATAGGCACATGCTTCTCTATAGTTATTGGCATCAGCTTTTCTACGGGTACTGGTACGATCTTCTCTATCGGATACGGCACCTTCTTCTCCACCGGAATCGCTATGGTTTTCACGATCGGTACGGGAATAGGCTGAGCTACTGGAACTTGAACAGGATATGGCTGAGCGACGGTTACTGCTACAGGATGAGGTACGGGAATTGTCACGGGCTGTGCCACTGGAACTCCTATATTCCCAGGAAAAAAATGATTTATTGCATTTATTAATAATGATTCTTCTCTATTTCTTTCGGTATTGAGTATTGAGTATTGAGTTAAGGAAGGAAATCAATATTGTTGAAGGGGAAGAATAATTCCTTTTCGTTTGTTACATTTATGATAGCTTATAATGGAAGCGAGACCTTCATAGAAAATTAATTCTTACTACTTAGTGAAAGAATAAGAAGTTTATCGATCTTAATCGAATAATGAATGACAAAAGATGACAAACAAGTAAAGTTATAGTATTTTACACGTAACATAGTTAATTTTTTATAGAATGTTTTTTATTATACAAAAACAAAACATGACTCAATTGTGATATAATGTCTTTTTACTTGGAATGATGCATAATTATGATATAATATTATCTAATATTCTTTCTTTCTCTAATCAAATATTATATATATATATATATATATATATATATATATATATACACTTATTTATTTATTTACTTATAGATAAATAATAATTTTAAATTAAAATTAAATAAGGAAAGAAAAAATTTGAGTAGAGTTTGAAAAAATTTATATTGTATGCTTTACAAGTAAAAAAATGAGAAATATACTGTGAAGTTTAAAACTTGTTATATAGCAAAGTTTCGTAATATATTTTAACATTCAAACGAAACTTTTCTTTTGCGTGTTGACTAAATAAGAATTTTCTCTTTTTACTACTTTCAAAATGCAGGATTAAGTATCTGATATGATTTCCTTATTCCGTTTTTAATGAGATTTGTTCATTACATAACTTTCGGACAGTCAATAATAAATGCCGATATATTAATTCAATAATTTTTTTGCTAATAAAATTATGTTATTTGCATTTAATTGTTTATACAAAATAAATTTATATGGATTCTATGCTGATGATTATCAAATGGCATTATTATGACATCAAAATTCATTGTTTGTCGTATATTATAATGTTAATTATCTTAATATAAATTATATATGTGCGTTTATGCTGTCATTATAAAACAAGATTTGGAATCGTTAATTTTTTAAATTTTAAATAATTCATGGATTGTTTAAAATATTTTATTTCTTAACTTATTTTACACTATAATTTATGGAATCTTACCAATATTTTTTACGATTGGCACTACCACTGGTTTTGTAATTTCCACGTGTTCGCTGATTGATACAGGTTGAGCAAATGTATGAATATTTCCCATATTGTTTAATTTTTTACTTAATTCTACATGAAAATCGCCATTGTTTCCATGAGAAGAAATCGATCCATAAGAAGAGAGATCTTGATGAATTTGTGCATCATTGACATTGGAGCCATAATTCATAACTCTATAAAGATATAGTAATTAGTGGATAATAATATAATGAAACGTGAAATTTTAGAAAATAATAATCACAAATATCAATAAAAATAATTGTTTATTACGCATTGACTTACCCATGCCATCCTGAATTACTCTCTATAAAACTAGCAAATGCTGTTTTTGTTAATAAACATATAAGTATCTGTATGGAGGGAGAATGATTGAATTAAAATCTTTTTAATTTAATCAATTTCAATTTTCAATATGTCAATTTCCTGCAGATCATTAAAATAAAAAATCATAAAAACACAATTAACAAATTAAAAAATTTTTATTTATTAGAAGAAAGATTTTTTTTACAAAAAAACATGATATATAGTTATTTATCTTTTTATAAAAAAGCAGTAATTGGAATATAAATGGAGATTACAAAAACAAATTTTAACTATGTAGATCATTTATCAATATAATTTTTTTATTATTAAAATGATATTTGAAGCTTTACATATGTATTATAAATGTTTTATTAAATGTTAAAAACTTAAAATAAACTTTTCGAGATACAGATGACATATATAAATTGAAGGCATCCTCTCTTCATACTGTTACGTCAACACTCTCAATAACTTAGTTCTATGACAAATGTGCGAGCAAGTAGAAAAACGTGACAAACATCTTTATTCGCGAGCAAACATTTAGAAACATCCGTCAAGGTATTCTTTCCTCCCTTCGAGGAGAGTGCTGCCGGCGATACGTCGGACTTGAATCATCACTTGCCACATCGAGATATCCGATATCTATAAAGCGCTACCGTTGTGTCGAACGAAAGTATGGAAATATCGACAACCACTTTCGCCTATTGTTCGCTGTAAAGCCGGAACTCGCGCGCGAGCCGGGCGGACGCGCCATGAATCTCTGCTTCCGCGATTCCCACGAGCACCCCCGTTCCGGGCGCACGGTCCCCCTATTCGTCTTTTTCTACTTACTGAGGGCAGACGGTGCATTTTTCAGAATACGTCGCGATGAGATACGAGCGTGAACGGGACAACGAATGGGATACTGCGGATTGATTCCGATGGACCGTCCGATTTTATATATGACGCTTTCTCCCTCTCCCATACTCATCCGGAGAGACGAGTCCGAGAGAGATGTCTCTTGTGGAAACAAGACTCGTATGCCCGCACCTATATCCGATTAGCAAATCAGAAACTCTGCTTGAGCTTACTAGACGTTAAATCCAGTCGACCGAAATAAGAACATGTTTTTCCGATCTGATTGCGAACTGCGTTGCAAAGGATGCTGCGAGACATTATACCAGCGATTCTCAATCGGACTGCTACAAAAGTTTGATGTCATAGCTAAAAGAGATGATCAATAAACATTATTATAATAATATAATTATTAATATATAATTAAAAGAGCAGATATATATGGTGATAAATAATTTAAAAATGTAAACAACTTATTTTAAAGTATTATTAATACAAAAAAATATATTACTTAATAAATATTAGATTAGATAACATTATATCACGTATAAAAATAATATTCTAATAAAGTCAGATTTATTTTCCCAAAAAAATAAATAATCAATGTAATGATAACAACAAATAATAATTAAATTATAAAAACTATATAATAAGAAAGAGGAGAGGTATAAAAAGAAAGTAGAATATGTAATAATATTACAGAGATAAAAAGATATGCAGATGGTGCAAATATATATTTATATGTATATTATGAATGTATATGTGAAGATACAACGATAAGATCAATATAAATAATAAACTTGTATTGAAAACTATGAATTTACGAAAAGTAGATAAATCTCAATTAAAATTTGAATTAACAGAACATAATGTAAATTAATTAAAAATAGACAAATTCTGCATAATATTATTGATTAAAGTACATGCAACGATTGCCTACGAGTTCGCTATAGTGATTGAACAGTGACAAAAACTTCACGATTTTCTGTGGGGACTATTTATCTTGATTCCTATAGAACTTGGCAGATATTTTTTATTATTGTAGAGAATGTAGAGCATGATAGATAGATGCAAAATGCAGTGATCTAGTACAAATACTATTGAAAAATATAGCTTAAAAAACAAGAAATAATTAGTACATGCGATAAGAACTGATTGATGTCATTTTATATATATATATATATATATATATATATATATATATATGTGCAAACATATGAAAGTAACTTTCTTTTCATCGAGCATTTTGTTCCTTCGATTGTGTCAGTTTTTGTAACAGCCATGTGTGGAAAAATGAAAATTATGTACGCACTAACTTTCTGCAAAATGCAATTCATGCGTCCTCATTGATATGCATTTACACGTATTATCTTAGTCAAGTTCTTGTACGAGTGAAAGAGAAACTATTTCTATTTATAGCAGTGAATTTTTCCTAATTATGAAGATTGAAACGTTCGTTTTAATAGGTCAGAGCAAGCAATATGATCGTGTAAAATTTTCATATAAATGCAAAAAGCCATTATCAGTGAGTAATCTATTAAGAAATCTTTATTATTTATAGATACACACACACACACACACACACACACACACACACACACACACACACACACACACACACACACACACATATATATATATATATAATTATTTGATAGCAAATTTATCAAATTGTTTGATGTATAAGTAACATGTATAACATGTATAAGTTAGAGAGTTCACAAGAATGTAAAAAAATGAATTTGTCCGGTGGATTTTTTAAAATAAATAATAGTTTTATTATATAAATTCCAATAATTATATAAACAGAATTATATATCTTTAAGATACACGCAGCATGTAACGATGGCGTCTTGTCATTCACTTAGAAATATTAATAACCATATCGCCTGACTTTTACGCTAATATATGCTATTAAAAAATCAGGTTAAAGCTAAATTTCAGTGAGAGTGGCTCGCGCACGCAATAATAAAGGAAAGCAAATAAAACTAGGTGAAGCAGAAGCTAACAAAAAGACTGCGGAAAAGCGGAAAAAAGTACAACCGATGAAAGTATTATCTGGTACGACGTGAAAGGTGTAGATCTCGTCTGCAGTATCTTCTTCTATTGCGTTTACCGCGATAGCGACGATGCAAAATGGATAATTGATTGCATTTAATAATAATCGCAACATGAGTCACAATCTTTAGGTCTCTTCATTGAGCGATGCCTGAAGGTCATATGATTATCTAAACGTTTTTCTCGAGAGAAAGAGAGAGAGATTTTAATGATTTAAGTGCTTTCTCTGCAAACAATTCGCTCTTCACATCACTTAATCACAATTTAACCACGCAATTTTATAAATAATTATGTATCATTGAAAAGACAGACAATTATGTATCATTGAAAGACAAACAATAATTTCTCTAAAAAGCATTAATATTTATTTTAGTTGTATATACTATTTGAAAAATAAAAGATTACAAAATTCATACATTTCTCTGATGTAAATATCGCCTTGCACTCATGATATAGATTATAATGTAAAACTGAATCTTCTTATCTCGACTATATATGCTCGTATAAAGCGTAGAAAGTTGTCGTTATAATAGATCACCTACATATAATATTGCCTACATATATTATTATTAATTAAAAAATTATTATTAATTATTAATTAATTTGGTTATCATTCATAACATCGACTTTATATAAATAATATCTTTATACTTTTTAAAAACGTGATTTTTAATATTTGAGAGAATATATGTATTGAGATATTGAGAGATATTTGTTTATGTATTGAACATACTATTATTATTCTATCGATGGTGAAAGCAATACGCGCAAGTAGACTTGGCTCTACATACTCCACATTAAAAAAAGCTATTAAAATACACAATCTTTGTGATGATAGCCTTTTAATATATTGAATTATTGTTGCAAACTCAAGAGAATTTATAATATTATATTATATTATATAATAATATTATAATTTTCTTTGTTCTTTAAAATCAATGACGTTAAATTCATATCAAACAAATAAAATTACATTATTAAGTCCTTCAACGTCCGAGCTGTAAAATTATATTACGATCTTCGTTAAATGATATGAACTCCTTATTGACTAAAAATATTACATATCGAAATAATCAATCAATATCACGAGAATCAATCAATATCACGAGAAAAAAGAAACAATTTGCGATATTTTTGAATAATTTATTTTGTATCTTTTTTATAACAGTAAATTTCTTTAAAAATTATTAATATATAAAATTATAATATATAAAAATTAGAAAAATATGAAAAGATAAATATAATTATATTTATAATTAAAATTATAAATATATATAAGATAAACTTTTTGTCATGCAAAATTAGGATTATGTATAAAAAGACATAAATTAATAAAGAATATGTTTCTATTCAGAGCAAGTAAAAAAATAATTAAAATTTAGATCTTAATATAATATCATTTGACTTATCTTTATTTGCATATCTTTTTCTGCTTCGCCGAATTGTCATTAGTACTATTAGGACGTAACTGTCATCCTTTCTTTACAATGCCAGAAATTCGAAATAACGGTTCATTATTCTTGCAAATGAATGAAGAGGAAAAAGGGAGGAGTATAGCAGCCGGAAGGACACGGAAAGAACCTGACTTTGATCGAACGACTTTCTTCCGTAATTGCATGCGGTTCATAAAACGCAGCACCGTAAAGATGACAGTTAATACGTGAGAGAGGGAAAACTATGGATAACTAAGAAAGGAAGAGGCAAGTGAAAGGATCTAGATATGTTCTCCGGATGTGTGCATAGATTTGGAGGAGGAATACGCCTAGATGCCTCGTATGGCAAGATGCAATATATAGATACTTGATTTCAACGTCACGTTCTACATAACCAAGCACTCAGACTTTACTTCCATTGTTCTGCAAATTCTTTCGGAAATGATACTGAAATTTTCACTGTTTGTATTTGGTAAAGGAGATAAATTTTCAGTGATGGAATAGATTGGAAATTTGAAAAGTAAATCTTTTTTACATAGTTTGAGATTAAAAAATAAAATAATTGTCGTAGTTTTAAGTGCATTTATTTGTTAACAAAAGTGTATTTCTTAAATTCTTCACAAAAAAATTATATACTTGTAATCAATATGAGCATATCAAATATATACATTTGTAATTTTAATTCTATATACATGAATATATCCAAAAATTCATGCAAATTAAAAACACATTAATATAAGCATAATTAATATTTACTTATTATTAAATGTTCAGAATGTGAATAATTTAAAAGATTGGGTAAATTAATAAAAAATTTTTTAAATAAACTGTGTAAATAATTTTTATTGAAGAATTTTTATGCATAATAATCTTAAAACAAAGATAAAAATAAAGAGAGAGAAAGAATATATTTATAAAACTCTATATTCTTTTTCATGTATGCCACCACCATAAATGTATTATATGTATATGTCTGTATTAATGCAACATTATAAAATAATTTCAACTCCAAGGATGATGAACCGGTTTTTGTAAGCTTGCTTGCTGAACTGCAGCTGCAATTGCATTTTCTTTTGCAGCTAATACATTCTTTTCCTATTCAAACAACAATCAAACATAATAATATTAAGAAGAAATACAAAAATAAATATAAGAATAAATATAAGAATTGTTAATTAATAAGTAACAAATAATAATAATATAATTATATAAATATATAAATATACTTAATATATATAAATTATATAAATGTAAATATAATTTTCAAATTTAATTAAATATATTAATTTAACTTTATACGTATATATATATATATATATATATATATATATATATATATATATATATAATTAGTGTTATTTTAAAAATGTAATAAAAGAGTCACGCAATTTATAATACTACAATACCTTAGCTTCCTGTTCGCTCTGGTTAATTTGTTTATCGACTTCCTGTTTTTGTAATTCTGCGGCAGTTTCAGCTGCGTTTCTTTGAATAGCCGCAGCTGCGGCGGCTTCTCTAGCCGCCGCTACTCTTTGTGCGGCTGCTACAGCTGCTTTTAGGGTTGCTAATCTCTGTTGCAGGGCTACAAGTTGTCGAGCGCTGGCTTTAGCTTCGGCCTCGGCGTGCTGAGAAATTTTTTGTGATCTACATGAAAAAATATGAAATCATAATATAAGATAAATGCACAATCGATATAATTTTACTGTCCATAATATATAAAAATATATACAAATATATATAATATATATAAAAATATATAATAAAGTATATAATAAAATATGTAACGAAGAGTAGGAATAATCGAGTAAAATAATTATTAACATATTATACCTGGCAGCAGCCTCTCTCGCTGCTGCCTCTTTTGCTAATGCAATTTTCTGTTGAAACAGCGTGGCTTGCTTCGCTTCCGCAACTTTATGCTGGGCGAGGGCAACATTATTATTCGCTTCTTTTGCTTGTTGAATCGCTTTTAAAACTTCAGATGGGTATGCGATGCTGGGTGTGCCAGGTGCCGGATCCTTCAAAGCCTGTTATAAAAATTAATTCAAAATGCATTTTTTAAATCTTGTATGTATATTGAATAATTTTACTATAAATATTATATATGTTATTACACAGTTAATAAATGCACATACTTGAAGTGCCACATCATGCGCGGCTTGAACTTGAACTTGCGCGAGCGCAATATCTGGATTGCTCAACGGATTCCAGGCCGAAGCCGCAAAATTTGAAGGAGCCCACGATGCAGGACCGAATGCTGGCACAATTCCAAATAAATCGGGCGACCCAAAAAATGCTACTCCGCGCTTTTGCTTTTTCGAATCTGATTTTAGCTCCACTACAGATGCAATGGCAGATAGAAGCACAATCTACAAATAAAAGCTTGATTATTTCTTTATTTTTATTATATTGTAAATGTAAAATAATTTTACGAAAGAAATGTAATAATTTTGTAAATCTTAAAATCTTCTTTTTCTTTCGTTTTTTCAAAGAAATTTAAATTACAATAACCGTTTTAAAAATATAAATCTTTTTTATCTATAATACATGTTAATATATGTGGCAAAATGTAAGAATTTGTGCTTAACATATTTTTAACTGTTTAATTACCGTTACTAGAGTCTTCATCTTGCACGGAATACTGTTGATGGTACTGAATCTTTCACAGTAGGCTCCTGATATATATACAACCTGTGATACGGGAGAGAATGCAGTGTCTCTGCGATTCATCATAGAATTAATTAGAATTAAAGGTGTAGGTTAAAATTTCATGTAATCGAAGACAGAATTATAGATATTTATTATCTAATGACGATTTTTTGAAAAGCGTATACTGTACATTCACTATATATTAGATCACTTATGGCCTGGAAATTGATAGACAAAGATCATATCTCGTCCTCGATATCAGGAAGTAGTTATCCAATAGTGAGTATGTAGCAAGTACTTCCGCTATTTTGAACGTAGATGTTAGATAAATTTAGTTAATAGATATTGAGGGAATTTTCAATCTTCTTGATAAGTATTGTCTACATGTTGTTTCGATGTCTCTATGAAAGTGAAGTTGAAATATAGATAATTATAAAATATTTTTATTTTAACACGACATAAATACAATTGAAACTGTTTCTCTCTTTATAAAAGGAAACAAATTATATTATAAGAATGGAAAATACAGATTGGTTCAATAAAAATGCATTTTTAATTAGCAAAGTATTAAAATAAGACAATAATATACTTAAATAAAGTAAAAAAAAGAGAAAAGGAAAGAATTATCACATAATTATAATTATGATGATAAAATAAAAAAGAGATGATAGTAATTTTAGATAATTATTAAGTGTAATAGTAATAGTAATAGTAATAGTAATGCTATATACAAAATGATAAAAAACAGATTTATATTTAAATTTATTTTTATTTCAGATATTTATAATAATTTTAAAGAATTGTATGTTTTTAATTACATATTCTTTTGGACTTAACGTAAATTTGATTTAGAAGCTGTTATTTTAAATGAATATTATTTTTTTTTAAGTTTTTTTAATTGTGTTTAAAAAAATATTAAAAGTATTTAATATTAAAGTATTAAATATTAAGTATTAAAGTATTAAAAGTATGAGAGTATTTAAGTATGAGAGTATTAAAGTATATAAGTTTCGAAATTTATATTTTCAAAATTAACATAAAAATTATATAATTGACTTTAAGCGAAAATAAATATCTGCATAAAAGATGCTATCATCTGTTACTTATCTCTATTTCAATATTTTATGATCTTTGTGAGGAAAAATAGAGAAAAAGAAATGTATAGAGTAATTTATACAACAAATATACAGCCAAAATAAATAATACAACTTTTTTATTTTAGAAAATTATGATTATTTCATGAAACTATAAAATTAATTTTTTTAAATCATGCAAGAATCATATAACTCTTTAGAAAAGAATAAATAAATAAATAAAATATTTTAAATGGCGATTTTTTTCAAGTTATACTGTTATTGTACTGCTGTGTTTTAAAGATCTTAAAAAAATTGTTAATATATATAAGTTTAAGAAACTGACAGACAACTAGGCGTATGATGTATTAGAATTTTTGCTTCTTATCAGAACTAATCTATAATTATAATTCACCATCTATGTTATACTCGGATTAAGAATACTACGATTTAATTCAATTACTATATATAGTAAAAAATTGAAAGATATATATAAAATAAATAGTATAAGAAATACATATAAAATAATATAATAAACAATAAACTATAAATGAGAATTATATGCATGTTCATTAAATGGCATTTGTGTATACTAGTTTCAAGATGTAAGATGAATATGTAAACTTATAATTTTAAATACAAATTTAAAAAAGTATAATAACATATTGTAATTTTATAAATATATATTAATGTATTGCTGTACTGAAGAAGCGTAAATAATTTGAAAAATGAGTAAGGTTATTAAATAAATTTAATAAATATAAAATAAACTATATATTAACTTTTATTAAAACAAAAACATTTATATGTAATAATTACAAAATATTCATAAGAATCTATAAATGTCTTCTAATGTACCGCCACCATAAATATATTCTTATATTGATATCCGCAAAAGACATAAAATAATTTTCAATTCCAAGGATGATGTAACTGTTTTTGTAAGCTCGCTTGGTGAACCGCAGCTGCTATTGCATTTTCTTTCGCAGCTAATATATCCTTTTCCTACGATTAAACATGATTATATTGATTTAATATAAGAAATAAAATAATATTAAATTTATATTGATATAAGAAATAATATAATAATATATTTTTATAATCAAATGCATAGAAAAATCATATATATTAAAATTTATATATTGCTACCTTAGCTTCCTGTTCACTCTGATTAATCTGTTTATCAACATCTTGCTTTTGTAATTCGGCTGCAGTTGCAGCTGCGGTTTTTTGAATCGCCACAGCTGCAGCGGCTTCTCTCGCTGCCGCTACCTTCTGAGCAGCTGCTGCAGCTCCTTTTAAGGTGGCTAATCTCTGTTGCAACGCTACTAGTTGCCGAGCGCTGGCTTTAGCTTCGGCTTCGACATGTTGGGAAATTTCTTGCGACCTGCATGAAATATAATAACTGTAAGATGTAACATTACGGATTGTGGGAATTTGTGAAGTATAATGATGGAAAACAAAGCGAACTAATTATTCGTACCTTGCAGCAGCTTCCCTTGCTGCTGCCTCCTTTGCTAATGCAATTTTCTGCTGAATCACCGCGGCGTGTTTCGCTTCCGCAACTTTATGCTGGGCCAGAGCTACGTTATTGTTCGCGTTTTTTGCTTGTTGAATTGTTCTTAAAACTTCCGGCGGATATGCGATACTGGGTGTACCAGGCGCCGGATCTTTCAAAGCCTATAAATTAATAGCTAATATATTTATCAAGTCTTGCATTATATGTAATATATTTATATGTCTTGCATTATTGTAAAATGATATGCAAATACATAAATATTCATACCTGAAGTGCCACATCGTGAGTGGCTTGAGTTTGAACTTGAGCGAGCGCTACATCTGGATTCCTCGATGGATTCCAGGCTGAAGCCGCAAAATTTGAAGGAGCCCATGATGCAGGACCAAATGCTGGCACGATTCCAAATAAATCAGGCGATCCAAAAAATGTTACTCCGCGCTTTTGCTTTTTCGAATCTGATTTTAGCTCTACTACAGATGCAATGGCAAATAGAAGCACGATCTATAGATAAACATTATTTTTTATTTGAGAGAATTATTAATAAAAATACAATTATTTTTATAAAAAAAATTGTTCAAAATAATTTTTTTTACGTGTCTTGAAAATTTTTTCTTAGCTTGCATAACAAGTGCAATTTACGTAGTTATAAAAATGTATACTTTTTACTTGTTATATGATTTAAACTTGTATGTGATTTAAAATATTTTATGATATTATTTATTTAAATTCAGCAGAATTAAAAATATATGAATTTATATACCTTTACCAAAATCTTCATCTTGCAAGGAATATTGCTGAACTTGATACTGAACCTTTCATGATAGCTCCCTGGTATATATACAACTTATGATACGCGAGAGAATGCTTTTGCGTCTCTCCAGGATAATCACAGAATCAATTAAAATTATTATAGGTGTATATAAGAAAGATATAATAAGTGTAATCTCCTAATAATGATTTTTTTGGAAAATACATGCTATACAATCATTGCACATGCTACTTACGATCTGGAAATCGATGGACAAAGATCATATCTCGTTTTTGAATTCAGGAAGTAATTATCTAATGATGAGTATGTAGCAAATACTTCCGCGCGCGCGTTATCTTCATAAATTTTAGATAAATTTATTATATTTAACAGATATTGAAAAGATTTCTATTTTTTTTTTAATAAATAGTGTTTATATAGGCCGTTATATATTTATAAAATGGTTTATAATAAGATCGATACAAGAAATAGGTAAACATATAAAACATTCATTTTTTATTATTCAAATACATAACGTAAATAAAAGAGATTTTAATTAATTTTATAATAATAATTAATTCCAACTAATTTACAATAACAGAAATTATGGAAAAATAAACTATGTTATATGAAAGTGATATACATATATGCGTAAATTATTTGTGAATAAATAAAATTTAATTACTATAATTAGAAGAGTAAAAATATGTTTAATATAAAATTACAATATGTTTAAAAACATAAAAATATGATTATATGATATACAATTACTGTATAAAATGATTATATGATATATAATTACTGCATAAAACAATGAAATAAAAGCAGCAGCAATTATGCATTAACAAATGATATATAAAATTGATATATAAAATATTTAATCTTCCAACAAAGCTATATAAAAATCTAGATTTTCTTATTCTGTGATTACATCCTCGTTTAGATTATTATCAGATCTAGAATCTTTCTATATTTATGAGAGATTGTATTCATCCGCTCATTATATTTAGTCTATAAAAAGAAGCCGTATTGTCAGGATCCGATAATTGCTTTACATTCGATCTAACCATTTCCTCGGGCGAATATTTAGTTAATTTTCGAATGTTTACGAAAGAATTTTTATTTTTGGAGGCAGATTCGTTACCAATTGTAGGATTTTTAAATTTGTAATATTTAGTAGCTCGAAGATAGTTTTCTTTTTTCGTAGGTAAATATTTCGTTTCGATCGTAACAGCCTTATTTTTTGATTGTTTAGAATATTTTCCGATTTCGGGATTCTTGTATCCAAAAACTTCTTCATGAATCACCTTCGGCGTCTTTTTAATGAAAATATTTGAACCATAAGCTGCATTGTCTTTATAACCTGCTTTTGGTATTCTGCGATTTTTACGGGAAACCCGGGTTTTTTGACTTGTCGGTTCTTCAAATTGCTCCTGATTTATATGAGATCGATTGTTGTTCTTTTGTTGTCGTTTAGAAGGTACTATCGGATTATTATAACTATCTATTTCTGGCACTTCTTTTACATGTACATATTCTGCAAATAGAAATATTAATTCAATATAACTACTTTGATAGGAACTGACCGTTGATTTATTAATTAATCAAAGAATATAATTTTAAAATGATTAAGGAATTTATGTCTGTATAATTTCTTATGAATATATAATATTGTATTATATTATTAATATATATTATATTTTAAAATCGAACAAAGTTTAAGAATAAAATTCAAGAATAACATTATTTTTTGAACAAATTAAAATTGAATTTTTTATTTTCTTTGATTAATTAATAAAATTGAAAATATATAATATTCGATTGAATAAAATTGTTATAAATAATTTTAGATTGAAGTAGTTGTAAATTCTACATACTTTCTTTTGGTAGTTCTTTTCGATAAGATTCTTCAAATTCCTGTTCGAAATCTTTTACGTAATATTTAGGCGCTATTTCGTCAGAGCTTTCATCAGCTTCTTCGCGTCTTTTGTGTTTAACGCTTTCTTCCTTCTCTTCATCCTCTTTCTCATATGATTCATGCGATGATTTTGGAGAATCAGTATATTCAGCATGATATTCTGATGGATCTTCTTCTTCTTCATCATCGTCCACTGAATCATGCTTATAGCTGGAATATGGCTTATCTTCGTCGTCATCGATTTGCGTTTTATACTTTCCAAATCTTTCATCGTACTCTTTGAAAGGATATGATGCAGAAGGTTTAAAGTCACTTTCTGTCGGTGGCTCTTTAAAATCCTTTCCTGATTGATGCTCGGCATTATTATCTTCAGAATTCTGTTCATCTTCCTTTTCCGGATTTTCATATCCTATGCAGAAAAATTTTTTCTAAATAAATTCTAATAAATATTCATTTTTAATCTATTTTATTATCTTATAATCTAAAAGTATTAAAGTATATATATATATATATATATATATATATATATATAATTTAATTAATATATATATTTAAAAACCTTAACTTAATAAAAATCTTATTATTATAAATATTATAAAAGTGAATATATTTCACTTGAAAGTTTACTTTTAATTGATGACATAATTTATAAAACGATACAAACTTTCATCATCCCTATCGTCATTCCTATTGTCATCGTCAGATTGGGGTGTATGTGGCTCCGGATTTTTCTTATTGATGATCTCTACATCATTTAGAATACCCTGCGTTGACACGGAAGGATGGATAATATTTTGCTGGACATTAATAGGCTGCACATTACTACTATGTTCCAGTCCAAAGTGCAATTGTGGTTGACTATAAAGAGACTCGTAACTGCCTTGCACTTTAGGAACATTATTTGGAACTGGGTAAACTTCTACGCTGGCGCCTTTATATTGCGGAAATTGCGGACTACTACTGGCCGTTTGAATTGGCACAATTTGACCTTGAAAACTCGACAGAGGCGACAAAAATGGTGAAACGTTTCTCGATTGAAGAGCCATGTTGAGCTTTGGCCCAGTTCCAGAGTTAAATGCCAAATCCGATTCGGTCGGATAGTTTGCACTTAGAAAGAACGGCTGACTCTCGAAGACGGGTAAAACTTCGGTGAAGTCCGCATTATTCTGAAATTGAATGATCGGGACTGAAATCTTCTTACCATTCACATCTACAGTAGCTTCATCTTTCTGCTTGGAGCTTTGCGTCGCTTTATCCGACGACGGAGAGACACTTGATGCCGTTGGAAGGCTCAATGCGTATTCGTGTGTGACAACTTTCGATAGAGGGTAATTCGTTTTGTACACTGGCACTTGTACGATGGGAGACGAAGCACCATTCTGCACGTCCTGGGAAATAAACTTGTTGATACTGGGATACGCCGGAAATTCGAAGTCGGAGAAACCCGAAAATTCGATAGGTTTATCTTGATGGAACGTATTGGGCGAGTAAATGCCTTGTAGTTTCTGGACCGACTGCGATACAATTGGTTTAGATGCATCTAACGGTTTCTCCGTGCTCGTTGCAGTCTTGTACGAATTGGAATTATTCAATATATCGAAATATGGGATAAGCGGATTATTCTGATAAAATTTAGTTTGTTGAACAGGCAGAGGAACGTAAGAAGGCGGCCGCTTGGGAACACTGCCGTATGCGTGAGAAGATTCTTGATTCGAATTCGTGTAAGAAATTCTCTGTGGTTCCGATGCCTTGACGCTTCTATAATTAGATAATCTCGTGGTAATATCTTGAGGTAAAGAGATTTTCGGTATAGTTCCTCTGAGTCTCTCTTGATTATTACGAACATCATGACTGGAATTTATCGCTCGTTTTGATTTGATGGATGTTACTGATACGAAAGTGCCAGCCGAAATTGCGATGTTTATGGCGCAGCATATCGCAGGTATAAAGAAAATGGTGTTTATAATCTGGAATTTAGTGCATGCATTTTAAAGATTGTATTATATATTTAATACTTTTAATATTTTTATCACAAAAATATTAATACTAACAATTTGTTTAACTAATCTGTCCCCAAAAATAATCTATTGTACAATTAATTATAAAATAATATACATAAATTATGTAATGCATAGAATAATAAATAATGTAGAAAATTCAGCATTAAACTCTTTTCAGTGATTTTGATCTAATTATGAATCGAAAATATATGTAATTAATTACAAATATACGATGGATCAATATTACATAATTTAGCGTAATAAAAAATTAAAATTTAACACGTGAGTCATATTTATAAATAAATAAATATTGTAATTATATGCAATCATCGTTAATGAGATAATTGTTTAAAGTTATTAAGAAATTAGAGAAACATACCATCATGACATTCGTTTAGTGAGTACAAGCAGATACCGAAGTTTGATATTAACTGATCACGACCAACAATCTCTCATCTTTTATATTCGACGTCTACTGATGCGAAACAACAGAATAGATTGGACTTTTCTAAATCTAATAAAAAGCATATTAAGAAAAACCGAGTCAAATCACCGCTTCTCCCTGATCAGTGAAACCATAATCATAATCATAATTATAAATATGCCATTGATCTACCTTTTTGTAATCAACTTATATTTCTCTCTTTGTAATTTAATTGTTATTAAAAAATGCAATGCAACTATATTACAAAAATTGTAATATAATTATTATAATGTAAATATAAAATAAATAATTTATGTTATGATAAGCTCTCTCGTATAAATATGATTTGATATTAACTTTAATAAAAATTAAATAAATTAACATATGATACATATGATGAAAAATATTTGTTGAAAAAGTTTAAGGAAAAATATACAACATTATTTTTTAGAATAAAAATTACTGTATATCTATCTTTAAAGTGTGTGTATTAAAACATTTTTTAAAACTAATAATAGAGCCGTATTATTTACAAGAGAAAAGTGAGAGATGATTGTATTATATTGTATTATTCTGAGAAAACACACTTTGTGTGTGCACGAGCGTATCTATTATAATAGTATCATGAATTGGCAGAACTCTCTCGAACTAATGTGGGTCTAATTCTCTGAGTATTTTCCGAGAAAGTGACAGTTGCATAATAAAAATGCTTTAATGTATTATATATAAGTTCTATTGAGTAAATTTATAAACGGTAATCACTGTTACATACTACGAGGTGAATGCCTTTACTTTTTTGAATTACGAATGAATTATTATTCCAATCAAATAGAAAGAATGTGATTACGTTTCTACATACATTGTGTTATTAATTTATTAATATATATTATTAATTTATTTATAATCATTATATATAATTTCTTTCTGCATAATAATATTTAATTTAATATTTATTCTAAGATACATACAATTATTAATTTATTATAATTTGTAATTTTTTATTATAATTTTATTATAACATTATGTAGTTTTAAAATCACTAAATTTCTACTATTATCATTTTTACAATCTTGCAACATAATTAATAAATTTTTACAAAAACAAATACATCTGCAATTTATTATAAGAGAAATAAATCCTAATAAAATATAATTATAAAATAAATTATTAATAGAAATTAAAGAAATTGGCATAGGATTGCACATAACTGTTTCCAAGGTTTCGACACTTCTTGTTGACATTATTTTATTCAAATATTGTCTATGTAAGAAAGAAAGAATAATAGAATTATATTATTTCTTTAAGAATTAATTATCTTGTTATTTTATTAAATAATATTTTTGTTTTGCAAAAATATTAAATTATTAAATATTTTTTAAACAATATTTCACTAAACATGTATTTTATCATATAAACATAATAAAAAAGTTATAAAATTAGAGATTATAACACAAAGTCTTTTTAATTTTGATATAATAATGTTTTTTCTTTGAGATAGTACATTAAATGTTTCTATTAGACTAGTTTTATAATAAAATTTAAATTCCAATCTGATTTTGTAATAGAAAGATTGGAAAAAGTACTATGAATATTAACATCATGCAATCATAAAAACATCTTATCTCGAGACTGTTAGTATAAAAACTTAAAAGATTGATTTTGGAAGCAATTTTTAAAGCAATAATGTCAAAAGTATAAATTAATTTATTAAATTTTTCTTTTTATATTATGATTTAAGAGAAGCATTTTTAATCTAAAAATTTAAGTATACACACATAATAATTAAATTATTCTGATATCAAATAAAAAGTATTTTAAAAAAAGTATCTTAAAAAAATATTTAATTCATTTAGAAATAAATTTTTATGCAGTTATATTTAGCTAGTAAAAAATGAAATTTTACTACTTACCTCTCTTCTGCAAAATTTTTTAATTTTTCCACGATATGAAAAAAAATTTATGTAATTTTTTTTATTCTTATATACGTTTTTACAAACAGATAAATGAAAAATATATCGATGAAAAAATAAAATAAGCGCAACAAACACTGTACAAATTACAAGATGTATATATTTTTTGTTTAAATTAATATTTACACATAATATTCGCTAGAACGTCTTACAAATGAGCGATTTTTCTTTCCTCTCGATTCGAGTGTTTCATACAAACACATTAACGATTAATTTTTCAATATTTCCGTATAAAATGTTACTTACTATAATTAATTACTCATAGCGTGAATAATGCGATCAATACTGAACACTATGCAGTTTTTATTGAGCGAATAAGAAAAAATTTGTCCGCTTTTCTTTTTTTATCGAACAAAAACATACTTATTACCTATTTCTAGTCTCTTGCGAGTAGATTATAAATCACGCGCAGATACAGTAAACGCATCTCGTGATCGAATATCTCGCTTATACTTTTGATTACGGATTTATGCGGTGCCAATCCCCGAATAAACTGTCTTATTGATAATCGAATCCGATGGCGACGCGACGTCGGACCTCTCATTCATGTAATCCTTTAGGGCGTCGTTATAAAACTGCTGCTGCAGCCGATGCTTTTCATTCTCGAAATATTCTCTCACCTGATCCTTGTCGCGAAAATAATTTTGTGGGCTTCTGGTAGGTAATTGTTTATTCTTCATCAATAAACCGAGCAAATTATGCATTCTGGGATGATTAATATCATAATTCTTGTTATTCGACTTGAATTCTCTCAGCATTTTATCAATTTCTGGTGACGCTGTAGTGAATGCTGTGTATCTATCAAAGGACGGTTGATGCTTAGAATCATAGTTGAATGTATCTGGATCAACATATAAATGTATATCGCTAGAGGACGATTGTAGACCGCCGTATTTATGTTGCAAATTGCTCGGTCTTGCCGGTCTTCTCGGATTATTTTTAAACCTCATGGATCCTGGTCGTTTCTTCGGCTTGTCGTGAAAAGGACTTGTCGAATGCGAAGGTTTCGATTTTGGTGGCGTGAGAAATTCCCTTATATGACTCTCATCTTTGAAGTTATCAAAATCGAAGGTCGAATCTTCCGGTTTACGTTTCTGATCTGGTTTAACAAGGCCATGATAAATATGTATCGGTCCATGAGGTCGAGTTTTCAGCAAATGTTCCAAGGTCGTTAGCAACGGATCTGGTTTCTTTTTATTCGAAGATTTTGGCGCATTAGTCGTGCGCACATTATGCATACTCTGATGCGCCTCGAGAGTGTCTTTATATTTTGACTCCTTCAAGGAAGCTCTTAATTTCTGCATTTCGAGTCTCAGCTTTGCCAAGTCACTCGCTTCGGAATCATTTTGACCGTTTTCCTGAGGTTTTCTATCATTATTCCATTTCTGTGAATTGTACATCGTCTTTAGAGATTCTTTAAACATCTCCTCAGCATACTTTTGCAAATCCGAGGTCAGCTTCGGCTTTACAATTAATTCGCTTTGCGCCGCGAGTGACGGTTTGAAGAAGTTACCTCCGGGCACGACGGGCACCAAGTTCAAACCTTGCTGAATAGGTTCGTGAATCGGTTTATTATTGAGAGCATTCTGATCTTTAATGATGTCAACGTTCGGGACAAAATTAATAGGATTAAACATCGGTTCCTGATTCTGGAACGTGCCTACTTGCTTAGCTTTATTCTCTGTCAACGAATTCACGTAATTTGGAAAATTAACAGTCTGTGGAGCGATCGTACTGAAAATTGGAATAGGCGTCGTCAGAACAGTAGTCGGATAGTTCATCGTCTGGAATGTCGTGTCAGTTTGACTTGGTTTAATGTTGGGATTTACGATTTCGACGTTTTTAGTACCCACGTTCGGAAGATGCGCGTTCCCTGATGATGGCTCAAGCGCATTCACGTTGTTAATATTGCTCGAATGACTAGCCGTGTTATCGATAGCCTGCAGTGTGATGCTGCCTAGTCTATGATTTTTTATCAAATTTTTATTTAATGAAGCTTGATGCATAGCATCCGCGCCGTTACTTTGTAGCTTGACATATTGCATCTGATCACGTGGCTGTTGCAAAATAAAATTACCATTTTGTTGAGGAATCAGCTGTTGAGTGTTTATGGTTATACCGTTTAAAGTCGCACCAGGTTGCAATATATTCGGCACTATTTCTTGAGGTTTCACAATCTGCTGCGTATTCGGATTCTGCAGATAGTAGGAATTGACGTTAGTCGGTTGCTTCTGTTCGTTTTGACCAACGGCTAGATTCGCGGAGGCTACAAAATTTGTGCCAGAAGCAGAGAACGCGTTCTTCTTATTCTGCGATTCCACGATCCTGCTTTCGGGCATTGTCTGACTAGGCAGCAGCGTGGGTGTCGTCGGCGAATTTTGTATCTGTAAATTACCATGATGTAAAAAATGTTGACCTTGCAATCCATGAGGATTTACATGTATCTGAGTTGTCTGAAGCGGCGTTTGCAGAAAATTCGGGTATGTTTGAAGAGTCGGTTGCGGTACTATCAGTTGCTGTATGCCAGAGTGCACTTGATTTATCGGCATCTGTTGAACGACGGTAGGAGCCGGCGTTATAGTAAACGTCGTTCGCGGCGTTACGTTGTTACTCTGCACATTCTGAACTCGTATATTCTGCAATGCTGGGCTCAGGCTGGATGTTAGGGCAAACACCGGTGTCATGGTACTTGGCAAATAGCCCCTCAGATTCTTGTTTTGTTCATTTGGATGAGGAAGAAAAACCTGCACAGGATTTTGGAAAGTATTCTGACCGACGATAATATCAGGTATCGGCGTGGAAACCAAATTCTGCAAGTTTACCAAATTCTTCGATAATTGAGCAAAATTCTGAGCAATAACAGGCTGAGGAGTATTTAGAAGAGGAGTAGTCGTGCTAAACGCTCCGATTGGTGCGACAGTGGCAACGTTTTGCAAAACTGCATTGGACATGTCAAAACCTTGACTATTACCTAACGCGGTTGCGTGATCGAAGTTCGCTACAGGTACGAAATTAATCAAGAACTTTGGCTTTTCAACCTGATTCAATTCGACTCCGTTTGAGCGAGAAACCTCGACACTCGGAGAGATCTGATTCCATGAATTGATTTTTGATCTAGAGCTATTTTGTGCTTTGGAGCTTTTTGTTTCTGTATTACTGCCTCTGGAACCGTATTTAACGTCCTCGACGCTCTCATCGTGATTTATACTAGGATCATTGAGCCATGGATTCGCCTTCACTTTATATCGGTGTGATCTTATTTTCGAGGAGTTGTATTTCTGCTTGTCTTCTTCCGTACTGTCGTTCATTGTGCCGCGATGTTCTTTCGGAAGTTTCCTAGAAGAATCACTATACGACGGACGTCTTCGAGTCTTCTGCACTCTCGGTCGCTCGATGTACTCGGAATAATCTGTACTTTCGTCCGAGAGATTCTTAGAGTCTTCCGTGCGATGATAACTACGTTGCCTGTTGTCATTATAAACTTGGTAGCGATTTGACATCTCCGAGCTAGAAGACTCCAAGGTTGTGTCCGGGGCGCTATTAAGCAGATGATTATCAAATTTCATGTCCGTTTTATGATTGTTCGCCTCAGTAACCACGACCGGCTTAAATCTATAATGTGTCCTGGACAATTGCGGCACATTATCGTAAGTTCCGCTATGAGCGAGTTCATTAACTTGATAATTCGTCCTTGATGAAGATGAGACCGTCGCTGCATTTTGTCCGTGACCATCGTAATTCGCGGCAACTTGCTGGCGATAATTATCAGTAACTTTCTCCTGCTCGTGCGTAATTTTCTTCGTATCTTGCGCGTCATACGAATATTGCGCGTAAGAATCTTCATCATTAATTTGCTGCGACTGCTGACCGTAATTGTGGGCATAGTTCCTGATTTTATTCCCTCTTCCTTCGTTCGAGCTCTCCGAAGAAGACGTGTTAGGGTCGCTGTCAGTCTCGGTGTTCACCGTGCTGCGTACATTCTCGTAAAATTCCTGGTAATTGGCCACCGCGGGAGTGTCATTGTTGATCTTCAGCAACTCGAATTCATTCGTCCGCCCTTCCTGGAAATCGAAAGACCTACGATTCGTCAACGATCCAGGATAATTCAAGAAAATCCTCGCTTCCGAGGAATACGCTAAGTCTTCCTCAAATTTTTTCGCCATCTCCGAGCTGTCTTGAGCACTTACGACATTCCTCGCGTTGCTCTCTTCAGACTCGTTCTCCTGCTGCTCAGAATCGTCGATCTCTGACGATGAGTCGTACGAATCAGGATCGTTATATGATGGAGAAACAGACGGCACGATAGGCACGAAACCATTAGAATTTTCATAATGTACCGTTGCGCTTTCTGACGACGATATGCTCGAATCTTGCTCTTGAGGATTTTTCGAATTCGTGCTCGAATGTTTTATAGCCTCTATTGTATTCTCCGATGCAGTTGCGATTTGATCGAAAATCTCATCACTTTCCAAGTTGGCGTCCTCTGTGCATCTTATTTGTGGCCAACTGAGAACCACCAATATGACCTACGAAAAATGAAGTAGTATTAAATTGCAGTTGAAATTTGATTAAATAAATTAATAAACTGCTTAATTAAATAAACTATCAATAATTACTAGTAAATTTACTTAAATAAAAATATCATAAATATTATATGATCTATAAAACTAAATATAACGTAAAATATAAAATAAGAATTAATTAAAGACATACGCAATGCAACGCAAGATTTTCATGTAGAATATATTTTCATCAAAAAACTACATTTTTAACTGAAAATGAAAATTTTATTACAAGGAATACATTTTTACATAATATATGGTATAATTAAAAAATTTCACAATATAATTGGCAATAAACAAGAAAAATTGCTATAAAAATATGAAAATTTTAAAGATATATCTTGAATATATCACACTTTTAAAGAAGAAAGTAACATATGCATTGCAAAGTTTGGATAGTCGCTCTATGTATGATAGTAAGCAGTGTTAATTGTTGTTTTGTCAAGGAGATGACCTAGAAAAGAAAAGCAGACTAGAAAAGTAAAATGCCAGAGCGTGTACGATAGAAGGACTGAATGTGCACGGAAGCAAATCTTCGTAGACTTTCTCACCGATTCATGAGCATTTGACAGTAATAGACCCTCCATGCAAGTATGATTGCTAAGTTAATAATTTTAAATAGCAAAAAAATTATCAAAGCTCGGAGTGTACAATTGTATGATAAATGACTTTTCCTTTATAAAATGCAGAAACACGCACAACTAACACATATCTCGACCGTTTAGAGAGTGCCGGTGAAAAGTAATTGCGGAGAAAACATAGCTAATTTAAACTATGTAATTCTTCATGCCTATCGTTAAACAAGTCGGTCGAAGTTGTCGATTGAAATAAACTCTCGTTAATATACCTGTCTTTATGTCTAATTAGAAACAGTCTCGGTTATCAAATTTGAAAAGCATTTAATGTTACTAATATATGTAAATAATAAGTTTTCCATAATTTTCAATATAATTTGTGTGCACGCTTTTATTTTACTTATCTGTACTTAAGTTTAATTACCTAATTATAACATTAACACATAATATAAATAAAAAGATTTTTATTAAAATTAAAAATATTTATTAAAAGTGCTAAATACTAGTCAATAAATTATTTTTAAAAGTCGAAGTATGTTTCAAGTTAATAAATTTAATTAGTTTGATTTGACATAATAATATATGCAATACTTTTATAAATTTGTAATTTATTTATAGTATATTTTTATCAGTATCTACAATAGTTAACAAAAAATATTTATTTAATTTTACAATTAAACTGCTGCAATTTAAATTAATAAATTAAACTTACTTATAAGTTATTTTTATAACTTTATTATTAAAATTTTTAACTAGTTACAAGGAAAGTATTTACTAATTATCGTAATCTTAATAGATCATAATACTATTCATAAGATAAGAAGCGCACGCAATGAAAAAAGTTTCTCCATCATGAATAAAATTATTTTTAATTTAATATGAATCCTAAGCATCTTTTTAAAGTAAATAATTTAAAAAGGATAAATGTTGTGTTTGTTGAGAAAGAAAAGAGAAAGAATAAGCATAAATCACATAACGATAAAAGTTTTCACAACAAAACATTAAAAGCGCAGTAATAAAAGAGCAATAACAAAAGAGCAATAACTAAAGTATAAAGCATTTTAGCAGTATATAGTGAAAGTATACATTTACATATACATATATATGTGTTTTAAAAAGAGTGATGATAGATGAATAAACCAAGCTTTAAGGATACTCATTCTACTCACCATAAAGAATACTTTTTTTCTATACATGTTACATGTTATTGAAAATATATTTTATAAATTAATAAATTATATATGAATATCTTCTAAAAATATTTTTCAATATTTTATCTATATGAGAAAATTCTGTCACTGACAAAATATTGAAAAATATTTTTAGAGGATATTCATATATAATTTATTCATTAATATATATATATATATATATATATATATATATATATATATAAAATTCTGTAGAAGGTTCTCTATTAGGTTCCTTCTTACTATTTATCTACACAGAAATTAACTGATTTTGTCACTACAATAAACACACAATAAACTTTACACTTTCACAAAGTACTTTAATCCAAGTACTTACATAATATAGGATCATTTTCGTCGAACGTGCTGACTCTTTGAGATCCCTCGAAAAATCAAACACAATCAAAAAGATCCGTGTGTCACACTATACTCCGCGTACACATTGATTTCGACCATTCGTTCTCCTATCCTCGCCTTATAATTCCAAGGACCCTGCGTGGCGAGCTTCCACGCGAGAACTGAGCCATATAGTAGATATGCGATTTTCTTTATACAGTCTGATGGCTAAGTGAAAAATATCGTTCTAAATATTATCCTGTAGACCAGACAGCGGAGGATACTTTCATTCGCGACACGCGAGCGAGCCAGGAGAAATGTTGTCCAATATATCGCAAAATGTGATGCCACTTTTCATTATTATAGAACTCGAGCAGCGAAATCACCATGTGCGGAAATGGATATGAGCAACGAGATGACATAAAGAATGGGACAGAATCATCTTCCAGTGCAATGCACATTTTACAAAAGAAGGCTGATTTGTAATCGAGATCATCATCTTTGAAAAATTCACGCGAAGGATGCTGTTGAGGAACATCATAAATCAAAGGAAAATAGCGCCAATGGCGATCTTCTGAAATATGTACGTGATAAGATGCAAGAAGCGCATCCAAGGATCTTGCATTGCGATTGCATCGATCATGAAATATACTTCCGGTGCTTCGCAGTTTCTCCAGTTTTCGGCTTCGACAGGACCAAACATAATTTGCCAATACTTTTCCCGCCGTAGTTTTATGCGCTCTAGAACACACGCATTACACCTGGTACGGCTACTTCTCCCAATACAGCCTACGAACGTAGATGAATGTCCGTGTGTAACACGGGCCGATCTTTTCCCTGCATGTATGTTTCGTGTTTGAGCGTTCAGTTTAATGCCTTGCGTTTAATTGCCGTAGATGCAACATAGATATCATCGACGCTTTTCGTTGTGAAAACGTAGAATTAATAACTACTGTAGCATGAGTTGAACGTCTTTTTAAACTTCTGTCAGATAATTAACGTTAATTGCCCGGTTCAACAGCCTCGATTACATCGATATACATGTATCGGATATACTTACATATGCACTATTGTGTGATGATAAATCTCTTTTATTAATTTGGAATATTTATAAATTATTATAAACATTAATACGTGCGTACACAAAAGAACGTTTACGCATTGTCCATATCGAATAAATACGTAATTGCGCCGAGTGATCACTGATGTATGACACATGGATTCATGATAATTCTTCCTGTAAAGGAGGAAACTTTTACTTTATTTATATATACTACATGATTATTTTAGAAAAAGTTAATAACTATGTTTCTAAACTGCATTATTGTTTGAATAAATAATTAGATGTCAGTCTAAAGTGCATCATTATTTTTCAAAATAATCAGATAATGTACACCATACAATATATCATATAGAATGTCCTTTTAATTAAATTTTTATAAGAATTGCTTTTTAATTGCGATTTTTATAACCAATTCTGAAATTCAGAGTAACTTTCTTTAAAAGTAAAAATATCGAAGAAAATCATTAATTATACATCTCTCTTATTTTTAATTTTTATTATTACTTATTTCTTTTTAAATTTTAAAATTTTATTGAAACAGTTTATTTTCGCAAGATTAAAGAATATTATATTTTATTACTTATTTTTTATAGAATTGTATTAAATTTATTGTTATCTTTGTTTCAATAGTTAATTATTATAAAATTGTATTAAATTTATTATTATCTTCGTTCCGATAGTTAATTATCTGAAAACTATATGAACATGATAACTGAAAAAAATCCTATATCTGATAAAAAATAATTAATAAAAAAGATATCCAGTAATTCATTTTTAAAGTTTTATATTTTTTAGATTTTATGGATTATTTAAGGTTTTTATAGTATAATATGCTAATAGTCGTTTTAGAAAGTCTTACTCCATAACTAAAATTTTAAATGAGTAAATTTGAGGCTTCAAGCTATATTAAATATGAGAAAGGAAATAAGAATACATAAAAACAGGAAATCATATCTTAGTAATCACATAGAGATTTTAATTTAACCATATCTTAATAATTATAGAGATATCTTAATAAATATAGAGATTCTAATTTATATTTATTTTGATTTAAATCATAATTCATTTATAATTCTTTGTTTTATATATAATTATTATTACTTTTAATTAATCTTTATATACAATCTTTATCTTTATTTAATAAAATATATATCACCATATATATATTTAAAAGAAGGAAACTTATTTGTAAAATATAATAGAAAATTTTTTAGATTAAAAGTTTGTGGAACCAATATAATATTTCCAAAATAAGCAACATTCGACAGGGTTTAAATTTAATTAATAAAAAATATGCAAACATAAAGTAGAAAGATTTATGTCTTTTTTTATAAAAACAATTAATTTATATAAAAGGTATAAATAATAATAACGTAATTTGTATAAAAAGTTGTATCTTATTTGGTTACTTTATTAGTTTACAATAATTCATATACAAGTTATGAGTATCTTAAATTGTGTAAAACTTAAGCACTACGATTCAAAAGGTACCTTTACGAAGTATAAAAATTTGGTTAATTTTTTATAAGTACATTCGCAAAGCCACATGTGTGCTTCGGTTACTACTGTTTTCCCGAGAACAACAAGAAGTATTAATACCAACAGATTCCGATTCTCAGCAAATCAGTAGCGCAGGTACATAATGTAGACATTATAATACATTGCACAAACCCATATTAAATACTATTACTAATATTCGATTGTCGATTATCTTATCGCTTCCTTTAATTGTTTCATGGCACGAAATGTTTTATTCGCGAGACTAAAATATAATTGCCATATAAAGTACAATAAAAAAAATATAAAGTAGAATTATAATTCTTTAATATTTTGAAATAAAAATCGTAAAAAAATTTTTTTATATGATAAATTTTGGATTTGATATCATTACTGGCAACTAATGTATCGTATATTGATCAGTCGTTTTGATTTAACTTTCGTGTTTGATTATATATCAATTATTTTCGTATTAATATATTTAACATTTTATGTATTTAATTTTTTATTTTAATTTGGAAAAGTTAAATTGATAAAAGATATAATATAAGTCAAAATAGATATCTTTGCCAATTAAAAAAATATAAATTTTTATTTTTATCACAATTAGTATAAAATGTCAATTAATAACATAATTATTGCTTTTTAAAATTTCAACTTTCTTTAAAGTATAACTCAATTAACGGAAAAATAAAAAAAAACGAATAAAACGAATAAATTGAACGATAGAACACGAAAGTTAAAGATTCTCTCTCTTCATAATTTTTTTCTGCTCTTTATCATTTATTCAGTTTTTAATTCTATAATTTTCGAACCTCGGATCCTCCACGATTTGCACACTCTTCACTTTCGGTCGGATTGCTGTGCGTTCGCCGTATTTTACGCTCGAGAGACTTTTCCCGACATCCGAATTGCTTGCTTCATAACTCGATCTACCGACGTAAGATTCCGTAGGATTACCAACTAGATCTTGAGTATTACTATTTTGTATCAATTGTACCAATTGTCGCAGTGGACTCGTGGATAATGGCTGTTGATCCTTTAGAAATTGATTACTGCCAAAATCATAATTGGTCGGACGTGCCAATTCTTCTATACTTCTGGCATATTGAAGAAGATATTGTTGCAGAAGGGCCTTTAAATTGATGTTTGGCGTAGCATTGTGTTGAATAGGTGGTACGCCGTCTACTCTTAAAATAATTACGGGTATCAGAGAGTTTCCGGTTTGCACAAAAGTCGGTCGCACATTGAGAATGGATGCGGGATTCTTGATGTACTGCGAGATCGATGGATTATAATTCAATAAGTCTCCATATTGCAGATTTGAATAATTTTCCAGATTCTTGCCGTTCGCGTTAATTTTCTTGGCTGAATTTTTGTGAGCTGAGAACATACAATCGTTAAATAAACATGATTCAATAAAAAAGATTGTGATAAGAAAAAATAATTATTCTTTGTGTTTTTTTCATATTTAATACTTAATTTTGGCCTCAATTTGTTTTATGAAATTTATAGTAATATATTTAAGTAGTATATTTAATATATTTTGAAGGGAATATGAAACTTTTTTAGCAGATCATATATATTGTAGCTGTATATGTAGCATAGTATATTACATAAAAATATTTTTTTATGACTGTTTAACTTCAAATTTCTCTAAATTATATATATTATTATTAATAGATTACTTTTGAGGCCAAACTCATATTGAGTATTAAATATTATAAAAAATAATTACATTTTTTTGCGGATGGTCAATTTTTTTAAACCATTGTATAATTATTATGCACATATATTATAATAAAATATAAAGAGATCATAAAATATGATGTAAAATATTAACTCACTCGATGATAGGAAAGCTTTGCTGGGCGTCGTACTCCTCGGAGCGCTCTCCGTGGTGTAAGAATCGATGTACTCCGGATTCGGACTGTTCACCATGTATTTCGAGATCGGTCGTCTCGTCGTTTCGTATCGATTCTTCCCATTTGACTTGACAGAATTCCCCAGCGGCGAAAGAGTTGTCGAATACGTGGAGACTCCGCTGCCGGTCCTCGTCTGCTGCGGAACAATCTGCTTCTGACCCACGAGATTCTGATAGCCCAATCGATACACCTGCTGCTGCGGCAGCCTAGACAGAGACTCGGCCGAGATGAACGGGGTCGGGGGACCGTTGGGTTCCGGCGATATCGGAAATTGCACCGGGCCTTGCGACAATACTCTGTTTTCCGTAGAAACGGACTCGTCGGTCTTCGACGCGTCCTGGGATCTGGCGGCCTGCAATGCCGCCAACGACGAGTACTCGGAATAAGTTTCGTACGTCCTGGGCGGCATGTCGGACACTCTACCGTCTGGATACTTCCAGAATATCTTGTTTTCATATCTGACATTATTCTCCACTGTGTATCTGGGCAAATTAGCGAACGATTCGATGTTCTGTGGGTAGCTGGATACATCGTCGGACGCAGAGGTCGAAGATTCCGTATTCGAAGTAAGTCGAATGTAATCGTGAGAATTCACTTTCGATCGAACGTCAATGTTTTCTAGGAAAGCAGTATCGACGGGATTAGTTGTCGAGGATTCCGTCGAGCTTTGCACCGAGTAACCTTGCACGTTTATCGCATGCTGATTACTCTGTCCAAAGTATCTCTGAGAATTAACTTCGGCATATGATGGTGAACTTGGTGTGACGTAAGCGTATCGACTTGAGCTGGAGACCGTGTAAGTTTGCGGACTCGGAGTGATGTAACTCGTCTCCCTTTCCGCGGAATTTAGCACCAGAGATCGCGGTGTAGTAGAAGCGTAGGTGTCGTCTCGATAATCCACATTTGAGTACGTTTCGACGGGAGGTCTCGCGGATGAGGAGAAGCCTCGATATCGCTCAGAGTCGGACGTCTTCGTCAATTTCGTTCGCAGCCCGAATACGGGCTGAGATATCGTCGCAGGATTATAATACTGATAGCCTGCCGGACTCTGGAAGTTCAATCTGGTCGAGTCATGGTTTTCATACGATCCCTGCTGGGATCTAAGATCCGCGTACGAATCGGGTACTGGTTTCTGAATGCCCGATGATGGTATCTTTTCAATTATGGTCCTCGGCAGGAACGGGCTGATGGATTCCTCTATGGACACGGTGGTTCCGGTTTTCCCGGCGGGAAAGTAATAATTGTACTTCCGCGGGGCGTGCAGGAAGTTCCGGTCGAAGCCATAACCAAGGTTATTGTTAACGGTGCGTTTCGACTTTTCATCGGCGGTCTCATTATCGCTCGTGCTGTTATCAAAATCTAGAAGAATTATCGGTGGCAAAATAGGCATGATTTTCTCAATGCTGTCTTGTTCTTGCTCTGCACTCTCGCCATTATTTGGAACATCGTCTGCAACGAAACGCTCGACATTGTCCGAGTCGTTCACCTTGATCTTTCTGCTTTCTGTAGTTTTTGAGTTGCAGAACGTTCCGAGTGCCAATAGAAATGCAACGATCTGAAAGTCAGGGACATGTGTAAGAAATCGCGGCGAAACGATGTAACAATGTATTGGTCATCGATCTCGATGCTACGATAATGGCGATCTTTACTTTCACTTTTCTTTCCTGTTTGTCGAGTACGTATGATTGCTTCGAGGAAATTCCGGTTGAATTTTTTCAAACATAATGAAGCATAACATGTTAAAGAATATAATAGCGCTTGTGTTATTTATCAATATTTCTCTTAATAAGATAGCTTTATATAATTGTGAAGACGAACAAGTATATAATTGCAATCTTGAAGGGAAACAGCCAGAGCGGATATGGAAAGGTATTTTTGTAGGGTCAGAGTCAAGTGTGTCGGCCAACATTAAAACAGGTTTCATTCACCGCGCATTTGCAATTTTCACCGCTTTCTTTAAACATTTACGTCGTAACATGATACATAGTTGAAAGCACCGTACTTTTCATTTAAGAAAAACTGTACAAATAATTATAAAGAGAATTAATGAAAACTTAATAATATTAAAATGATTGTATAATAAGGAAAAACATTAATTAAAAGGAGACAAATAGGAAAAAATAATGAAAATAACAATTTATTTAAAAGTAAATGGAAGGCTCGAAATAAGAAAAGTGACATAAAATTTATAAAGAATTTATTTTCTACTAGGTTCTATTTAAATTTATTTACATTTATTTATTTTGACGTATATATTTTCGATATGCTCTAATATATTATTTTGAATATCTAATATATATATATTTAAATAAATAAGAAGCTAAAATAAAAAGCTAAAGAAAGCTAAAATAAAAAGATAAAAGCAAATTGAACATGATATTCATATATTACAAATAAAATTTGAATGACATTTAATATTTTTCATAAAATCACATCTATTTTCAAACATCGAAAACAGGGTATGTTTTCAAACAAATCGTATCGATCAAGTCCCTTCCCATGATTTTCCGAATGTAACCATACCGGCTGCTTCCAGCGCTGCAATTCCGGCGTTAATGACCCAATAAATATTCAGTACGCGACATGAATGAAGAAGGATGAGTGCGCGATGCGTCGAAAGCAACCGTTCATCAATGCGCCGTTCGAATCGAAATTGACGGCAGTTGAAATGTAAAAACACCAGCGACATGTTGCAATCGAGGAGATGGCAGATTTCACGCCGATCTCGCGACGTCTCGATCGTTACGTCGGTGCGAAACCGCACGTTACCTAATGCCGAAAACCGCGGTCGGATCCCCTCGCGATGAATAATCGAGAGAAAGAGAGAGATCATGCATCCCCAATGGACTTTCACTGACTTACTCAAGAGCACATCTGCCGTGGCTACTTTATCGTCGCCTCCTCATATCGCGACTGTGCGACGTAAGAAAAAATCCAAGGCACTTTCACCGTAATTATCCGATTGAATCCAGGAAACGTTTGTGTGATGATCAAGAAAAAAGAATTTTTCGAGGCTTATTATACATTGAAAAATGACAGCGGATATCGGTCGCCGAATTTCTGTTAAAATATTCCCCACAGATTTTCAGTATTAAAGCTTCAATCGAAGAGATTAAATTTGTGTAGAACAGCTGCAACAGGGATTTTGTGCGATCAATTCTGCCAATAACGTATTATTCACGCGCGACTATCAGTTTTTCGATTGTATGTACAGCGTTGGTGACGTTTCGTGAAAAATGCAATTTCGTTATAATTATAGAATGTTTCATTATTAGGGATTATTAATAGAATATTAATATTAGATAATATAAGAAAATACTGTTTTTCAATTATCTTTGCTCCAATAATTTTTGTGAAAGAAAAGAGAAGAATAAAATGTTATAGTGAAAAAATATATGTACATATATTACGACACTGGCAAAAGAGTGCAAAAAAGAGAGAGAGAGAAAAAGGCGACCTTGTTTTTACATAATACTTTGTATTTTATCATATTAATATAATGTAGAAAAATATAGTATCTTTAGAAAAAAATTAATATTAATTAAAATAACTAATGGAAAAATAATAAGTTTTAGTTTTATTAACGAAACGTTACTTTACTTTATTGTTTTTAATTACAGAAAAAAATTACAGAGACGTAGAATAAACGTAACAAACCATATTTTTATTAAATAATGTTTGATAGATTGTGACACACATATGTAATTAATTCATAACACATTACGATAACGAACACGCTATACACTAATGAGCACTAGTGTTATTTAATAATGTGTAATGAAATGAAGATGTTAAAGAAGAGGAGTTTCCTGTAGGACATTAAATACCGGGGGCAAGTTTGATTCAAGTACTTACATATACTTTAGAGACAAGACTCATGACGGCCGACCTTAAACCTGCTGGCTTGGCGAACTTGTCGTGTATGTTTGATACTGATGAAGCTGAGGCCAGAACATCCCACCTTATATGCCCTCGCTCCTGGTGTGAGAGAGATACCATCATTATAGTTTCACCACAAGCGAAACGAAGCTATTCGTTCGATATGGGAAGACATCTGCCAGTAGCGTAGTGATTTCTGACAAATCAACGCAATGATCACGCAACCCTTTTTCTATTACGCAAATTAATCTACCGCATATCATATTTTAATTTAAACTAAAAAGGTCAGTCTCGAATCTCATAAAAAAAGAGATGTTAAGAATGTCCCCGATCGTTCATAAGCGAATATGTTAATCTAAAATATATCTAAAAGACTCTATATGAAAAATAAAATTCAGCCGTCTTCGAAAAATTACTTTCGTTATTCATAACGAACACAGCCCATATATTATCATATATTTAAAAGTATAATGTATATGGGATGCAGCGCACATTTAATTCCATTTTAGCTTGAACATATCGCGGAATGTATCTGCAGAAAAGGCCAGTAAATTATGCATTTATGAAAAAGAAAGCATCTCTTGTGTGCATAATGCGGAATTAATGACAAAGTGGCAATCAGAATTTCAAGCGGTTGAATTCGGAGCGCCTACACCGTTGAACTCGTCTTCGTGGCATCAGCTTTCTCATATAAAGGACTCTCTGATATGCAGCTCGCGTAAATTCTTACAAAAGCGTTCCTTGACATTAGATACCTCCCATCATGTATAACATCTTAATATCAACGCAATTCGTTTCAGCGAAGATCGCAAAACTGTTACAAACAGACACAAACTGTCAACGCTGATCAATAATTTTATACGCTCTTAGACATACTAATTGCCGATAAAGAACTTTATCGTTTTCACATTCTCAGTGTAATAAACTCTTTATAGTTGTACAAGCTATATAATCTTCTGATCTATCTTTTCTAATAATAGCATAATAAGTAATTTAATTTTTGCTCTTTATTTTTTACATGATTCATCACTATTTTAAATTGACATTATCATCTTAATATTTTACGATGAAGTTTTTACGATGAAGTTATGTACAGCAGATTTTAAACATACACATATATTTTTCTTTGATTTTTCTTTTGTCATAGAATAAATTTGTATAAAAATAAAACCGATAGAATCTTGAAACTAAAATAATTGCACTATGAAAAGTAGTTTAAATTTATTGATAATTTTTATAATATCAAAAGAATTAATTATCTAGTATTTTTGAATGATGTGCTCAATAAATCAGACATTGAATATCAAATGAATCAGACATTGAGATCAAATAATATTTTAATATTATTTACTTATCTAAAATTTATCTTGCTTTATCTAAAATTTTTAATATTAAATTTTTAATATTAAAAAAAACAATATTATTTATATTTAAATAATTATTTATATTTAATATACAAATAATTAAATTATTTATATAAATAAAAATAAATATTTTTAAAATAAGTAACAATATTATTATTATTTCATCTTTATTATTATTTATCTGTAATTTTTAGGTGTTTGTTATTAAAATCATATATCATGTATAAGACAAAAAATGACGAAAGTATATTATAATGACAAGTTAATAGAATTAAATTAAGAAATACATAATTAAAATAGAAATAAAAGAAAAAATGTATAAAAAAATCATTGTTATTTAAAAATAAAATTGTAAAAATAATATTTGTACATGTAAGAAAGCAAATTTAAGTAATTTATAGTAATAATGATTATGTGGTGATAAAATTTAATATAATCAATTTATTTTAAAATTATTTTAGATTTCTGATTAAATTATTTGTAAAAATGTAATTAAAAATATATATATTGAAGAAATAATAAATAATTGAATGCAAATAATAATAAATAAAAAATGTCAGTATAAAACAATTCAATTTCTTATTATTTAATTATAATTATAATTAGTATGTACTTATACATGTCATTTTATTACATACTATATATTTTATTAGAAAAACATACAAAATACGTCGGTATTCTATCAAAAATAAAAAGCGTATTTTAAAAAATAAACAAAAGCATCTATCTAATTAATTATAATATGTTAATGTATATTAATTATAGAAAATAATTATTTGTATTACTACTAACACTTTCATATGTTTCTACAAATCTATAACTTGAAGAGAAGGTTTTATCATTTTTTTTTTATTTCAATTTTTATTGAAAAATATTAAACACGAGATACGCCGTTTACTGAGCGTGTCCCTACAAACATTAAAAGAGAACAATATAAAAAGTTGCGAAATCTCCAATGAAAGACTAGATGCGATGATGCCGCTGATTTCCAGTTAGCATATCTTCGTCCGCAAATATGCCTCGGTCGTCATAATTACTAATAATCATGTTTTTATACTGTACTGACCCTTGTGTATGACATTTGTCAATTGTCAAATCGTTTACAGAGATTCTCGTCATTCGGATTTGCGCTTCTTAAGTGCAAAATTTACTTTTGACGGAAGAAAACCCCCTTCCAGTTTTATTGGTCTTTCTACGTACCTAGAATTGTGACAAATTATTAAAATATTAAATATTTTTATATTTATATTTTAGCAATCCTGTGATTTATTTTCGCTATTATACCTGGCGGTATCTTGTGCAGCGATGACTTTACTCGGAATATATGTATCAAGTAGTGACCTTGGCTCTGTGGACAAGGAATGATCTTGCACTGACAAGGATTGATCTTGCACCGGCAAAGATTGTTCATCTTCCGTAGAAACAGGTTCCAATTGTGTAATGCCGGATTTGAAGTCTTGTGGAGGCAATTGCGGTGGTACGAAGTGAGTCTTAGGTTCTTCAGGCACCTATCCCCAGAATATGTTTAAATAAAGTTAATACTTGTATATCGTCGAATAAACTAATTAAAAGAGAATCTCAGAATTTACAAAATACGCAAAAGATATTTAAAATATATAAATATAATATAATATAAATATAATATAATATAAATATAATATAATATAATATAAATATAATATAATATATATAATATAAATATAATATAACATATAATATAAAATATCTCTAAGATATTTCAGTTTTTATATTTTAAAACGCAATAAATGCTTCAGTGAAAATCAAAAAAGGAGTTATTAAAATAACAAAATGTATAATAATTCTCTTACTACTTCTATAAGAAAGATATTAAAGTTTTTTTTATGAAAAATAACACACGCTTTCCATCCATTAAAGTGCAAAAATGTTAGAGATTAAAAAACTTACAATACATAATATAGCATATAATAGCATATAATTAGTATTGTACAGTAAAAAAACTAATTAAATTATGTTAATTAGTTAGAAATGTCATTAATGATATCGTTCTCGTAATTTGAAATTTTAATTACAACCCTCTTTGACAAGTTAGAAGTTAAAGTATTATGTTTGTATAAAACTATCAATTCCATTATAAAACTAAACTCTAACTTTTTATCATATCTAAAATATATATTACACAACGTAGTCGAAGTTATAAATTATTCTGTTGGAATAAAACGACAATTTTGTTGCAAATTTATTTCAATTGTCTATCGTACAAACCTTAACATAATTTTGTGGAGGATCTTGGCTGATTTGCTCCTGTACAACATTTTTGGGCGCTTCGGAGACAATCGTCGGTGTAACGTACTGTAATTGTTGGGTTTGATATTGACTCACTTGTCCAGGGAGAGAATTATCTTGAATATATGCTGGTAAACGAGTATAAATATCGCTGTAAGCAGCGGCAGGATCGGTGTAAACTATGCCAGGCTGCGTGTAAACTAACTGCTGTACATATTGTGGTTGCGACGGCATGATATAAGCTTGCGTGTGCAACAGCGTCTTTCCTTTAGCAGGCGATTGTTGGGATTGCACGTATACAGGCGTCGTCAGTAGCGTGGATAAATTAATTTTCTTTGACGTAAATGGGACAGTATTAGATACTTTTGATGCCTGAAACATTTATAATTATATGATAAATTTTATAATTAACGTACCAACAATTTATATAAAATTTATATAAAAATACTATAAATTTATTTACTTATAATGTAGAAAAAAATTTAATTTTCTTCTTATTTTATTAAAATCATCATATGCAATATTGTGATTATAACTATTTATATAACAATTGCGTGCGCTGGCTTCGAAAATGCGAATTAAGCTTACTTTGATCCTTGTTGGCACAAATGTTGTTGGCACAATTGTAGAGTAAGATGTTTTTGCGGGAGAAACCAATTGTTTTTGATTATATACGGGAGCGTATACGGGTATGGAAATTTGTTGAGCCGCATTGTTGGCTAACTGATGTAACGGAGGTTGCACTAATCCGGCACTTTTTCCGCTTGCCAAAGAATTAATATTCAATTGGGGGTAATAAGAAAGCAGCTGAGTCACCGGAACATCGAGGTAAACAGGTTCTGCAAATAAGAAAGCGCATTTGAATATCAAAGTTATTTGCAATATGTATAATTAATAAAACCAATTTTATTTAGATTTTTAGAAAAACATTTTATGTTTTTTAAACATATTTTAAACATATTTAGTTTTTACCTTTATTAATGGCTTTTGTGTACTTTTCTGTGATTGCTTTTTGTTGAATACTTTGAACCTGATTGCCTACCACAATTTCTGGTTGATAATTTAATTTTTGAGATTCGAAGGCAACATCTCTCGCCGGTATTTCTGTTTGCTGTTGATATCCCCCGTAATATTGTATTGATGGGATATTTTGCTGTGGCAAAATTTGGCTTGGCTGCTTATACTGTACTTCTTGTACAGCATATTGATTAGGTTGAACATATTCTTCGGGTGGTAGCTAATAACAAAAACAAAATAAAGAAAGTAAAAACTTCAATAAATTAAAATAATATTATTTTATAATAAATGTGTAACACATTATTGAAAGTAAATACGTATTATCTGATATAATTTTTGAATATTATATAAAAAATATTTCTTCTATGTATATTTTTCGATGACAATATGTATAATATTACAAAATGTATAATATTACAAAATTTATATTAGAATTTTTATAAAGATTTGTTGATAAGGAAACAATATACAAAATAAAAACATAAAATAAAATATACAATATATCAAAAATAAAAATTTATGATTTAATTGACTTAATATCTTACGCTATATTTTACATCTTGCAGTCTCTGGGGCTGGATATATAATTCGGAATTACTATCCAAAGTACTATATTGATTCGGTATTTGATATTGCTGCTGATTGGATTGGACGGCGTATTTCGTTTCATCAGTCTGGATATTCTCGTTCTTAGCTTTATTCTCAGCCTTCAGATTATCCCTCTCTATATCTTCTAGATTAATTTTCTTCTCGGCACATGCAACCGTTACGAGCAGACCCAATATTAAATAGACTTTCTGTAATCAAAAGAGAAAGTTAAAATTGCTATCGATCATCAACGCATTTTTCTTTCTCTTCCTCTTTTTTTAATTCCACATTTAATTGTGCATAAACCTGCAATAATATATAGATTATTAAGTATCAGATATAGATTATTAAGTATAGATTATTAAGTATCAGATTATTAAGTATCAGATTACTTTGAAAAATTAGTTTGTTTCAAAAATTAGAAAAACTAAATTATTTTTCTGGAGGCATAAAAAAGAAATTTTTCTATTTAAATGTTTTGAAAGTATTGATAATATTTATATTAATTTAATAAAAGATAAATTTTATTAATTTCAATATAATCCGTTGTCGAAAAAATGAGATCATTAATTCATAAAAAATATTTTTATCTTTTATTTAAAATAAAGTCTATAGAAATTTAACAAAGTTGTTTTGCAAAAATATATTATATGCATAAAATAAAATTAAGTATTACAAACAATGAATAAGCAATGATAATCGATATACATGAAGCATTCATTATCGGCTAATTACATTTATTCGATTTTTTGTTGATCGTTTACCATTATCGTTTCCGGCAAAAACGTATTTGCACACTTTCACTGCACGCGAAGTTCTGGGTCAAACATCCGGTATGGACCACTCTTATATAGATTGTACTGCCCCGCCTCTCGAACAAGGCAGGCCACACTTCCCCCGACAAGTGTATCATCAAACTCACACAGGTATATACATCTTTCTCCTTTTTTTATTTTTCATAACTGAATTTTCACACATTTTATAGTGCCATGAATCAAGAAAAAGCTATACATAATAGCTATTTTAGAAATACTAATTGCCATTACAAGGAGAAATGATTACTTTAGGTGAGTGAAAATAAATGTATAAAACTCCCAAGATTCACTATTTATTATTTATTAAAAATAATGATTTATTTATCATAATTTATAACTTATAGTAATAATTTATAATTTATAATTTATAATTTATAATTTATAATTTATAATTTATAATTTATAATTTGTCTGATTATACTTGTAATTATATTTTGTATATGATATAATTTTAATTTTTCAAATTTATATTTTTGTATGGTATAATACCATTACTATCAAATGGTTTAAAATTTTTTTATGTAAAATGTGAAATATTTCTATTAGAAATTAATAAGCAAATAATTATCATTTTATTATATATCTTTAAATAATTAAAATTAAATTTATAATTTATATTTTGCATTTTTTAAATAAAAAATTATTTACAATTGTCAATTTTAATATTATATATATATATATATATATATATATAGTATATAAACTAGCTTACAAAATTGTATAAATTTTAAACATTTTTGATAAAATAGAAAGTTTTATTTAATAAAATGTATTACTTATATCATATATAGAAATATATAAATAAAATTTTCTTGTTTTTATTTTATTCACAAAAATTTTAATTTATAAATTTAATTAATACATATATTTTCTTAAAAGAAAATTTATGAATACGTTTTTATCTATCTATTATTAAATAACTCTGTTACAGAATTCTAATCTATTTTTCTCTACATTATGCATTTTTTCAATTATGTAATGGTATTATCTCACTGAATTATTCAAATAGAAATATTTAAAAAGCATATACTTACCATGTTGCAAATATACCAAAAAATACAAACACGACACAAGGACCTAGCTCTACTCTATAAAACCGAAGTAGATATGTGTTCTCTTATATAGCCTTTACCCCTACCCGCAGCAGCCCCTGTCGAGTAACACTTCTCTTCTCGATTAAAGCGTGTGTGATAATCCGTGTCGGCCGTGGATCACGTAGAAGAATATGGTCGCGATTTGAGTAAAAGTGAAGATATTCAACAAATTACTTCCTCGCCATTTCAGAATATGTAACTGGATCTCACTTCAGAAAGATTAATATCTCAAAAACTTAAAATCATAATATAATATATGTTAGAAATTAATTTTTATATCTTTTCAATTATTTTAAAACAATGAAATAATAAAAACTGTATTCTTAGTAAGATATTATGTAATTATAAAAGCTAAATGTTTCGAAAAAATGTATATAGTTATATTAACGTTTATTATTAAATGTATACAAATAGAATAATTCAATTGAGTAATTTCAGACTTATACTTTCATGTACGAAACATTCTCACATTGTATAGTGCAAAAATAAATATCATAATTTTAAATGATTAATAAGTAAGGAAATGTTATTTTACTTGGAATGGATTTTATTTTGCATTCATTAAATGGAAAACTAATCTTTTTATAAAAAGAGAGACACGACATCTTCGTTACGTCGTTAGGACAAAATTAACAGGAAGAAAAAAATCGGTTATTAAATCGCAATCTGCTAAGAACGTGATATATCGTCGAAGAAATCAAGATAGAAACAAACTTCACGTACTTAATCATTATCGTCTTTCTACACACAATCGTAGCAAGCAGTAATCTACAGATCGCACTAAAGTGCGTTAATAAACTGACGATAGTAGTAAAACTATCAGCATTAAAAATCTCCGCGTAAATCGCTTCCAGTTTTTTGTCGTCATTAAACCATGATAATTATTGCGCTAGCTTATTCAGTGCATTAAATTGCTAATTTACTAAGTCAATGCGTTTTATTTCTACATTTGATAAATAAAGTTTACAATGGAATATGCTATATACTAAATGAAAAAATTTAAGCGTATCTGATATTTCAAGAATAATTTTAAAAGAAAGTACATTAAAGCTTTCGAGATTGGCACTTTCATTTTTCTTTTAATTTTAATGATGATTATCTTGTTTAATAACATTTTAAATTCTTTTGATATAAAAAAATTTAATAAATTCTGTAATACTTATTAAAAGTTAATATTATGTCAATTCAATTTCAGCGAATTTTTAAGTAAATACATGTAAATAAATAACTAAAATAAATGTAAATAAGTAATAAAATATTGAATTAAATCAATTTGAATTAATGTTTAATCGAGAATTCTAATTTATGTTTTATTATGATCAAGATATGTTATTTACAATCATCAAATATTTTGGATACAATCTCCTGTTTATTAATTCAGACTCTACGTAATGAGAAACAAACGCTAACACCGGTGTCGAACAATGGAGAGAATGATCAATGTCTCGCAGGAAACGGTGGTTTCCGATTATTGAACGATATAATAGCGTACGCACTTGTGGAAAAGCGGATTATTCTCACCACTGCGTGTCTAATAATCGCATGCGAGATTGAGCTGTGAGATCTGGACATGCGATCTCGTTGTCCAATTCAAAAGCGGTCATATTCATGTAAAACAGACAAATTTCAAAATAATTCGTCGAAAATTATTCTGATAATAAATTTATATATATTTTTTAATATTATTGTACATTTAATCAATATTTTATATAATTATATTTTTATAAAATTATTTTCTAAATCTTTTATATATAATTGTGTCCTATTTGCAAAATTTACATTCTAATTAAAATAAAAATATTTATATATAGTATATTTAAAGTATATTATATAAAGTATGAATACAAAAATACATCAAAACAAATTATTAATTATGATTTCTTATGTTTAGAGAATTTGCTAAGGTAATATTTTATTTAAAAAAATCAATGATCGCTAATCTAATCTTACATATGAGATTAATGATCGCCTATCTAAGCTTACCTATTTTAAAATTTTCAAAATTATCTAACAATGAATCATTTTTACTTTAAATGATTAGTGAAAGTAATCCTAACAATACGTGAGACTATACTACAGAAGAGCGTAAAAGATTGCATTGTATATTCATTCATGCTGTTTATTTGATTGAAATCAAATAATGGCGGTTAACCGACAAGTCATCCAAGCGATCGTTTATCACGACAATCGCGTGGTAAAATGTTTCTGAAAATTCATAAACGGAAATTGCTCTCTCTCTCTTTCTCTCTGTCTCATACTTTATTCTGTTACAGACAATGGAGAATAGGATCAAGAGGAATGAAAAGAAGGAGAGAAGGAAACTGCTTTTCTTGCATAGATTTCTGACAAAAATGGTTGATCGATGTAATCGGGAGACACGGAAGGGAAAGGATGGAAAGGAGATCTCGTAACGACTCGCGATCTCTTTGTTGATCTCCCTCTCTCTCTCTTTCTCTCTCCCTCTTTATGCTAAAGTCGAGACGTTCCATCATCCCGAATCGCACAAAGAACCCTTTTCTCCGACATTTTTAGGTATATTCCAAAAAGGAAGAAAAGATTGAGAAAAACCAGGACTTCCTAGGTTGACCATAGATATGGATGGATGGCAATCTTACATACCAATCGTGCGCTGCTCCAACAAATGATTGCCGATGCGGCTGCACTTACGATAAAAATTAACTGCAATTAAAACGGAAAACTTTCTCGATTGGCGTTTATATCGCTTCGGGATAGAAAGGAAGAATGAAAGAAACGTGCGAGAAAAACGAGGAAGTGAAGCGACGATTAAACGAGTGCAACTTCGCTTCTGAAAAGCAACAAATAAAATGCAAATATTTGACCTTTCTGGTTGATCGCTTTCTCGAGTTCAATCGCCGGGTTCGCTTACGATCATCTGTTTATCAAGCGATTTGTTAAATTTTTTATGTTCGCCTGAGTTGACCACACTGCCAGTTGCTTTCGAAATCTTCTCGATTGATTATACGAACATAATATGCAAATAAACATACTAATTTGCATATTTCTCTCTTAAAATGTGACTGGGAAATCAATGTATAATGCAGATACTAAAAAACATTCATTCTCAATTAACAAAGTATGCTTATTTTGAAGATGCTGCATTTAATTAATTAATTTAATTTATTTAATTATTAATTTTTTACTATTATTGTTTACAATTTTTAGAAAGTTAAAGGTTTAAAACTTTCTATTAATACAGAGCTATAAATATAATATACTAAATTTATTATTTAGTTATATAATAATAGTTTATCGACTTATTGAAGAAGAAAACAAATAAAACAAGAAAAAATGTAATAATTTAGTCTCAAAAAATTTAATAAATATAAATATCGTATTTTGCATGTAGCCTTTTGCTCGATTCAAAGGAATAGAGCGAGCTGAACATAGAAAAATACCAAATAAAGAAAATAGCTCTCTCATGCATTTTCTATATAAATTAATCTGAGTATTGTGACATTTTTTTTCGATATAATGTATTTCTCGGGGTCGGGGAATGCAAATAACGCTTGTCATGACGTGTGACGGCTCGTAAACATAAAGAGAAAATAATGCTTCAGTTGCAGTAATGAATGTCCGCGTACACATGCGTGCACACAGGACTTTCTACCATACATTGCCAAAAGCTGCAGCCTCGTTTTCCAGAATTTACATCGACGTACTCTCAGTGAGTCGACCGCGCCTCTCTCGAGCTTTCGGGTCACCGTGTATGTTACCGATCGATATCAAGTCGCTGCGAGAAAGTAACGGGCTTGGTCCATCCGATTTTATTTTAAACCATCGGCATACTTGCGCGCGCACGAGAATGCACAAAATAAAGTAAAACAAAGTGCGAAGCTCTCACTCACCTGCCGCGATGTACGTTCACGCCAGGATTGGCAGTAAGATACATTGCACCCCGCATAAACTACGCAATTTTGTCAAATCTATTGATTCTATTGAAATAATTGGAAGTTGCAAGAGACGAAAAAAAAAATTCGCATTTATCTTGTGAGTTTTAATTTAAAAAGTATCCAAAAATTTTATAGAAAGATATTTTATATGATTTCTGTTAAACATGTTTTAATTTTCTTACAAATAATAAAAAAGAAAACCTAGCTCTCTCTCTTGTGTACAATTCCAAGTTTACAAACTATCAAAAATGTATAAAAATTATATAGAAAGATAATTTGTGTTGGACATTTTTTATAATTTAATTATATTATATTTAAAAAAAAATTTATATATAATTTTTCATTAGTCCCCTAATTTTTAAAGTAAAAAGATTTCTGAAAAATCTCGAGCGCATCTGCAAAAGAAGTGAACGAACAAATATTTATAAATAGCAGTAATAGTTAATGACAGTCGGGTAAATAATAATGTATTAACAATTAATCAACCAAATTTTCTTTTATCTCACTTGCGACTTTTTGTTACGCCGGGCCTGATTCGAATGTACTGATCTTGGGGACTCACTTCTCCTTTCCTTTCGAGGCCGGCACGCCTCGCAGTCGGACGAGCAGCCGGACATTGCCATGATCCGGATCTCTTCCGCTCTCAGATGCCATGACCGTGACTCATGTAATTCCCCTTAAGACGAGAGAAGCGACCAAAATTTCAAACGATCAATTAGCCTCGCCTTAAGAAGATGCGTCCATAGCAGAATTAATTATCAAGTGCAAGATTAATTACAATGATGCCAGTAGAGAAATGCAGTGCGTTGTTCGATGATTTTACAAGATTTCGAGATAAAATTGCAACTATTCATTATGCATTATCGTGATCTGTCTATATATTATAATTATATTTATAATTATATTTCTTTTAATTTTCAACTTTCCACAAATATATCTATTCTTTAATAATAATACTATATTTTTCTTAGTTTTAAATGTGTACCGCTTTAATTCAATAATAATTAATTAAACATAAATATAAATATTTTATAATCTAAATAAATTTATTATTTAGAAAGCTTGCATACTTTTGGTAAGATGTATTAATACCTGCAATATTGCAGATATAAAAATAGGAAATACTTGCTATCATATATGCATTAATTATCAAACGCATAAAGCGTATTATCTTAATGATACGGTTCATTCTTGAAGCCGTCACGTATAAATTTCCGTACCTTAATCCATTAAATTTTCATGTACATCACAGTTTATAATGACATGTGTGTATAATTACTTCGAAAAGAACATTGCAGGAAAAGAAGTCAAGAACCGGTCGCTCATCAAACGAAAGTAAAGTACAAAGATAAACGCGAAAGGAAAACACCGGTCCGTTGTACAACGAAGAGAAAGGAGTACAAACATCAAAGGATGCATAAAGGATCGTTTATTGTACCAGAATGATTATAAAATGAGTATTTAAAATCGCTACGTATACATGTAGGTCGTGAGGCTCACAAATAGATCCGCATTGTCAAGTATAATGCGACATCATGATTTCCCAACTTCAAAAAAAACTTGTCATGCATTCTAAAATACTAACATCGCTTTTGTGAAAAGAAAGCTCTTTTCTTCTTTTACATTTCGTAGATCTTAACATGCATCTCTTATGCTCGCATCGTAATATAAAAATGACATATGCTGCAGAAGAAAGTATCAAACAGGATCGAGAAAGGTGATATAAGTATAATCGTATCAAGTGGCAATCTGTACATCTGCAAGCAAGCCTTTCATTTAGTAACTAATGCGAAAGTAAATCATATAGAACATCGATGTCTATTAAGTTGTCGAGACTTGCAGCTATCAATAATGTTAGACACTCTTTATTTTAAAAATAGATTTGATTTGATAATAAATCAATAGAAATATATGAAATATAAATGTGTATTTTATATATTACCATGTAGTATGTAAAAATTATAATTTAATTCATTTTTTAAAATTTAAAAACAATACAAAATTTATTTTCTTATAGAAACATTTGAGAATATCAAGAAGTTTTTTGCGAAACATCATATATTTTGTAATTTAAAATTTTATAGAAAATTATAAATTGCAAAATGAAATATATAACATACACATACTATTTATATAGAATATTTAAATATTTGCACAGCTTTCTCTATGTCAAAAACTGAGAAACATTTTAAATAAGTAACTTATTATTGTAAAAGGATTAAATACATTTTGATATAAGCTTAAAGATATTTCTGAATTTAATTGAATAATAAAATTTAAATAATTTATTAATAAAATTAACATTTAATATGGAAAAAATGCGACAAGTTATCCTTTCTTATAGAGCGTTTTCGCTGCAGTAAATGATTTGAATATAAATATAAAAAATATTTGTGTGTATATAAATATTTAAAATAATTTTATAGTTATTTATATATATCCTAAAGTAAAACACTGCGTCAATTCTATAACAACAAAATAATTATAACAATATATAGCACCATTTGTTCTATCATTCTATTATATTTGTACATCACACGATATCATTTTTTATATTGTTTATTTCCAAAATTGCCGTCATCTGGAGTAATTGTATCTTGTTGCATCTGCTGTGCCTTATCTAATTCGTAAGTAGAGTATTCATAATTGTAAGATCGAGGAGTCTGCGATACAACAATAAAATCTTTATTCTGATAAGAGCTCGATTGATTATGATCGTTTCTATAATTGTTTATATAATTCTGTTCCTGTTTGTTGCTGGACTGATCATAAGTGTTATCATAATTATCATAGTCATATCTGTGATTTTTTGGTCGACGATCGATCACACGATCGCGATGCTTGTTGCGGCTATCAGATGATGTATGCGTCAACTGTGACACCGGTTTTTGAACATAATGGCCTGAATATCTTATATTTTTATTTGAGGGTTTCTGAAACGGAACATTTTGAAGATTCGTTCGTTCTCCATTGACTTTCGCGGTATCGTCGACATTTATCATGAAAGTTACACCAGTTTTAGTTTTTGCGCCTGAAAGAGTCCTGTATGCTGGCGTATTTGGAGTATAAGCGTCCTGATTCGCGTATGATCCATCATTGGCACTGTTTAAAACGTTTCTATTGTTTTCGTAAGACTGACCGGCTTGCTTCTGCGGCAATAAATTCAGCTGTTCCGTCTGCTGAACCTTGACATACGGCGCAGGCAGCGAGTAATCTTGGCCGACTGGCTGTTCCACCACGTTGATTAGCCTGTACGTCGTCCTCGGTACGAAAATCGGCGGGTCCTTTGCTTGGGCATCAAGTTGATTGTACGGACTTGTTAACTTGTACGTGCTAGATTGCCCGTCGAGATCTCTCAAATTGTTAGATATGTAGTTTCCGTCGTCTACAAATTGGCTTGTCGATGCATCTTGAGTCTCATTCTCGTTCGGTTGTGTAATTTGCTTGTTTTTATTCTGCTTGTCGTTCTCGGCCATCTCGGAGTCTTGCGATGTTTCTTGATAGCCGATGCCTGTCGATGGTGTTGGCGAATAGGAAGCCTGATTAAAATAATGAGGATAGTAATAGGATGGCTGATAATAATAATTCGGATACGGCGGAGATGGATACGACGCAGGATTCACCGCGTATTGTGTAGGATAGGTGACATAGGGTAAGTTGACGTAAGGATACACATTACTGTTGTGCGAGGGATGAGCGGATGCGGGGGAGTTGCTTTTGGAATACGGATCGTAATTAGGATAATATAAGTCTCTTTGCTGGTTGTTGTTATAATTAGAACTGTAAGAATCCTTGGCGTCAATTTTCGGCGCCTCCGGCGTTAATTGTAAAGTTGACTCTGCCTTGGTACCTCGTTTAATTAATTTAGGGCTGTAGGGATAGACGGGATGAATCGGTAGAAATGGCTCGTTGTTAGGATCCTTGATTTCATGTAGTTGGACGAAAATTGTCGGCGACAGCAAGTAGAATAAAATCTATAATTAGATTTATTCATATATTAATTTATAAAATATAATTGCTTAAAAAGAGAGAAAGAGAATTTTATATTGTATTATATATATTATATGTATTAATAAGACATATAATTATTACAATTTTTCTTTATCAATCAATAGAATATTATATAATATTATATAATTATATAAAAATATTATTAAATATTATTATATTAAATATTATGACAATAATTATTAAATATTATAATAAATAATATAATAATTACTGTTAAATAATAAAAAATTATAATTAATGTCATAATATAATTATAAAAAATTTATACAAACTAATAGTGCTATATTTATATACTATTGTTTTCTCAATTAAAATTTCTTTCCTATATTTTCCAGTGTTGAATAATTTTAAATACTTTTGTGATATATTAATTTATACTGCGGATTTACTATATATTCGTAATCCATATTCGTATTTCGTATCTGTATTTCACATTCAAAATAAAAACTTTTAAGTAAAATAAAATAACGATGTTCAAATAAAATAAAAACTTTCGCGACACAAAAATAAAAATTTCATAAATTCCAAATAAAAACTTACAAGCTGTTGAAACTATTCTGAAGTAAAATTCCTTAAAAAAATAGCTTGTAATTAGACCGTACAAAAGAATTAGACGTCAAGTTTAATTGGCACTGTTATTAAAAACGTTGGATTAGTAGCATTAAATAAAATGAAATATTTTCCACTAATTAATGAATTTATTAATTTGTACCAACCAGTCGCACCATCTCCGCTGCAAATCACTTATCGCCGTCGGATGATTACAAAAGCTATGCTTTCTTCCACTATTTAATGGCTATCTCATCCGGCACCTCGCCAACAATTTCGCAGATCAGACCGACACGATGGTTCCACCTTTAATGATGCATCTGCCGACATTGAATTTCTCCTTTATACTCAGTCACCGGAAAAATTGCGGAAACTAGTTTAACATTTCTCTGCTCTATGTGTATAAGTATAGAAGTGATAGTGGATGATCCGGTGGCGCAGTGAAAATATATAGAATGTTGTTCGATCGTCATCAAAAATGGCGAATGATCACTCGATAGTGACATACATTAGATCACGTGTATGTGGAACATTCAAAAAAACAGACCCTTCGTTCGAGCCTGATTATTAGGCAGACCGTAATTGCTAGTCGATTATTAGTCGAAGGAGTCTGCGAATTTATTGAGCAACGTTCTTTTAGTCCGAAAAAGTTCGAATCGATGCTTGGTACTCTAAAGACAGCTGGCCGGAAGACAAAAGGTGATGGTCGTAAAAGATCAAATGGCCTAGGAAATGGAGTGCCCTCCGGCATCTTCAAAGAATCTTTTTATTTTCACTTGAACAACGCCTTTCTCGGTGACGTTCTCGTATCTTTAAAAATGTCAAGACTTGTTTTACTTTCACCTGTGCGTCTGTCTCTCCTACCAACAAATCCTTACTGCGACCACACCTGTGATAATGAGGTGATTGATAGGAGTCTCAGGAAGATTGCGTCGCGGAAATAAATCCGGAAAAAAATTTATCTTTAAATTATTATAAATCATCTTTCTCTTTAATTAAATAAATAAAGAAATGTCGTAGAAGAGCAAAGATTTTGCATTTATAGTTAATATTTTAAATTACAATAACCAAAATAAATGCTTGTTTAAATAAAAACATAGCATTTAATAAAATAATATGATTTTAATAAAATTATTATGTAGAATATATATATATATATATATATATATGTTTTTATAAAATAAATACAATAATATTAATATATATGAAGCACATAACTATATATAAACTTATATATAATTTATTATACAGAAATTTGTTTTATACAAAGTTTCTTTTTTAAAAAAATAATATAAAAGATTAATATCTTCTTATAATATCTTTACAATATTTTTTAATATTATTAAAAATATTTAATAACATTTAATACAAATATTCTATATAATTTTAAATAATTTTATATTAATATATCATCGTTGCACAAACGAGAGAATTTTGAAGAAAAATCTCATGTTAGAAATTCATATTGTATATTTAAAAAATAATGCTTACAGTTTCATACATTGTCATACTTTAATGCCATCTTCTTCTGTAAGATTTTCAATTACCATACTCAAGAAAAAGATTCACGTTATAAGTCGATACGTCACGAAAGTGAATCTGCAAGTTACTTGGCAAGAAAGGAATGTATGATCCATGATCAAGGTAAAAGTACATGATAGGGTCCAACCAGGGAACGCCTTCATGAAGAGTAAGAGCGTACTTTTCCCGCTCTCGCGGCGCCGCGCGAGAAAGAGTGAAGCACAAATATACCGCTCGCAAAACCAGTCGGAAAATAGTGAAACGTGCATTTTCTATATTTGCAAGATATGTACGATCGTATGTCGGGTGGTATCGGTTGTACAATCTGTCCATAAAAGGACCGAGAAATTGCGTGCAACTCTCTCATATCGTCGTGCTCGCGTGCGTAAGTGTTCAGGGTCCACACACGAACATGATACAGAAACTAGGTCAGATGCATATGAAGAAGTAACGTGCGATTACTAAAATCGCTTTCTTGCGTGGGTGTCCGCGTATCTCTGTGATCGTGTAATCAAAAATTCGATTATTGAAAGCAACCAGTATTCTTTTATCGCGCGAAATATTTGATTGATGAATCGTGAGCCTGATATTTCAATAATCGATATCGTTTTATCAATGTAAATTTAAATGAATATAAATAGTGCAATATGCATTGCCATTCACTACAAATCAGAAATAACTTTATGCGTCTAAATCTCTTTTTATAAAATTTAATTTTTTTTATATAAGTATTTATATAAGTATTCTACGTGTTATTTTTTAAAAGTGTATAATTTAAGTTGTATAAAACATCATCCAGTTATATTATTTTAAATAATGTTTTGCGTGTCTTTCATATAGATATATATATTTTTTTTTCGAGAATGATACAAGCATTTTTAAATTTAATAATTTAAATAATTATTTTTAATACACATGCAAACTATATATAATAATAAGATATATTTTTACTAAACATATATGATTGCTGTAGTGCGTATCATATTATTATACTGCACAATATTTTGCTCTTATAGATAATATAATTATTTACACCATTAATAGCATTCAAATAAAAACTGTGATATTGCTGGTTTCTACATTAATCATGTTAACCTGTTTGATAAGTTCGGCCAATTAACGCTCTCGTCGGTCGGCAACCACTTTCTCAAATAAAATAAAGGTTTAGAAAGGTATCTATTCATCCCAATCTGTCCTGGTCTTGAAGTAAAAGTGATCTCGTTCTTCCTCTTCGGGCGAATTTCTGTCATTATTATTTCTCTCACACCTTCGTAGGTTGTGTGGCAAATAAACTTTCATGGTAGTAGAAGCGAAAGAAATAGCACTATCACGATTGCTAGATACATCAATTGATTTCAACATCTTGACAACATAACAATACCTGAACCTATTCAAACGTCCAAACCGTTCAAATATCTTTCGATACGCATTATCTTTCATGCGTTTCGAATCAATTATAGATGAATACAAAATTCGACGCTCGTGTATTTAATTACACCAATTAAAATTATATTAATTATAATAATCATGTTGTTTATTCATACTACGATACAATTTTACTTTTTTAATTTCTTTGACACGGTATGTCTTTATTAAAAAGCAAGAAATTGGAGCAGAATGTGTTACACACGCAATCTGCTAGCGCAAATTAATGACAATATTTTTTACAATTCAAGAAATTTAGATTTACATTTCTTGAGCTTTGAATTGTTGTTCTCTAAATTAATTATTGTTATCGATCCAGTTGCAACAATATGTCGCTGTCATAACTTGAAGAGTTAAAATGGGTTTCTACTGTATTAGAGTTAATTATTTTATTACAAAAAGATATAAAACTAGACAACAAACATCACAATTATCGATAATATAAAAGATACATAACAGAAAGGACTATTTACTAGTATTATAAATATATAATAGTTCGTATTAAATACAATTACGATAGAAGTTTATCTATAAATGTGTGTTGTAAAAGATTTAAATATAAATATATCCAAGCAATTCTTTGGAGAGCCTGGGTTATTATTGCTATCATTATACAATATACATGATTCTCCAATTTATCCTTGAATAGTAAATATTTACTACTATTTCTCATGGCAAGATCTAGTCAGCATAAAATTAAAGCCACTCGATAATTTTAAATTGTGACAATTTTTTGGTGCTTAACTTATTTGTCGCAGAAGCTAAAACACGTACAATATATAATTATAACTTTAAATTATCAAAGCGAATTTAATAACATTAGCATATGCGTGAGTTGCAAAATATAAAGCTACAAAATATAAATTAAACGACTCCATATTTTCCGTTAGAAGACGAATACGAGATCGTGTCATACTTTTCGTTCCCTGCCTCCGCGGTGTCATATGATTTTGCTAGAGCGAGTCTTGAATATCTTGGACTAACACTGGAATAAGCTCCGTGCGATCCCGCAGGTGTTCCGTACGAACCAGAAGGACTTAAATACGTGGGCGTATAAGTGGATGCTCCGGTATAAGTCACGGGGTTGGAATAGCTGTGACTGGGACTCGTGTAGCTCGAGCTATGAGCGGAATAGCCGGAACCAGAGCCAGAATAACCGGAATGGGAAGAACTCGGGGCTGCGTAAATGACGTTAGGACTGGAATAGCTAGAACTGCTGCCGGATGAATGAGACGGCAGATAATTCACGTACGAGGAACTGGACGATCCAGAGTTCGAGTAAGATCCCGAAGAAATTGGCACCTCGTAATTGGAATTATCTGACGAGGAACTCGAAAATCCGGGGTGAGAGCTTGAAGAGCCGTAAGATCCTGAAGAAACCGGTGCGGAATAACTGGATGATGAAGAGCCGGAAGATAATGCGGAAATATCGTGAGAGCCAGAAGTTATCGGAAGGGAATACGTAGGGGATGCTCCGTGAGAGCCGGAAGAACTGCTGAGGGCAGAAATGCCGTGAGAGGATCCAGATTGAGGGAGGCTGTAGCTGGAGGAACCATCGTGCGAGCCGCTGGCGATAATTAAGCCGCCCGTCACGGAATGTAAAGGACTCGAAGGAGCAGATTGAACAGGAAGACTGTAGCTTGACGCGGAACCATGCGACGATCCCAGTACAACCGGAACATTAATGCTGGATCCCCCGTTGTAAGCCGAGAATCCATGAGCTGCGGAAGCGTAAATTGGTGCGGAAGAATACGAACTGGAACCGGAAGTGCTCGCGGCGTCACTACCGCTCTGGGATCCAAAGGTGACGGGGCCAGTCTTCGACGAGATGAGATTGCTTCCTCCACCATTTCCTAAATTGATGCTAGTTACGCTGGGCGCGGAATACGTGCTTTGAGCCGAATGTCCGGCAAGGGAGGCATGAGCACCCTGAAGATTCAATGAGCTGTGGCCTAATCCAGAAGAAAGATATCCAGAACCGAGGCCGGTTGAAGGTAGAGAATATTTGATTCCGTGACCGATAGAGTTGCCTAGGCTTACTCCAGCATGTCCAAGAGAGAAACCACCGGATGATCCTCCTAGATTATAACCGGAACTCACACTCGAAGAAATGGGTGCCGAGTAGGAAGGAGATCCATGCGACGGATAAGCCACCGGAAGACCGCGTTTATTTGGTAGCACTAGACGTTGATACCGCAAATTTTCACTGCCGCAGACGAGAGCCGCAAGCCCCAGAAACACCTACGCAAGTAAAATTAGTATCGTTACTTTTTCACTTTCTAAAAGTGACCCGCTTTCATCTGTTTAATCGGTTTATGTGAAAGTGGAATACAATATTATTAGTCGGTAACCTGATTTATAATCAGATTGCTTAGCTACAAGCGGTTATATTAATTAAGCGACAAATGAATGCTTAATTCTGTCAGTTAAGTACATGAAAATATTAATTATTTAGTTGACTATCTTAATTATACCGCTATACACAATTTTCAACATCTTTAAAAAATCTTATAATATAATGATAATATAAATGATAATATAAATGATAATATAAATTTATATATAATTAATATAAACATATTTATTAATATAAATATTAATATATATAATTATATTTACTAATGTAATCTTATTATCTTAAAAATATCAAAATATTAACTATATTTGAATTATATAAATAATTAAGAAACAAGAATCCTTTGAAAAATAAGCTTCAAAGAAAATGATTAATAATATAGATTGGCTAAAATAAACTACTTATTAAATTTACTAAAATATTTTAATTTAATTTAAATAAACATTTTAATTTAAAACTTAATAGTAAAATATATATTTTTAATTTTTGCAATAAATGATCCTTTTATATTTTCGGAAAAAATCGAATTCAAATTTATTAAAATATAGACGGCAGTCGGAATATATTTTGTATTATTTAAAATATTTAATTATTATAATCTATATTAATATTTTTTAATTGCAGTACTTAATATAGCATTTGAATTGCACTATTTAATATTTGATTTTAATTTTAAGCTGTTCTACCTACACAAAATAGAAATTTAAATGTATCATATTATTGTAATTATTATTTTTATTGGTTAATTTGTAATATTTTATAATAATAAAATTATATATATATATATATAATATATATATATATATATATATATATACCATAATATTTATATTGTAAAATAAATTATTTCTTAAAAAAATAATCTTTTTAATGGAAATTTAATAAAAAACTCAATATGTTGCATTAATTATCATTAATTCAAAATCAAATTAATTATAATATTGCATATAAATGTTATTATATTATTTATATTTTAAAGACTCCAATTAACTTTAATATTTTAATTAACTTTGATTTGACAACTGTCTAAAATTCTGTAAAGAAAAAAGAAATTACACACAACAATTTCAATCAATATTGCTATCATTAACACACCCTACATAAAGACATTAATTTCACATATATGATATGCACAACACACATAAAGGCACAGATAGTAGATATAATTAGTTAATAGATATAATTAAGTATTAAAAGAGAATTAAAAAGAAAAATTTTCCATGGCACTTACAATTGACCGCATGTTTGCAGAAATAGAATTGCTCTCGTTAATATTTCTCTCAATCGGGTGACAGTCGAGTAGTTGAGGGGTATCTCAGTTTCTGATGCCATTGCTACCAAGAAGAAAGCCTTTATACATGGATCCCCTCTTGCACGGCGAAAGAAAGGTCTAGGTGAAGGTAAATCTCCCCATGCTAATATACCGGGAGCAACGTTGCGTTGCATCGTCGGGGCACTGATAGCGGATGACCGGTATAACAAGTGTTTTACAAATTGTATTCTACTTATGATAATAGCGGATCAATATATTAATTCTCATTTCTATTACAATTTTTTTCTTGTTCAATATAAGAAACAACAGCATCCTCTTGAAAAAGTTAACAACCAGCTTGAAAAAGGACGAACAATGCCAGTTGCACGAACATGAAGTCAATCGGAAAAAGATTTATCGCTTCCTCTTCGTAACAGAAATTTCATCCCTGCCTTATTGCCTTTGTCCGCAAAGCGTTTCGAGAAAGTATAAGGAAGGTCAATTACCTTCCTCATGTTGAGGATATTCTCAATTAAGATTTTTTGCTTTTTCATACATAAGAAGGATATCCTCTTAGCGATTATAGATCATATTAAGGCAATATTTAAAGATCAAGAAAATTTCAGTAGACTATGTTAAGCAGTTTTTAATTGTTATATGTTTTCACGAAATCAATAATTTAATTTCAGTGTGATAATAGTTATCATATTGGTATCAAATCATATCGGTATATTTTGTTGCAATCGGTGTAATTAATCATTTATGAGTGAACACTATCTTGCATCGGGAAAAACGCAATTATATTTTCGATTTGCAACTAGATTCCTAATTTATTTTATATTTTTCACTCTTGATTTAGACGCATTAAGCTTTAACAAAAAAAAATATTGTACATCAGAGAAATATTGTATATCACGAATTAGACCGCAATCCCAATTTAATCCTATCACATAAGCTCGAAACGGGTAATTGTATGCATAAATTTTATAAATTATCTTGCTACAAATTATACATGCGAGAAGAAAGCAAAACAATTACTTATATAATCACGAATTTTTAAAAATTTATTATTTCAGTACACCTGGTATATCCGGATGTATACTTCCGAGATATTTACCGTGTCATAAGAAACGTTTCTTCCATACATTGAAATCTACTGAAACGTGCGTGGTTTTTTACATTCACGTCTCATGTAAAATATTTAATATTGACAAAAAAGCACTATTAACCGAATATTCGTCGCATAAAAAAAACAATTATGCTTGTTCTACGCTTATTAAATTTATTTTTTAATAAATGTTTTTCTGTTAAACTTTAATTGACATGTTTTGTTATTTTCCATACAAAAATCAGATTAAACCGAGTGGATTTATTAATTTTATTATTAATCGCAAAAATTAATTAAGATTCAAAGTGATTTACGTGCCTTTTCGCACAAATGAAGCAAAGTAAAATATTTCATAAAATTTTAGTGTTCTAAATTGTTTTATTTTTAACATTTTTATATCTATAACCTATAAATAATATTTAAAAAATATATATCCATAATACCTAAAAAAAGAATTATATTTCTGATTATATCTTACATCTAGAAGTAAAATTTTCACATTTAATTAATTTCGAATTTTTATTAAAAATTATAAGAGTATGAAAAAAATTGCGCCTCTCACTATGTCCTAGATCTAAAATTATAATTTTATTACTTATAATTTAATTAATTTAATTATAATTTTCGGCTTAATTTTTACTTTCAACTAATTTAAAATTTTTATTTTTAATGTAAAATGTGAGAATGAGAGAGAGACAAACATTGTAACGCTAAATATATGTTATATTTTTGTGTTTAACAATTTCTTCTAAATTGTAGGTTTTTTATTCACCTCAGTTAAGAGTTAATCAGAATTAAAATGAGATATGTATTATAAGAGAAGAATACTCGTTATAAGTATTCTCAGAGATCGTGAATAAGAAAAAAAATCGTAACTTATTGAAAGTCGATCATTCGAAAGTGCGCTTAGGTATGGACAAAAAAGCTGCTACACAGTGTTTTTCGTTTTTGTATAATAAACATATCTAGAAATAAAGCCATAAGAAAGTAATTGTTCTTTGAGAAGAAATGTAACTGTAAGAATAAATGTAGCCGTAAGAAGATAATCGCGTTCTTCGATTCATAGCACCTCATAATAATTTATTCGACTCCTCCCAACCTTCAATGCTAAACTGTAGTAATTGAAAATGTTTGATTGACACTTTACTTTCACTCGTGTGATGAAGAAAGAGCATGTTGTTTGTTGTTATTGTCCAATTTAAAAGACAAATTAGTCTTAAAAAAGATGTCGCGATTTGCTTTCAAGATAAAGATATAGGAGTGAAGGAAAAATAAAAGATAAAGGAAATAAGGCAAAGAAATGTCATTTCATAACTACCATTGTTTTACAATAAAATTTGAAATTTATACAATTTTTATATTTATACATCTTGCATAATTTTGATATCGATATAAAATATATATAAAATATATAAAATATATATCGATATCAAAACCATGCAAGAAATGGCATAAAAATAAAAATCTATACATATAAATTTATAGCAATTCATTATATTTGTTAACTAAATGATATCGATACTTAATAATATTTGTAAAACATTAAAATAATATAAAGAGTAATATTCTACGCATTTGTAAACTTAGTACCATATATATTTGTAAATATACTATGAATATTAATTAACATCGCCGATGATCTTATCATAGATAGCTTTATTGAGAGCTATATTGTTTTAGTATGCATAGTTATGCAGTACATAACATAGAATATTTTTAAACATAAGATATTATCTCAGCTTTCATGTGTTGCGAACAATGCATCTGTCACTTTGTTGCTATCTTGATCAAAGCTAAATGTATTATTGAACAAAACACGCATTGAAACGAAGAATATTAGAGCCTCAGATATCATTCTTCGCATCTTGATACTAAGAAGGAAATAATGATAGTATATTATTAAAGAAGATAAGCATGTCAGTGAGATCTGATTTTGTCATTTATCAAGAGATCTAATTAGAATAGTAATACTACTTGGAAATGCCAATGTCGACGATTGATTATCGCGCTTCACGCATATGGTTTTGAATAAAAGAAATCGATTTAAAATTGCTCTTGCTTTCTCATCACTTGATTGCTACATCTTCGGCTTTTCCTGTCATTTGTCTTCCTTTTTCAAATTTGTTAATTTTCTCGTTTTTTCAATCTTTAACTTTCTACGCATTGCAATTTCCTCTTTTCTGTACATATATGAATTTTCTCATTACAACTTATTTCTTTACCTGTTAATCTATTTTAAATTACAACTAAGATTTAACTATTCATATTATTAAAAAATATTGATAACAATGAAAAAAAATGTAAAAAATATTAAGCAAATTGGAGCAATTTGTCATAATACGAGAAATAGAATATATAATACAGGATTTTCTAGATTATATAGGATTCAAAGAGCGCATTTGAGAAACCCTGACCGAACAAGTTTGAAATAAAATGATAAAAATGCACCAGTAGAATAAAACGAAAACCGGGTAAATATAGGTCACTTGCGGAAAGTGAGTTGACAACAGGTTTGAGAAGCAACTGCGACGAGAAAGCTCGACTCAGAATCACACAAGTTGCGCTTTTAAGGCTTATTTCATGACCCCTATGGGCTTAATGTATGCTCTTTGATCTTTGAATTATTTCACGAAGATTTTGTATAAATCTTTATTTCTTCAGAATAGTAATGCTATCTCACATTATTTTCCTTGGAAACTTGTTCTATTAAATATTTACATAACGTTGTTAAAACGCAACGTGAGCAATCTACAAATAAGAGCAATTCAAAAGAAAAAACATTACTTTAAATTTTACGTTTTTGGTTGTCATTGCACTTAAAATTACTTAATATATATCTTAATGTATTTATGTCATTAAGGCAAAAATAAATATAATATGACTTGTAAGAAGGTTTTATAAATAGATATTTGTAAGTTTTCATTTGCAAATTAAATTCAATCATGTTTTAAGTTTTTCTTGAAATCTATATAAATTTAATTACTTATTTCCGATAAAAATATTCAATTTATCGTAATGGATTTATATAATGAAAAAAATATATACTTATTTTATTACTTTGATTTTAAAAATCTTAATCTCAAGGGCAATATAACTATTGAATTTAACAAGGAATAGAAGCAATCTGTATACTTGCAAGAAGTCAACAATATTAACAGCTTTTTAAATTTAATTTATTATGTTTAATTATGGATCTTATTATAGATTTCGATCTATAAATCACTAATATTAGCAATTCATTTTCGATGTATCTTTCCTTTAGTAAGAACGAGTTCAATGATTATGAAATCATCTAAGATCTACACTTGCAAACAACGATATATTATGCATGTTTAAGATTGCTTGGATTATCTGGCTGCTTTAACCGTGGCTAGAATTATCGAACGACTTTCGAGGTCAGAATCGAGTGACGTGGCGATGGTCCGTGTGCGACCACGAATGATGGTCACGACTACGAGTGAGAGTCTCTTTGTATAGATCAGCATTCTGGGCCGGAAGTGGCGGTAATCCATTTTCTCAACTTTCCATTCTATCGCGACTATATAGGATAAGCATCACAGTTGCGTGCGGTTAACGTTATACATGCATTATAAACAATCTTAAATCTAAGGCTTAGCTGGAGGGCCCTATGCAATTTTTTTACTTACACGTAACATATGGAACAAAAATATTATTTAAAATAGAAACTAAAAATATTTATATTAGTCATTATTTTTACTGGGGCAAGTATAAATAATCAAAGTATAAATAATGTAAAATAATAATTCAAATATTCGAATATTAATTAAATTATTTTCAATAACCTATCTAGAGTGTCCCCATTAAAGTTGACAAATTCAAAATTTTTCCAGTTGTGCGTTTTGCACTAAAATCAAACAATTATAAATTTCTAATTTAAAATAAAGGAAAAACCCGTTTTTTCTTCAAAGTAAAAAAATATTTATTTAACAAAATAAATATAACATATATATTTACATATGCGATAAATCTATGACAAAAATAGAAAACAAATTTTTCACGTCATACATATTCATCAAATCAACATTCACAGATGATTTACTCTCTCTTATTAAGTATAACATATATATTAATCTAAGTTTAAAAATAAAAGAAAATAGGAAAAATACACTGCCTAGAAAATCAACAAGAATCTCTCTCTATTTTATAAATAATATTCAAACATATTCGTATGGCTAATGATGAAATTTCTTTCATACATGACCGACAATTAAAAAATAACCTGTTTGTTATTTTTGCAACAAAATTTCAATTTCAATGAAACAACTGCATTCATTATCGTTTCAAAATAGACATTTTTCTTGAAAACATTTAAAATATGCATGTATGTATGTATGTACATACGTAATAACAGAAGATGCAAAAGTACACTTGGCACGAGTTATACATTGAACAATCATTATAGTAACTCTCCAATAACAAAACGTACATACTTTTACGTACATACTCATACGTACTTACTAATTGTAAGCGTCGCAAAATAACTGGGTAAATCCTTTATTTTCTAAAGTTTATAGCACTCACAAATAATATAGTTTTCGAATTTGTGTATATAATATAATGCGTACTGCATTTCAATGCAGAATTATTTGTGGATTGTGGAGAAATTATAATACTTATAATGCCACTATAGAACATGAAATTCCTCATAACTAATAGATAATTTTTCATACATGTATATGTGTATGAGAGTCTGGAAAAAAATTCAGTTTCTATTGTAATTTTTTGAGATAATTAAAATCTACTAATTTAAAACATCATAATTAGAAAAAATTTATGTAAATAAATCAATTGCGCAATAAAAATAATTAGTTTGAATTAAATATACACTATTGTTCATAAGACAATTAAAAAACAGAGATAATACATCTTGTGCGTTTTACTTATACTTAACAAATTTGTAATAAAAATGCAATAACGACTATTCTATTAATAAAAATAGATAAATCAAATTTCTTATTAAAGTAGATTTGCACAATCTTTTAGTCAATTTGAACTCTTGAAAAGAAGAAAATGAAATCGTTTATGTAAGAAAAGTTAATAGGCAATGTGGTACAGCATTATTAGCATATCAGAATCACGCGACTACGATAATAATTCTCCTTACAGTACTTTCTTCTTTTTAATCTCTCCTTCTCTCTTTTCCGCGCGAGTAAACAGTCAGTCTCGTTACCATAGACTTACGATCCAGTTCGCGAAGAATAAGGACGTCTTACTTCCATATTTATGTTGGTTTCGCCGGTGTGTACGAAGGCGCGTAATTCCATGGATAATTCGACAAGGTAGGCTTCTGCAGTTGATATGCAACATTGGGATAATAATATACTGGATATATTGTTTTGATAGGTTTATAAAGAAAAGGGTTGATTAATGCAGTTTGCGTGCCGTATGTATGTTGGATACTAGATGTTATAGCGGGGGTGACTTGCGCTGGATATATTGGATTTGTAGGCAGCAAAGAAGTGACTGGATGTACCGGCGTCGCGAGAGGATGTAATGGAGCAACAGGTCGTATTGGTTGAACTGGCAAAGTTACCGGCGTAAAAGCAGCTCCTGGTTGATTAGCAGAAGAGGTGGATGAAGGCGTTGCCGTTGACGGGATTGATGGCGTCAATTCTGTCGGCTTTTGAGACGGTTCCGTAGGAATCGGTATCCCAAAGTGAGTGGGTGATGTCTCGGAGGATTGGATAGGTTTGATAGATGTAAAGATGCCTGTACCGTAACTAGGAACTAAGTTGGTGCCCGTGATGATGGTTGGTACGAACCCGCCGTAAACTGGAATTCCTACAGGAGATCCAGCCGCGGCTGATCCAGATTGCGGTGATACTTGAGTAGTACCGTCGCTTTTAGATGATTGCGGAGGTCGAGTGACCGATATTCCAGTTACCGTTGTCGTGGGAGTAATCGGCGTGGTAGTCGAGACCCCATAGTTAAAAGAAAATCCTTTCAAAGGATTGACCGTAGTGCCTGATAAAAAAGGCGACTGACTAAGAGCGGTATTTTCAGAGCTAAAAGCTACAGTTTGCGGCGTCGAAATCTGCGATTTCATTTGTTGACTTATAGATTCTAGAAGCTCCTGATTCTGAATGAAACTCGCTTGATTCTGAGCGTACCTTCCTGCCGTGCTCGGAGTAGTCTGGGCTTGAGCGAGAGCTTGTTGCAGCTGAACAATTAACCGATCTTTCTCCAAAGACTGAATCTGCTGCAGAGTCTCTTGATTAAGCGTTCCCGATGCATACGGTGGCAACGCGCCCCGAAATTCCTGAGAGTTCTGCAAGGTACTCTCAAAGTCTCTAAATTGATTCAGATTCTGAATTTGATTGCTGATATCTTGAGATTGATTAGGCGCGAAATCCTCACTGTTCGCGGCTGCACCGTAAAGTTGTTGAATCGCTTGTGCGTTCTCAGACAGAAAGAGCGCAGCGTCGGAGATCTGATGATTCTGAGTCTGCATTAAATTTTCATTCCGCAAACTTGTGCCGTGAGAACTCTGTAGTGACTGCGGAACGAAATTATTTGTTGAAGAATAAGCTGGAACTTTTTGATTTTGCGGTGGTAAATAATTGGCCGTGTGCATGCCGAACGGCTCGTTATTTTGATTGGCGATCGGATTTACTTCCGTGAAATCGATGTTTCTGATCGGACTCGGTACTTCCTGCTCCGCTAATCCATCATGGAAACTAATCGATTGTTGTTGACCGACGTGATGTTGTAATTTGTCTCGATTCTGTTGAAAACGATATCCTTGTGTGATTGGACCGGAAGTCGAGTGGCTCGGTGGTCCATATTTCGTGAACGGTCTACTTAATTGACCGGGAAATTTAGATACGATTCGACCTCTAGATTGATGACCTTGAAAGCGCAATCGAGCATTTGAAGAAATATGATTCGATTTATTGTAGATGTATCCAGAATTTCTCTTCCGTTGGATGTCGGTTTGCTCAGAATTAGGCGTAACTTCGATCTCGCCAAGGTTCACCACTTCCAATTTTGTAACTTCTGGCTTTTGCACTTTGTCTTTCTGCTCGGCTTGAGTCAGCGAAAGCATCAATACAAGAATATAAATGACCTAAGAATATATATTTCTTATAAAATAAAAATAAATGCGTTATATGAATAAAAATAAAGATATAGGTGTGAAATAGAATAAAATTATTTTAATTAAGCCATAAAATATGAAAAATGAATTCATTAATTTATTATTTAGAAGAAATGCATATCTTTATTTTACATATAAAATTTTTTATTTTATTATTGTATTAATAAAATATTAAGGTGTATTAATGTATATAATGTATTATAAAGTATAACTGACACAACTTTCTGTAAAAGATTTATACATAGTTAGATAAAGAAATATGATAAAGAAACACAATAAGATTTTATATATAAATATTTAAAAAAACTCTAAATTCTAATAGAATATAATATAATATACAATATAATATATATATATATATAATACAATCTAATATAATATAATTTTACATAATTACAGAGAAATTTACGAATGGATAATAATTTGATCTAAGCATTAATGTTACATACTCACCAGAACGGGCCGCATTTTCGAACCCATATAATTCTTATCACACTTAACACTGCACACTAAGGCAATCCAATTATCTTTTTCAAAATTGCGTTACTTTGCATGAATGAGATCTTGACATTGAATTCTACTGTACAAAATTAATTTGTTCGAGGATGGACAAGTCCGTACTGACTAAAACTGCGGCCATACCTGCACATGTATAAATACAATCGGGTCGCGACCATCCACGAATTATAATAGACTTTCTTACTGGCTTTCATCGATCAGGCTTAAGCAATACTGTTACGAATTTGTGATGTTATACATATCGATGCAAAGTACATCATATAATCGGAGCGATCCCATGATTGAAACTTTGCTAGCGCTTACAAAGATCTATTATTCTTAATAATATATGTCGCTACAAAATACAATTAAAATTGCCAAGCGAAATCTATTTTGTATTACTAATATTAAATAAAATGCTATATAACATTGAAATTTCCCTAAAAATTGAAAATTGTAGAAATACAAAAATACTACATAATTGTAGAGCTATACTTATTAATTATTCAGAAAAAATGAAAATTAGATAATATACATATTGCAACAATCTTTTGTAGCATACATGTTATATTTGCCATTTATTGAAAATAGAAGAATGCATTGTATATCTTATAAAAAGCATTCAAATATAATTAAAAGTACATTCATTCGATGCATAAATTAATGACACTGTGCATGACTTATTACCACCGGAAAAAAAATATTTTTTTTCTTTTAAAAACCTTTATTGAATCTCTGCGCATCTTGTAAATAAAAATATAATGAAGCGCGAATAAAAGTATGTAAAAATAGCCTATTAAAAACGGGATATTTAAAACCATAAGACTTATTTTTAATAACATTTTAATTATTGCTATAAATGCAACTTTGCACTGAAAGGATCGTGATTCTTTTTCTCTCTCTTTTATCAAGATGAAGTTTACAAAATCTTTCCTTCGCTGTCGCAGCGAAATATAATACAAGAGTAAAAAGAAAAGAGCTCGAAACTTGCATATTATAATCATCTCCCTATCTTCTAATTGTCCTTAAATTATTCTCAATAGAAAAATGTGAGACGGTGAAGGAAAAGAATATCGTGAACTTCCGACGAGATCACATTATTGCGTGAAAACACAGCGAACTCGTTTATGGGATTCTTGTCACGGTTGTCCGGCTCTTCTCCGGGTCTTCCAGTGAAAGTCGCAAAGGTGAGTCTCCGGTCTCAGAGAATACGGAATAAGCGCTCATTTATAGGGATATATTCGTATTGTGTAACGTGCGATTATGCGTAAATCAAAATTTGCATCCGAACATCGCCTTTTTAACATATGTATTTGGTATACCTACAGTGTTATATGATTTGGTCGCGTAAAACAGAAATCGAAAATTGGATAACATCGGGCATGTCATTCGCTCATCGCTCACGTGTCCTTCTTCGATGGCGGAATTCGTAAATAGACGCATGTGGAAGTGAGGACGCGACTTAATTATATATTAAAATGCATGAAATAATGTTGTAACGACGCTATAAAAGAATAATATTTCACGTTTTGAACGATCTTTCGACATCGATCAAATATATTTTGGTTTATGAATGATCTTTAAATGCATTTTTAAATTTGTTAAAGATAATAATGGGCACATTTTAAATGCAAATTATTAAAAATAAATTAATAAAAATAAATTATTATTATTTTTATTATACTAATTAATAATATATGTTTAAATTTAATGTTTTATGTTTTAAATAGAATAATTAACAAATTTCGAAGAGTAGTAAATAATAAGTACATATACATATAAAATATAAGAAATATTTTTACAATAAATAATGGAAAGCATGCATTGTTTGACATTTGTTAAAACTGACTACTTTGTTTTCTCTATATTACGCAGATTTGCTCAAAGAACCTGTATTGCTTGCATTTGTGATTTCCTACTGCTCTTGTGCCAGATATGAAATTCATAGGTATGTCACATTAGTGAAACTAATGTCAATGTCCACGGCTGGTGGTGAAGCACGACGACATTAATGCAACCCTATTTACGTGCACACGCATTTACGAGCGTCAATTCAGCAACTTAATAATGTCAATCGCTTTCGCTCAACGTCTTCCTGCATAAATGTCTGAAAATCTGCACTGCAATTCGAGATAATACATTATACATCCGTTAAACGTGAAAAAGCGAGAAACGTATGTGCGATAAACTCGCCGAATTTGACTGTGAAAATGATATTTGTATATCGGATATATGCACGACCTGCGGTTACATTTCAACTCGAATTAATATATTTTTGTTATTAAAATCGTTGAAATTTGTAATACTTTCAATAATATTTTTGATAGTTTAAGAACAGTATTCCAAATAAACTAATATTTTGTTAAGATTAATATTAAGATTAAGATTGAGATTAATATTATAATAAATTACTTTTGCAAGTTATAATAATTTGCAATATAATAGTTTATAATTATCAAATATCTCAAAAATATATATCATTTTGAATGATATATAGTCTTAATAAATTAGTCATTTATTCTGTTATAAACAATATAATAATTAACATAATTGCCAAGTATTATAGTATATAATTTTGGGCTTTAAAGTTTGCAGGAAGGAAAATTACAGAAGGGATAGAATTTTTTCGTACAGTTCATTGAAAAAAATTCACACATTTCTTACATACTTAATATTATTTTATTATTAGAATGAATACAATGATAAGATTGCTGGTAGCCAAAGAACTTAAATTCACATGTTCATGGTTACCGAGAATTTGAGGGACAATTAAAGATTGAGCGAATATACATAATTGGAGCAAAATTTTCCAAGATTTCCATGATCTGTCCTCTTGATCTTGCATCATCGCGTCTCAAACTACATAATAGGGAGAACTGTAGTAAGGATAACTGTAGTAGGAATAGGGGTACGGGGAGTACGCGTACGGCAAACTGTAGCTGCTGTATGAATATGGTGCTGCGTATGAGAGTGGTGCATATGCGCCTAATACGAGGCCTCTCTTGTCTCTTGCGGCATCGACCTGCGTTTCTTTCTCTACGGATGCAACCTTCTTTATCTCAGGTACCTGTTCCACCGCCATAACGATGGCAAACAGAGCCAAAAGAAGAACAGCCTAAAAAATAAATTTTAATCAATCCATAGCTAATGGTTTTATCGAATTCATATCATATATATATTTTATAATGTGTGCCAGATGATTGATATAAAAAGCTATTTTCCAACTAATATATTATGATATAAAAACATCATATAATTTTTGTAGAACGCATGAAACAGAGACAGGATCTTATGATTAATTGACAATCACTATAAATGCCTTTATGAACAAAGTAAATGTGTAAGTATATTTAATATGTAAATATATATATTCAAGTTACATAAATATAAAATATAAAATTACGGAGAGATACAATTCGCAATTTTAAAAATCTGGAAATATTTAAAAAGCTTTTAAACATGAACAATTTATACAACATCACATATGTAAAAATTAAGATAATAAAATAATAAAATAATAAATAATAAAATGTAAGATGCAAATATCAAAATAGATGTTGCAGGGACCCATTTTGAAAAAAATTGTAAAAGAAAGTAAATCATCAATAATTAATTACTATTAATAATATGAGAAAATATTAAAATATCGTATAAACACAAATACCAAGACTTAATTTTAAAAAACTCAGAATGTGTAGTTGATCAAATTGATAGATTTACAGATATCCGCGCGATGATTAAACTAACACGGCATAGAACGATCAGTTAGTGAATTATCAGTGAAAATCTATCAGAATGCAACCTATCAGAATGCATGGGCACGATATATAAACCACACCAACATATACGAAATCATAAATTCACGAATATTTTATCAAAATCTTAACTTGCTTAACTCTTTACTTTAGCTATATCAGCGAATGCATACAAAATATCAGAAAAGATCTATTGGAATACTTACAACAAAGCACTTCATAGTTGATTGGATTCCTTTGAATCGTATGAGAGATCAGCTGCTGATGAACTGTAACTGAGTGATGCCTCTGCTTTTCGGCAGATTGCTTATATACCCGACGATCCATGCGTTCTATCTATACGCGTCCTAGCCCGATTGATCAATGCATGATGACGCACGCGTGTGTGTGTTGCATGTTGCGCGTATCTGCGAGCCGTTGCATGAGGGTTGTTATACGACGCATATTGTACACGCCTTTTTTTCTCATACGTAATCTGTGGGCGTATATTATCGTCGTCTTCGTCATCGTCATATAGACATCGTAGAGGTTCGCCAAGACATCCCGTATTCCGCGATGTACTCATGCACCTTCGATGGATGGAGCTTGGGTGAGGCAAGGGACCTTGGCAATCTGCCAAACACGGAGGAAAGTGTTTTATAATGCCAGCATAATTATTACTGCATGTATTACGTATCTGTCTGTAAAGTACACTCGGTGAACTTCGATGCGCAAATTAATTGCAGTCAAGGTACGAAATAAAAATAAACAAATTGTAAAGTGTAAAAAGTATATCGACCATGTAAAAAGTACAACTTGTACTAGAAACTGTATTTTGTGTGTTTTATTTTACAAAAGTATATTTATGCCTTTTTTATTCTAATATGTTTATAGGTATAAAAATATACAAGCGCATATAGCGAATATGTTTATAAGTATAAAAATATACAAGCGCTTTTTTATTCTAATATGTTTATAGGTATAAAAATATGCAAGCGCATTTAAAAATTAGAAAATATTAAATAATTGTTATGTCCCTAGATTACAATATATATATATATATATATATATATATATATATATATATATACACACATACAGAAAAAATTTTAAAAAGCTGAGAACTTGGCTTTTTATTTAAAAAATCATGTAATACAATAAATAAATATTAAAGATTTCTTTGAACACATATTTATATCAACAATTAATTCGAATTTAAATTGAATTTTATAAAAAAACTTCTCGTAAATTATTATTATAAATGTATTACAACTAGCAAAATATTAAAAATTATATAGTAAAAATATTATTAGAAATCAAATATATGTATAATTGCTTTTATTAATAATAGCTGTATGTAATTATTTGTTCGAATATTGATAATTACCGTATCAATACGAAAAGCAAAAAAAATAAAATTATTATATACATAGTATCTAACAGAGAGAAACCTAATAAGTGTGTTACAAATATGATTGTGTTATTATACCAGTTTTGTGGGTGAATCATCTAGATTATAGTGGCATGAAAACAAATAATTTTGTAAAAGAAATTAAAATAGACTATACAACAAATCTCGGTCAAATAAAATTAATTTATGATGTCTGGTTCACTTTACCTCATTCGATCTTTTCAGATGGATAAATATTTGTGGAATGCGCTATTAAACCGTTCTCTAATTATCGTGGTTTCTTAATTATCTTCGGTGAAATAAAATATACTAAAAATTTGGAATTTAAAGTGTTTTTCATCGTAGTCATTTCAGGAATAATTTATAGAACTTCTTTAGTGTTACTAAAGAATGCGACTTTATTAAACGCAACAAATTATTAACTCCTGAACTCTTAATACAGTTATCTATGCTGCATTATGTCTACTTTGCTACATTTATATACTACGGAATCGTAAATTGCGAATTTCATTTTGTCGTTGTTTGAATTTGCATTTGTAAAAGCTAATTAAATATTCAGTTCACATCCATAAATTTAATTAATCATAACGTACGAATTTGTCTCATGTCTCATGTTTAAAATCGGCAATACCGAACACATGCGTTTTGCTTTGATTTTCATTTACAAACATTTATGCTAATTAATTAGTAATCTAAAATAGAAACTCTATAAACATAACTTTGAATAAAGTTACTATGTTAAGAAATTATAATATTATCTTATATTTTACACTTAACGACTTATACAAATTTTTATATAAATTTATTTATTAAAAAGATATTCGCATTTGCATTAACATTATTTAAACCCTTAGAATTAAAATTCTTAATACAATTAAAGAATACATTATATTGTATTGAGTTTACAGTTATTTATTTATAATTATTTATTTGTATTGGATTTACAATTATTTACAGAATCCAGTAAATTCTATTGTATAAACTTCTATTAGTCAATAAGAAGTTTTATATCTATATTTCAGATTCATCTCAATAAATCATAACAAAGTAATGTCACAATTAATTTTGAATTCTGAATGGCTTAAATGTGTCTATCTGACAGAAAAGATCAAGGATATTTATTCACTTGAAAATAAAGTTTTATTCTCGATATTTATATAAATCCGGATTCATGATGGCGCCATAAAATTGCGTTTATAAACTAGAGTGGCCAGTCCCATGACCTCAATTTTAAAGCCAAAGTATTTTTTTTTCGACGTCGATTGCACTAAATTTTATTAAAATTATAATTTATACGCTAGTAAGACGACATGTTTGCATAAAATAGCGATTAATACTAGGCTCACGCTCATCATCTTCGGCGCCGCATTTTAAATTCCTATAAACAGGAAAAAGATCTTGTGAAGAACTTGTGTTCACGGTTTAGATCGTAAAAATTCACATATTTCTCTCTAAATTCTTTTAAATGCATTTTTATTTTTATATTTTTGCATAGTTCTTTACGTCTATTATTGTCACTGATTTACAAAACAAAATGTTTATATGACATAAAAGGATATCTAAAATGCCATTATATATGATTCGCAAAATTTAGATTATTATTTTGTAAAGTAAAATATATAACCAATCTTTAATATTTTTTAGATTATAATTCAATTTATATTTTATGTAAAAGAAACTTTAAAAATATACAGCTGTATGTATAAAAAATTTAAAAATATAATAAAATTAATAAATGATCTCTCTCTCTCTCTCTTATTTTTACAATAATAAAATAGTAAAATAAATAAAATAAACTAAAACGACACTGAATTTCTAACGTAAATAATTGTGTGCATCTTTTAAATGTAATATTGAAAAAATAGGAGAAACAAATGTACTGAATCATCTGTATTTATTTTATTAATACATGAATTATTATAATAGCACTGAAATCTGGCGTATAACTCTTTAATTAATTTTACTTATTTTATTGTACAGCTTTATGTTAAAAAATATATAATCGATATAAATAAATTAATAAAAATATAATTTTAATTCAATGCTATTAATTGAACTAAATTTTTTTTTTTTACTAGTAATTATAAAGTAAATTTATTAATTATAGTATATGTATGTTAAATAAAATAATTTCAAAAGTAAAATCATAATATCCTGCAAAATTGCGGACAATTTATTCAAGTGAAATTAATTGGAACACTATCAATTTAATTAAAGTATCAATTTAAGTAATAAACGTTACAATGTTCCCAAAAGTGTTTCAATGATTACACTTTCAAATCAATTTTTAATACATAATATTTTATTTTAACATTAGCAATAACTGTAATAACTGTTTTTATTATTATTCATTTGCAATCTTAATGTTTGTATTAAATCTTAAATGATATGCTCAAATGGGCAATAAATTGTGACACGATGAAATAAGTCCATCCATATTTATCATAACTTATCATTCATAAGATGCTTCTTCATTTAATTATTTCGTAAGAAATTTTAATAAGCATTTTTCACAATCGTATACAAATTGCATTAATATTTTAACATAAATTTTCAGGTCTTCAATCTTTTATGTTAAAATATTAACGCAATTTGTATACGATTGTGAAAAATGCTATTAAAATTTCTTATATATATATAATAAATATAAGATTAAGTAAAATATAATTTATAAAACAGAAATTCTAAATTTCTCTTCTTTTTGAAAAAAGCAAAGATTGTTTAAATTATAATATTATTTTATATAAAAAAAGAACGTAATGTATATAATTCTCTTGTTAAAATAGAAAAACAAAGAATTCCAATTCCAAGCCATTTCAAGATTTGCTAAAATTCTTTTCACACTACATTCGACTATATTTCTAGAAGGATTAGAAAGATCGAATCCTTTATGTGAATTACAAATCGCTGTTTATATGCTGGAAATAGAAAGGCATGGAAAGGAAGTCGGAAGTGTTACATCCATTCCCCGATTTCAAAGATTATGAATTCAGTTTCACAAAATAGATCCCTTTTACTTCGACAGTTTTTGTATAGTTTTGGAACATTACTTGTATCTATTAGATATACTTTTTTTTTAATTTAAAAATAATATCATAATTATATAAACAAAAAATTAAATATGAAAAAAATTTGACACAATGCATCAATCATTATGTTACATAGAAATATGTTACATAGAGCTGTGCACTTGAATGTGTGTGTATAAAATTGTTGCAATTTCGATTTAGATTATTGTTGTCCGCATCTCCAATTCAAAAACTAATAGGTTACAATATGATTTAATATTTCAACACATATTTCAACACGCTTTCTGAATCCATTTTATTAACGGATTATTAATGTCATGATACTTATAAGTAAATGGTAATATAATATGCTAATTATGGTAATTAATTTAAATATGTCAGATACAATAAATACAATTAATTGCATTTAATAAGGTTTATGTATTGCCAATAGAGAATCAAAATTAAACGAGATTAAATAGATTAATGAGAATCAAATATATATGTGTGTGTGTGTATAAACATAAATATAAAATAAATATAAAATTACATTAATTTATGTACTATTAAACATGTGAATTTTAACTGTATTTTCATAACTCATTAATTGATGCGATCATTTCTGCAACATATCCATGCACATGTGCGTAATTCTTAATAATTAATTGTTTTTTTTAATTTGGAAAAAATATTTTACACGCAAATATAATATGCTGCTAGTTCAAAATAAAAAACGAATTTCTTTTTAAAAATATTATTGTTTCAATATATTATTTAAATTATTTGAATAGTTTTAAAAAAGTCCTTATTTTTAATTTTAAAACAAATTATTTTTATAAATATGATAAATTTACAAAATTTACGCAGATTGGACTTCAAAAAATAACATATAATGTAGGTGTGCGTGTGTTACACAAATTTCTTTTTTCTGTATATTATAAAAATAATATTATAATAATATAAATATTCGATAATACTAAATTTAAATCTAATTAATAATATTTACTTAAATTTATGTGTATAAATACAATAAAATAACATAAAATTTTCTGCGCGATATTGTGCATTTTAATATGTACAGAAAAAATTAATATAATAGATGTTAATAAATTAAACAGTTTTTTATCGCTTGTTAGCTACTAAGGCATATGTAACTTTCATGCAAGTTTTACAATAAATTAATTTTTATTATTTTTAAATTATATTTACTTTACCTACACTCATAAAATTGAAATTTATTTACTCTAACTCTGTACTGCCAGAATTAATTAAATTATATACTACTGCTAGGGAGAACATATGTGCTTTGTAATATTTTCACAAAAAGAAAGACTACCGTAATTAAATATAGAATTTCTTTAGTGATAAAAATTCAATAATAAATACGTGGTTTTGACATACTACTAAAAAAAATGTTAAATCTTATATAAAACATTTTATTATTTTATCATGATATATAGATATCATGATTATCACATTAATAAATACGATTGCTTTATATATTTTTTGAATGCAATTTAAATACAAGTGATTATTTAAAAAAATGTATGCAACGACACAATTCACGAGTTTAAATTTAATCATCAAAGATTTTAATTTTAATTTATAAACAAAATTCGAAATTTTTAAATATTCACATATAATTGTGTTATAAATGATGAGAAAGAGGGAAATAGGGACAGTATGAAGATTGAAGAATCAAAACGAATGAAGATAATATATAACAATATTATTTTTCTATTTTATCCGTAAGATTGAAATAACAAAACATTTCAATATATTTTTTAATTAATAAAAGATTTTAGTACAGCTGCAACATCCATGTATGAAAGATAGTTAGAATGAAAGCAGAAATGCTTTCGATTTATTCAACTTGCATTGTACAAAATTGATTTTCTTGCAGCTTTGCAGCTTCTCCTCGATTTTCTTCCTTTTCTGTTCGCGAGTCATCATTTATCCCGTTGGTATTTTTACGCGACGCTTTAGCAATGTTAGGAACGCAGGAAACTTGATATCTGCCAACAATATAGTAGTTTGCGATTTATATTTGTGTTATGAGAAATAGTTAAATATAAATATGAATTGATAACGAGTTAAACATCAGATAAAATTAATAAGAATCAGGGGATTCATACGAAAGATGGTGTTGTGAATCATCATTTAATATTTTATATAAATAATGCTAATATTGTGCAATATTAACATTACACTCACCATGTGTATAATAAAGCGTACATATATATAAATAATTTCTATATCTCTATATTTATATTCCAACATAAACCTATAAACAATAAAAAAATTTATAATTTTATAATGCTGTAAAGTCTATAAAAATATATTAATTTATAATAAAACTGTCAGATAGAGCTAATATAGTAATCACGATTCATGCAAAAGATGGTTAAATCATCATGAAATGTTTATATATATATATATAAAAAATTAAAAAAGTACAAATATTAAACTTACCATATCATTTTTTGTTGATATGAACTGTTTATATGGAATCTACGATCACAGAGTTTTTCCTATAATATGTATATAATGATATTTATTTTCTGTAATAATTTTTCATTATTTTAAGAATATATTAATTGCTATTTTTCTCAGTGGTAGCGACGAAATATATAATTTTATCATGATTTGTCAATATAATGAATATATATACATCATTAAAACATATTAAATAAAAAAATTATAAAATATATATTATCTAAAACATATTTTACAAACTTACAGTATTCGATATGGCTTCAATTTGCTTCAATTCGAAATATCTAAAATATAAAATATTGCTTTTAAATTATTTAAAAAATTAATAAATTCAAAATATAATATATAAATAAAGAAATATCAGTTAGGGACGAAAGACTATATTAAGTTGTCATCAGAGTTGTATCAGTTGAACTATGATAGTCATCATTATGTAATACAAAATAAATTAATACATATATATAATAAAAATTTAAATGTACCTTTATATTAAATGTTGTTTAGAGTATTTGACATGACTTAACTTGATGTTTGAAAGGTCTCTAAAACATAAAACAATATTGTCTTTAAATTATTTGAAGCACCAATAGATTCAAAATATAATATATGCATTTTAGAAATGTCAGATAGGGACGAAAGACTATAACATTAAATTGTCGTCAGAGTTGTATCAGTTGAACTATGCTAGTCATCATTGTGTATTATATAAAATAAATTAATACTTAAATTAGAAATTTTCAAGTACGTACATTTACACTAAAAGTTGATTATGTTACATCGATTTTCTTTTATATAAATCACAATTCATACATGTTGGCAATTCAGATTTTTGGCAAATAATATTATAAAAAATTTAATAGCATTTTTATTAGAGTTCCATAAGCTTTTGATCAATATGTATAAAATGTCATCTCCATTTCAACATTCTTATACAGTTTGCCATAAATGTTATTGAATTATTGTATTATCTGCAAAAAAAATAAAAAATTATGTTAAAATAAATTTCGGTAAAAAATAATACATAATTTTATTAATAGAAGAATCAGTATTGCAGGAATTTCGATCATTGAATCTGATAATTCATTAATCATCATTTAAATATCAATAAATTATAAATATGTTACTTTACAATATGATAAAATTTTACATTTCAAAATATATTCATAAAAATTTTATAGCGTTAGAATTGCTAAAATTTTTAAATAAAATAGAATTACCATTTATTCTTATATTCAAGATTTCTTGAATTTTGCCTGCACAAAAATTCTTGGAACATCAATGTTTTCCTTCAAATTCACTGTACGTCTCTGTACATAATCACAACTTAGTATTTGAAAACCAACAGATACAAATAAATCTGCTACTTTTTCTGTAGAGAAATAATAACTCCTGAAATCCAAAGGACGTACTATCATTAATATCTATTAATTTTTTAAAATAGAAATCTATACATTATCTAACAAAATCAAATTTCAAAAATTTAATTTTACTTTATGAATAGAAAATTTTACCTTGTTCCATCTTGCCGCATATAGAGATTCTCACTGATTTTATGTCCAGGTTTAAAACGTAATTGTGCCATATCGTATAACCCATAATCTCGGAAAAGTAATATTCCTCCAGTATCAAGAGCATTGTATATATTTTGTGCAACTCTAATAAAAGCAAAAAATGCAAGCAATTAATAACTACATGTTTAACAACATTAGATTTTTACAATAATTTTATTATTAATGTATTTATCGTACTTATGAAATTTATCAGGATGAATAGCTGATAATACAAAGATGAGAGTTGTAATATTAACTGGACAATTAATTTCAGAAAAACAGTTCTCTAATGTAACATCTGTTTGAAAAGCTTTCATTGTATCTAGGTCATATAATGCGTGACTCTATAATGAAATATTAACGCACATTAATTTAATGGAATAACATTAGCTCTAATTTTCAACTATGGCTTATTCAATGTACCTTAAATAATTCGATTGCTCTTGTAGATAAATCACATGCGAATATTTTTCGAAATTTCAATCCATCTTCTACTAACGGATAAACGAAATTCCCGACTCCACAGCCCACTTCGAGGAAGACATTTTGATTCTCTTTGCTAGCTAAATCCACCAACTCGTCAAACTCTCGCGTCGTCCAGTGTCTATCTTTGAAGAATCTAGTATCGTTACGCTTGTAAAATAAATCCCAATGCTTCTTCGCATCCCTCTCGAGTTGATTCGCACGAAATTCGGATACTAAACGGGAATCTTGTGCTTTCATCCTATCGATTTCTTCCGATGTGAGACGCTTGGCCACGTGTTCCACGCTCGATGTACCATTTTCGATTAATTCGCTCATTTTTCTCCCGAATATATACTATCGAAGCGACTAAAACAACAAAAGGAAAAATTTATCGCGCCATTCGTCGATACATTCATGCTCTTATTAAAGTTCATTGAGTTTTGTAAATCCGATTCATAAAAAAGAAGATGCTTACTTGTTACTAATTCATGCTTCCTCGTCGAGATGTCCACAGGAAATGAATGAGCGTAACGCATAGCGCGCAAGACGACCTTGTCATGAATGTGCAACGCCGAGTACGATGTTGCCACGTATAGTTACGATGGACCACGTGACTGAAACATGCACGTGACTTAATAGGCGCGAAATTCGAATAGAATATTTCGAGAAGAGCATGATTTTTTTGAAGAGAATAGCATTTAATGACATATACAAGACAGCAGCACTTTATTTCTCAATTGTTTGTAATTTGAAGACTTGTGATACTGAATAAATTATTAATCCGCGTAATAAATTAAAAGACTTTTTAAAAATTTGTCTTTTTTCTTGAAATTTCTGGGTAATATAAATATCTCTTCCTCATACAATATTCACTTTTCGATTATTTTATTATAATTCTTTTATGCAAAATTATCTGGAATGACAAAGAAAATTATTTGTAAAAATCGCACAATTTTATTTGAAAAAATGAAGTTGTCTTTCTGTCTTTTTAAAAAAAAATATCCTATTTATTCTCTAAAAGAATACCAACTAAATTCAAAGAGAACATATTATTTTGTTATCTTTAATAGTTTCCGAAAAAACAGCACATGTAGAATTTTATGGATATTATATATTTGTTTGATTTGTCGTGTCTATTTTACTTTGAAATTAAAATACAAAAAAAGTTTATCATTTTAAATATATAACTGAATTTTCAATAAATCTGTAATATATCATATGTCATCTGTAATGTATCATATGCAAAATCTTCTATATATTTTAAATTATTAATGTAAATCTTTTAACAGTGGCTTAAGAAAGGTTAATATTAAATTTATTCGATTAAATTCCTTCACGTATTGCTTATCCAAAAATTAACTAGACTTCTCTTTACGCATGTCGATATTCGGCATGCTAACACGTTTCTTCGATTAACATGCAGAACTCGTAGGGGACAAGTATTTTATGCCACCGTATAGCATTAGCAGACAATAGTATACTATTAAAGGAGGGTGAGCGTGACTAAATTTAAGATTACACATTGTTCAGTGTAACGTTGTAAAAAAATGAAACGAAAAAAAAACAGTTTTGATAATTATTATATATATCCTTATATATATATGTTGATGTAAACTCCGTTGCACATACAAGCTCGCATAAATAATACCTCGCTTTATCTCTCATCTTTATTTCATCATCATACATGTTTCACATATTATTCAACACATTTTATGATTTATGAAGAATCTATAATCTGTAAATCAAGCATGGTTGAAAGAAAATGAATCGATCGAGTAGTATGTAGGTCATTGCAGACCACAATTTTGTCGAGAGCTTCGCGAGAGGTAACAAACATAGATTACCTGAATGGAATGAGAAACACGTTTCGCAATTCACAGTCATTAATGCCTTGTCGTAGAATAACGTCATTTTGCTGTTTTCAACGCCACCATCCTTCATAGCCGCTTTATAACCGCATTTGCTCTGAACATAAAAAAATGTCACAATTAAAATCGCGCTTCCATACATAGTAAATCGTGACGTAAAATAATCAAGTTGGTCATATAATTTATCATAATGTACTAAAAAAGAAATCTTGATTTTCGGCTCTTTATATCAAGTTTTTAATATACGCGTATGCTTTTACCAATTATAATAAATAATTTAAAATATAATAAATTACTTTAGAGAGAGTTTAGGTATAATCATAATATTAATATTAATTAATTAAAAGTTACACAAACAATCAAATAAAATATTAATTTAAATTTCAATCAAAATTTTACACGCTAATAATCAAAGTAATATTGTTTCATTAAAAAGCCAATATAAAAATATGAAAAAATAATATTAAATGGAGAAAATTTTTGAATATTAATATTATATATCCATAAATGATTATAGCAATGATTATAGCAATATTGGAGTTTTATATGAAATGTGTGATGAGCGGGAGATCAAATTACATGAATAATTCGTATCCAGAAGCCGCTGAGAGCGAGTAATACCGTAAATATCGGAATTACGATGCACTCGCTAACATACATGATTTTATTTCGATGTTATTACTCGAAAATTTATCTCTCTAATTAGTGGATCGTCATAGCTAAAGCGTGCTTCTCGCTCATCGGCTTTCATCCGGAACACTGCGAGCGGTTTATGATTATGTACAGAGGCGTGGTGTGCATAATCGTAAAAACAATCCTCATTCCAGGGAGAGCTCTCACGAGATTGAGCGGCCCTCACGAGAGTGATCAAGAGATTATGCGAATTTCTCTTGCCACTGATACCCGTTATTACGTTTTAGCAACGATTTACGCCATTTCAAATCCCACTAATATTTCCATTAACGGCCAATGTAAAGCCTTTTCGAAATTTTTCAGCGGAGAGAATTACAAAGATTAGCTGTGGCCGTTATCCGCGAAATGGTCAGTTACCTTTCCGCATACAACTAAAAGCTGCGATGAAAAAATTTCCTTCATGGGAAATGAAAAAAGTATATGCCAATGTAAATATTAGTCGGTGAGAAATTCTTTGACAGTGTAGAAATTGTGCTTTCTGTAAATTTAATCCACTCTTTATAATTTGTAATTTAATTTGATAATTTATAACTTAAAATGATAATATTATATTATCTGTGCTTTTCTAAGAGAGAAACATTACAGAATTAAATAAATATATATCATTAACATATTAATATTTATGTAATAATATACAATAATATTCAAGACGATAACATTTGCGAATTACGTATTATGTCATGGATTACATGTCAACATATTTAATGACTGCTTATTCTTTAGGAGAAGAATCTCTGCAATTGTTTACGGAGCAGTTGCGTGGATATTTCCCACGATTTATGAAACTGTGTTACACATAGTCTATGAAATGATGATTATTTCTCATAGTGAGACATGCTATAAATACATTACATCGTATGCTGTATTACTATTCTCATAGTGACAAAGATTATATCTCTGACGTAATAAATTCTATCGATTTGTAGATGTCGATCAATGTAAATAATTTGTACATTCTTTGCATTTATAAATATGATATAATATAATTTGTTTCTTTTCTATAAAAAATGTAATAAATAAACAATATTTTAATTATTTGCAAATTTTATACAAATAAGCCAAGAAAACATTACATATTTTGAAGTTAAATATCTTTCCTTCCATATCCACTTACAATTTACCGTGAAATTCACATTAATAAATGCACGACATCCAGATTAAAATTTCTTAACATGCATTGACCGAGAGAGGAAAAGAGAAAGAGGGAGAAAGCAAAATTGAATAAAAAGTTAAAATTTACAATTTCTAATGTAGATGAATATCAGCAATTAATAATCAGCAATAATTATTAAAATATAAATATATGCAAATATATGCAAATCTAAATGCAACCGTTGAACAAGTAATGACCGATATAAATTTCTTCACCGTTATGTCAAAAAGCGCAAATAATAAGTAGTACGTGATGATTAACGATCAACGCAGACTCATCTAAAAATACGCCGTATCGAAGAAAATATTTCAGACGTGTGACTTCACTCTTTCAAGTACTGTCGCTTACTTTACATAACTTTCCAATGCGCAGTTAGAAAATCACGAATGCCAGACAATTGAATAATTTCCTTATTTTGTGTGTGTATTGCAGATTTTTAATTTTTATTATGCAATATTTATATTTTATAAAATATAAAATAAATATGAAATAAATATTCCTTTAATAAATACATATCTTCCTTTCAAAATATTATTAATGAAAAAATTATAAAACTAGATACGTTATATTACATAAATAATTTTAATGATATAATCTGTTCCTAAGAAAAAAACCTAAATATTTTATTATATATTTCTATAAATCATTTTGCGAAAATAATACAAACTTACTCAAAGAAAAAAGAATAAATTGTAATATATTATAATATATTAATTGTGATATATTAAAGAAAGACTGAAATTTTATCATCTTATATAACGCATCCAATTAATGTACAACAATTTTTAAACATACTTACAATTTAATGAAAAATATATACCTTGAATTAATAATTTTCCTTGTGAAACTTGAATAATATTATAGCGTGCTGCTTTCATTAATTTTCTAAATGGTACGTAATAATTTTGAAATAACATCTTAATAAATATTGTTTTATTAAATATTGTTTTATTTAAATATTGTTTTACATTCAGCTTTTATCTAAAAAAATATTAGCTTCGACTCTGTATAATCAATTCAATTTATTATTAAAACGTTCGTCACTACGTAATAACATCTTCTTGTTTAATAATTTGACAAAATTAAATATAAAAATAAGAAAGTTTATATAAAATTAAATTATTTTTAATTCAAATATCTTATCTAAAACGTAAATATGATAAATTATTGACTAATTTCATTTTTATAAATGGCTTATTCCTTAATCTACAAACAAATAATATTATTCAAATAATAACATACCATTTTATTGATTTGTTTAGAGAGAGAGAAAGAGAAAGATGGAGGGAGAGAGAAAAAGAATAAAATATTTTTGGGTAAAATTAAAATAAATATTAACTGTTATCTTTTAATTCAGCTAGATAGATTGAAAGCGGAAAAGGGAATAAGCTCTATAAAAACATATATATTCAAATAATTATTCAGTTATTAAATTCTCTAAGATATAATTAAAAATAAATATAAATATAAATATATCATCAGATAATCCACACTTCTCTGCGAGCTTGATCAAAGATCTGTTATAGCTTCCGATAAAATTCTACTTATTAGATTTTAAAACTGCTCCTATGTTACATTTTATCGATTTCTTTTTTAAAATGGACTGCGCGTCTTTATAAAATCCTATGATGGTCCAATTTGGAATATCATCTTTTTCTTCATGGCAATCGATGCATCTCAATTATTACGATGCGATGCATGTGAGAGGCACGCACGTGACCGTAGGCGCGGCGGAGGTACGAGAAGATGCCTCCTTCGCCGTGCCTTTTCCATTCCGTCGAGGTAGGCACGGCCCGAGTATCGCGTATATACCGTTCCTTCTCATGGGCATTCCAAGCGGGAATTCTCGAAAGCCAGTCGTGTTGTAGAAACCGCGGCGCGGCTTGCCCGCTCGCCGGTACTTTCGACTGGTCGTAAAGTCGACGTTTCGCAGTTACGCGCCGCTTTCAGTAATACGGAATTTCGCCCCAAAAGCGGACGCGAGGCGACCGTCGTCGCCGAGGTATTGGCAACCCATCCGGAAATCCCGACGGACCATCCATAAAATTCTGGTGAGTTATGCGCACAATTCTACCTATCCGTCTACCTGCGAAATCGACGGTCACTTCTGCCAGGCATCCATCCTTAACGTTGAATAGAACCGTCCGTTCAATATTTCAACCGTCAGTTGAAATATTCGAGACATCGGTGCTTTAACTGAAATTTATGGCTCAAACTTGTTATTTGTTGTGTGCGCGTTTAACGTAAATGTTATATTATTGAAAATACATATTAATAAACATGTCAAATTATATTGACCATTCGTGTTTACGTTGCTCATATAATATGCTGCTGAAAAGATGTGCTTTCAATGATTCTATTTGTAATTTCATGCGTCGCATATTCTAATATATTTTATATGTATTTTACTCTTCTTTAATATTTCCTACATTAGACAATGCATAAAATTATAAATGGAATTTTATCGCAAAATATTTCACTGCAATTTTTATCATGATTTATAGGTAATTTAATTTTATAGATAAATTATATAGAGAAATTTTATAGATATGATATATTTGAAACAAATTTAATGTATTGTTAATGTGTTGTCTTGTTTCATGAATCTTAATGAATTGTGTTAATATTCTTATTCTAATAACATGAAGATATTAATAATATTACTAATGTCAACGCTCTAAAAAAATATCAATGATATCATGGTTTATTTTATGTACTATATATCATTCTATCACACATTCTATCGATTTAATGATAAGAGAATGTTAATAAATTCAAAAGAGCAATTTATTCATTATTTTAATGCATTGAGATTATTTAAATCTTATTCGTGTTAAAAATAAAGTTTAGACTCTAGCTTGTTTGAGTATGATGCCAGAGAGACCTCATTATCGTAGAAAATAGCAATTAAATGAATTATGAATTAATATTCTAATTTTGTCGCGTATATATTAATGACGTAGAAAGATTTTTCTTTTGTTGAAATTCCAAGAGCAATTTAGATAATTGACATATTTGATCGACCATCCAGAAAAAATAATATTAAAATTCAATTAAAAGCGAAGATTTATTTAAGCCGAGATTTATCTTAGAGTAGATTTATCTTAGAGTTAACACGCTGATCATTATATCAAAATTTATCTTCCAAATTAGTTTTTAACAGTTCTGAAATGAACGATACTACTTCGTCGTTAAGAAATCCATCGTTAGATATGACTTATCGTGAAACATTTAAATAAGTCTCGATAACCATTAAGAGGGAATTAAAATCTCGCCGAATGTAGGAATTTCTTTCAAAGTTTGTCCTAAAGTCATCGCGTTAATCGATATCTGATATTTGGGATTTACCTTCGAAATTGCTTTGGAATAGTCTCGAGTTCGACGAAACTTCATCTCGCTACATTTGGAAATCCGTCGTATAACGGTATCGTTTGCGAAATGTATCTTGCGCGGTTTCCGAGATCCAAGGAAACTCGCGAACATAATGTCAGGGCTGCGTTTGTTTGCACGAGCGACTCCTTTGTCTCGATTCCTCGATCGGGGTGAGGCTCGTCGTTTCCGCTTTGGAGCCTTCGATTATCGCTACTAGCGGACCGTGTCATCGCGAAGGAGACCGTTTCCGGGATCGATTATCCACGTCGTGAACAGCGTTTCTGCGTCATGTCATTCGTAGGAATGTGAGGTCGTCCGATGCCGAGAGAAACCGCGGGTTTATCTCCAGATATAATTTATTCGAAAACCTTCGAAAACCTACGCTGAACGCCATTCTCGCGGAGCGTAATAATTACAACTTAATTAAGTTGAGAGGACTACGATGCAACGAATGCCAGGGTTGCAATCTTTTTCTTCCCAAACGTTCGCAGACGTTCGGCCCACTCAACGTGCTCTACTTAACTAGTGATTTAATTTTCACTTCGCAATTACGAGCTTTATCGCAATTAAACTGCTCTCCCTGATCATCTTCACTGTTGGCGAACATGCGATGCGCCGTCATCATCATCGCCTCGTTGATGTCTTCGTTATTGTTGCGGGCGGTCTATAATCTTTCCTGGACACTCGACAAGCGAAAATGACGGTGACCGATAATAACGAGTTTCTAAATTTGCGATGAGAGATCGGTTTTTCTGCCCGTCTCGAGAGATCGTGGAAATGAGCGATGCTTACAGACACTCGATACGTGAATCAAAGACTTTTCGAGAACACTTTTCATTAAAATTATCTCAGTTCATCATTGAAACAATTAGATTATATTTCCAGAGAATCCTACATTTGATAAAACGCACTTTACATTGCATAAGTGTAGGATATCAATTGCCAAGTATTATATTTATCCATCATTTTACATGTAATTTATGAATTTCTATTCAAGATCAAACGATAATATCGTTACGAAAGTCAAGAACATAATTTCTTCAGAAGCGATCGTATTAATTAAGCAAGCTAAAAATATGATTCTCATTTTGTATCATTTTTCAGGATAAAATCGTTTTACAAGCAAAAGATTACGATAAGAAATAATTTATAAGTGAAAAGTAGCGCGTTTAATTTTTTTTTTCTTGACAGATGCCACTTTCGCTACGCCCTAATTACGGCGACGCGATGTGAGCAGTTTTATATATTTGCTACAGGTGTTGTGCGTCGATGCATGGATCACGATTATGCACGATTAACTCGCGCATTTATCTAATAGTGAAAAAAGGAGAATAAAATTGTAAGTGAAACGTTAATGTTGATATAAAGCGTTCACTTTGCACGGAGATTATCGGAGTGAAATTGATAGTTATCCTACACTTACAAAACAAACTTGGAAATCAGGTCGACAGAAATAATTGCCAGTGTCAAACAAATTTTGTTGGTAAGGCAATGTAACTTAAGAAAGTCAGCTATTAGAGAGAACGCACTTAGTTCTCTCGAGCCATAAATTAACCACAGTGGTATTGTGATTTCAATTAAGTGATTTATTACACCACATTAGTTTGCATAACGCTCTACATTCAGCATCATTTCTGTAATTGAACCTTTACGCCAGGCAAACTAATTCCGAAGGTACAGCGTCGCTTTTCATTCAAATTTTCACCGATCTTCGACGACATCGCTTTTTATTCAAATTTTCACCGAGAATCGTTTCTACAAAGAGAAGAAGAAGGAAATAATATCAAGGAGATTCGATTTCAAAATTTCTTCACAAAGAGTAGCAAGTTCAACACTTCACCCATTTTAAATTATTCGATTCGAAATTTCTTCCATTCTTCACAAAGCTCGATCAACTTTATCCGTCCCAAACAAATATACTTTTTAACGATTCGACTTCTCTGTTCAACTCGAAGAGTCCCGGTTGCTTGCGAGACCTAGCGATCCGTAAAGTTTATTAGTGTACCCGGATGGATGTATACTTTCTCATCGACACTCGCGAAAGTAAGTAGTCTGAATATCGAGTCTCGTGAATCATAATATCGACTGATTACAATGGCGAAGCAAGTCTTGCGAGCATCTTGCATTCCTGGACGAGCATGACGTTCTCAGCCTTTCAGTTCACGGCAGGAAAAGTGCTTGGCTTAAACTTTCTAAGCGTTTCACGACGCGCCATATCGCTTCATATTCGGCCCCAAGATATACAGAGAGAGAGAGAGAGAGAGAGAAAGAGGGAGAGGGAGAGAGAGAGATGGAAAAGGGGGGCGCAAGGGGAAAACTATAAAACCAGGTCTGTCATCGTGCAATGCCGATAAAACCACTCAAGGCTCATTTATGCGATCGTAGCTAACGCATGTAATTAGAACTCCATGCACGCTCGCAGAGTCCAGTTCTCTCCCCACCTGAATCGCTTAATTACTCCCGTTGAAATCCTTTTTTTTTCCAACCGGCAGAAGCTAAAGTCGCTCGTACAGTTTTCCCTTTCTAATTATTCAGAGCTTTTTGTGTAATCTGAGTTTTAGGAAAATATCCTCAAGATTTAGTACGCCATAATTTAATACAAACAATTAAGTTATATGATCTGAAATTAAAATTTTAAGAAATTTTAGATTTTTAAATAAAATAGTTTAAGAATTTATTACGTTACATTATATTATTTACATTATATTTTGATATATTGTATCAATAATTTATTAAAAAATAACAATATATGTTATAAATAATAATATAGTACTAGAATATATAATATATTTATTATAATATTTAATATAATATATATAATTAAATATAATATATTTATTGGAATATTTAATATAATATATATAATTTAATAGAATATATTTATAGAAAGAATGAGTGACTCAATAATTAGTAATATTAATTCTCCTTGTGAGATATCATTTGCAAACCTTTCCGAGAAGCATTGTACCATCACAATTCCGACGATCGGATGCATATGTCAGCTATGAACTTCCATATTACATACTAAGCCACTAACATGCTATAATTTCTTAGAATGTATAGAATGAGATATACGAAATTGATGGTGATATTATGCGAATTGCCATTTGTACTACAGGAAGTCATGAATATGGTAGAATATAATATGAATGCAGTATAAAACGAACGCGGCAATACTTTCACAAATAAATCGCTCAGGTAGCTTCACGTACGTACATAGATAATCTTTATACGTAATTACAGTTCCGTATGTTGTCTATTAACATTATTACTAATTACAAATGATTATATATTGTAATGAATAGTGCAGAGATATCAATCACATTGTAAAAGATATTAGATTAGATTTTTTAATAAACGCACACTATTTATTCACAATTAAATCTCAGATAATATTCATACTTTGCATTCCTTTTTTCATATTTTAAGAATTAGGCGGAAGAGAAAAAACGACAAATTGGTTATATGCAATATAATTGCATTGATTATATTACATATACTTCGTGTGTTGTACCGATTTGTTTTTAATTGGCCATAAACACGTAAACCATTCCTCTTTTGCTTGTAAAATCGTATAATACTTTAATTCAATATTTTAATTCACGTTTAACGCATTAAATGCAGGTAAAAAGTTTTGGTAAAATCGGAGCAGACTGATATTTTCCAAACAATAGTAGAA